AACCTATGATGCCCGTGGACCATCGCGGTAGAGAGAAGGATATCATGGACCTCACTGATGATGAGTTAAGGAGATGGCAGTTGCAGATACAGCTGTATGAGCGGCAGGAAACAAAGCGACAGCGGCTTGTTAAGGCTATGGCGCGCGTGAATAGCCTTATTACCCGTTCAGTAGCCACTGAGTTTCACTATCTTATTTTCGATGAGGAAACTCCAAGGAAGAAGCTATTGAAACTGGCAGAGACATTCAAGCCAAAGCCTGAGAATCGACGACAGGAGCTCCGACGTGCGTGGAGATTGATGATCAGGCAACCTGCGAGAGATGTTAGCATTGATCAGTGGCTCACACAGTGGGAAAGCTTATATGAGGAGGCAAAAGCTGCCAAGGTTCCTGACTGTATTGAGAAAGATGATGCTATTCGTGACTTCCTAGATGCTGTGCAGGGGCTAGATGACACCTTCTGCTCGGGATGGCGACGTGAGCTTCGTATGAACACGACTGCTACGTTTCATGAGGTTATTGCCGATTATCGTAGCCGCCGTGGAGATCTAGCACTCACTTCTGGAAAGAAGCAACCGAAGATGGCCTTCGCAACCCTGGATGGTCAGAAAGAGGCAAAGCCAACTGGGAAAACAGAGAAGACTTATCGAACGAAGTGCCCATGCGGATACCCTCGACACCACTACTCAGAGTGCTGGTATATTGATGAGACCCTGCGAAGTGACAACTGGAAGCCAAGAGAAGGAATTGCGAAGCGCTTAACTGATGCTATCAAGCAAATGAGTCCTCAGGATCAACAGAAGATCAAGCAGCTGATGGAGAAAAAGAAGGAAGCACCACCAGCGCAGGCTCAATTAGCAGTATCAGAAGAGAAGCTTAGCTTCTTCATTGCAGCTGCAGCATCAACTGGTCAGCATCAGGTGGCCAAACCGCTCAGAAATCGCTGGATTCTTGATTCAGGCACTACCCTGCATATCTGTAATGATCGTGGGCGTTTCAAAGTGTTCATCAAAGGGGAAAGCTCTGTTAAAACAGGTGATACTATGACTGCTACTACAGGGTATGGCACTGTGGACATGGTAGGCCAGGACCCTCAAACTGGCGAGCCTCAAGTGGTAGAGCTCACCAATGTTCATTATTCCCCGGGCTTCCATACCAATCTGATATCCTATTCAAAGATTGAGGATAAAGGATATTGGTGGAATCCTAGCAAGAAAGCCATTGTCAACAACAGCGACAGTCCAGTGTTACATGTGCGAAAGGAAAAGGGATTATACTTCATGGAATACTGCTCTTCTGATGCAGCCTTTGCCACCAAGCAGTCAGAAAAGCCACTCATTTCAGCAGCATCAGCCAGGCGCTGGCATCGTCGGCTAGGCCACGCATATAGCCAGAAGATTGAACTGTTGCCAGCGATGGTGGATGGAGTCAAAATTGATGGAAAGAGTGAAGACAACTCTCATGGTAACCCTGAACGATGTGAGGTCTGTCAGATCACCTCTGCGAAACGTCAGATATCAAGAAGACCACAGGGAGCCACATACGGGAAATTTGGGAGAATACACTTTGACCTTGTTCAAATTGACCCTGCCTATAATGGTGATCGCTGGTTATCCCATTTCTATGTGGATGGAATTCGATTCCATGCAGCATTCACTCACGAGAAGAAAAGTGGTTGTCAGCAAGCTGTGACACTCTTCTGTGCATATGTGAGGACCCAGTGGAACCTACCAATCCGAGCCTTTCGCTATGATAATGAGCGTTCAGCAGGTCGTACGGTAGAGCAATTTCTAGCAGAGGAAGGCTTTGTTGTTGAGCATAGCGTCGTTGGAACGCCAGAGCAAAATGGCTTCGCGGAGCGATCTGGGGGGGTGATAGTCACTATAGCACGCGCACTACTGCAGGATGCAGGTCTTCCAAAAGACCTGTGGCCAGAAGCAGTCAAAGCAGCTGTTTGGATAGTTAACAGATCGCCCACGAGGATGAGAGATGGAAAGTGGATTGTCCCATACCAGGAAGCACTTCATGTCCAGCAAGACCAACCACCACGAGTCAACCTTGCCAACCTCAGAATCTATGGATGCAGAGCGTATGTACGCAAGCAGGGCATCCCGAATGCAGCGAAGATGGAGCCTCGCGCAGAGATCGGTTATCTCGTTGGCTATGAAGCCTCAAATATCTGGAGAGTATGGTTTCCACAGAGAGGAGCTGTACGGGCAGTGCGAGATGTTGTCTTTGATGAGAACCAGTTCTTCAACCCACGAGAACTAGACAAAACACCAGTCAGCGATATAATTGAATCAATGCCTTGGATCACTGAACAGGATGAGGAAGAGGAGATACAACACCAGATAGTCCCTCTTTCCTCAAATGAAGCAGGAAGCAGAGAAAGCGCTGCTGAGAACATGCATGAACAAGCAGCAAGACATTCAGCAGGAAAAGCAACAAATTCGCAGCAGAAGGAGGGACGACAGATGGCTACACCTTCACCAACGCCATCAGCATCACAGCAACGGGCACCTTCGCTTCCACCAGGAACATTCCCTAGCTCACCGCCACGGGAGTCATATGACCATGCTGAGCAGCTTCAAAATGAGCTCACAGCTGCATCACCCGCACAGGAGACTCCCAGAGCACCTAGAGATATCGATGGTGACATTTCAGAACGAAACATTGTGAGAGGAACGAGAAAACGACGAACAAGAGAGGATGACAACTTTGTCAGCTTTCAAGCTATCTCCGAGAAGGAAGAGGATAGCGTACTCGCAGCCTTCGCTACTGGATTAAACAGCTCCCGCACACACGCGCAAGTGCATCAGGATGAGTTACCTCCAGAGCCAGGAAACTGGAAGGAGATGATGAACCATCCTTACCGAGAGGGATTCCTGGCAGCTTGTGCTCTTGAAATTCAGACAATCAAGAGGAAAGGCACATATGAGGTCATACAACGACCAAATGACCACAGCATACAGATTCTACCACTCCGTTGGGTGTTCAACTATAAGGTTGATAGCAATGGCTATCTCAGCAAGCTCAAGGCCAGAATCTGCGTGCGAGGAGATCTCCAGAAACTTACCACAGAGGAGAAATACTCGGCAACCCTCGCTGCACGCACTGCACGAGCAGTCTTCTCATTAGTGGCTGCTTTTGACCTTGACACTTACCAGTATGATGCTGTCAATGCATTCCTTAATAGTTGGATTGATGAGGAGATCATCACTGAGATGCCAGAGGGTTTCAAGGAACAGAGGCAGTGCTGGAAACTCAAGCGAGCTCTCTATGGCTTACGAAAGAAGACCTCTGCCTCTTCTCCACAAACGGCATCATTGTTTTCTTCTATGTGGATGATATCATCATCGTCAACCATCCAGCCCAGCGCACACGCAACGGAACTGCGCCAGAAGCTTAATGAGCAGTGGGAACTACGTGACATGGGAGAAGCAGCGTGGTTTCTTGGAATCCGAGTTGTTCGAGATCGGCAGGAGAAAGCACTCTGGCTCTGTCAGGACTCTTCTATCTCTTCTATGGCAAGCCGGTACCATCTCACAAATGGCCGCAAAGTTGACACCCCACTGCCCTCAGCACTGGCACTGAAGCCATATGAAGGAGAAGCAACTCGACAGCAGATCCATGAGTATCAGCAGAAAGTTGGATCAACGCAATATGCTACCACAATCACCAGACCAGATGCAGCAAAAGCAACCTCTGCGCTTGCACAATTCCTCACAAATCCAGGACCTGAGCACCTTGACGCCATCAACAGGGTCATTACCTATCTATATCACACGCGTTCTCTTGCTTTGACGTATCGCTCACGTCCACATGGAGACATTGAAGCAGTATCCTTCTTCAGCGATGCATCATTTGCGGATAACAGAGATAGGAAGAGCTCAGAAGGATATATCTGCAAGATGTTTGGTGGAGCAGTTGATTGGCGTGCCAGCAAGCAACGTACGGTTACCACTAGCACCACGGAAGCAGAGCTGCTAGCGATTTCGGAAGCCGCGAAGACCATGGAAATGTGGAAGCGCCTATTCTTATCCATCCGCTTTGATCCTGAACACCCTTTATCGATCAATTGCGATAACCAGCAAACGATTGGTATACTCACCAGGGAAATACCTCATTTACGTACGAAGCTTCGTCATGTCGACATACACCATCACTGGCTTCGACAGGAGGTTCAAACTGGCCGGATACATGTTGAATGGGTGGAAACAAAGGATATGGCCGCGGACGGCCTAACAAAGCAGCTCCCACGACAGAAACACACCGAGTTCCTGCAACAACTGGGAATGGAGGATATCCACACTTTGTTGGAATAACCTCAGCAATGAGAGCGGATGCTGGGGGGTGTGTCAACTCTGAGAGAGGTAAAATACTGTGGATTCTCCACTGCTCTTGGTTATTCAGCATCCACCCACATTGCAATAGTAATTGTATGGTAATTCGGGTCATTCTCGGAAGAACTGTGATGTAATACGCAGTTTATAGCCCCTGGATCATTTTTCAACAGATCGGAACACACAGACACACTCTCGTTAATCCATCTCATGCATCAATTGGCCGTCCCTCGATACTAGATGATACACGTATCCGACATCCTGACAAAAAGGCTTGCTGACCTGGTGCAAGACATTTGGTATCTCCATGAGTCGAGTGAGTCAGGGTCACTTCTCCGGCATGACACTGTCCGTGACATGAGCTTGATCCGCGCCAAGTGCACGAAGATGGCATTTCATTGAGAGGGCACCAGATGAACTTGGACTGCCCATTGCCACATTTATCAGGGAACTTACCATCGGGAGCAAGTCCAATCCAGATGGCGGATTGGAGTCACTATCAACACATTTGCTGACCTTGCAGGATTGACCATTCAGGGATTTCCAGTGATTTGTGTCGGAAATGTGAGTCCGCTTCTGGCTATTGTGATACGAAGGTAGCAACTTTCCAATCAACCCTTCGAGGGCAGAAAATGACTCGTCATCTTGATCAACACTTCATATCATGAGCCCGCCGAGACCGACTTCATCCGCATAATCCACTTTCTGCTTCAAGGTTTTTGCGTCATCATAACTGACCCAGTTGTCGAGGCCATCACCATATGTGATCCACTTGACAGCAGCATCGTGGTCATAGGTGACGTTTTTTGTGTTCCTTCTTGATGATGTCCTGGATCTCGAAGTACGCCAAAGTACCGGAAGACTTGGTACAGTCTCCCTTCTGGGCATCACCGTGAAAGTCGCATCCGGGCGTCGTGCAATTCTTGTCTTTAAGATGGAATGACCGTCCGTAAAATCCAATGCCTATCACAACCTTGGAAGGGGCAACATCGTTTCTCCACAGCAGCCCCGACGCGGATTTGATCTCGGTCAAGTTCGTGTGAGGGTGGACCTTGTTACCAATCGGATTGTTTTGATCCCATACACCCTATTTCTATATTAGCTGCGAGTAATAGACACCTGTGATTTTGGGGGAACTTACATGAAGATCATAGGACATCATATTAACCCAGTCGGCGTATTTAAGAAGTCCAGGTACATCAAACCTTTTTGAAAAGAGGCATGTGAGAAATTGAAGTCCCCACCACGGATACTCTGAGAACGGTACTTACCATCTGAGATACCAGTAGGATGTTGGAATTGTGAATGACAATTCGTAGTTGACACGAGCAGAGGAATCAAATTTCTCACGTATGGTCTTCATCAGCAAGACATAATTCTTCACATCGTCTTTGTTTCCTCCTCTGTCACCAGCGCCAGGATATTCCCAGTCAAGATCGACTCCATCAAAGCCGTAGTGAACCATAAACGAGAGAAGATTATTCGCAAATTTCAATCCCTTGCCGGCATCTGCCGCAATGTCGGAGAAGACCGGTTGGGTCGCGGTGTCATTGTCCGAAAATGTCCAGCCTCCAAGGGACGCAAATATCTGTAGCTCGGAATTGCGAGATCTTGTGTTCTTGATATCAGTTGTCCGTGAAAATGAGCATTCAGGCGTCTGGTCATCCATGACAGTGACCTCGAGGGAGTCCGGGTCGATGCTAAGGGTAATTTGTCAGAAAGCAATCGAGTAAATAGCGTGAAGTTTTCACTCACTAGGCAAAGGCATAATTCAAGTGGGTGAGACCCTCGACAGGAATGGAATCGGGGGGAAAAGTATGGCAGGACCTCCTTTCTGCCCATGACTGATAATAACCGATCACTTTGTTCTTCAGGACAGGAATCGGACTTGCCCCTTTCGGGGGATTGGGATGTTCTTCGCAATTACCAGAGTCTTTCTGGCAGTTGTCTCCGCAGAACTCAGCAGTTGTACCGCGATGGCCAAACGAGCTGCAGCAAACATTGAGAGGACACTTTTCATCTAGGGAGCAACCATGGAATCAGTATAATTTTTCAGAATCCACTGATCTTTTCGAAAACATACCTCCTTTTGCTGCATACTTCCCACATTCAGCTTTTGCATCGCACTGAGAGTCGCAGTCATCACCACAATAATCTGGTCCGAATCCACAAGTGCCTTCCTCGCCTCCGAAGAAACCACCACAGCATGCATTCAGCTTGTAACGCACGCCCTTTTTGTAGGTTGATTCAGTAGTAGAAACATTTCCTAGTGTTGCGAGATCTTTTAAATCGTCCAAGATGTCACGGGACTGGAATCCAACAGAAGGTTGGGATTTGGGATTGAATGAAGGTTTTAGTAATAGAAGAGTCCCCGTGAAGAGAAAGAAAGAAAAAAGCCAGAGCCTGGCGTTTAACTTGGCCATCACAAACCAATAGGACGCTCGTGGAATACCGGTCCTCACTGGATTCAGAAAAATCCATTTCCGGAATACATCTCCCTTATGACTATTCTTCTACGCATCTGTCAATTCCCACACGGAATCGAAATCCCCCGAGGGCTTCCTTATTAGGTCTCATCGGTATCTACCATCACAACCTGATCGACTCAAATTGGGGCTGAAGTGCGCGATTTATCTCCACTTGTTCCTGAGGCGAGATAGGGACTTTCCGGGGGCCATCACCAACAGAGGACACCACAGGGTGGTAATTCTTCGTCGACAAGATCTTTTAGCAGCAAATAGTTTAGAAAGACAGTTTTAGTGTGTTTTCGGAAAGGAGCTGAGACCGGCAACCAAAACTTGGCCCCGTTTTAGCAGCCCTTAGAAGTTCTTGGCACGTTTCGCCCTGCCGCGTTCCCGCATTTTCGATCCACATCTACTGAACCGAAAAGGTCCACAGATCACCATGCCTGCTGCAGGAAAGCTGTCTAACAGCTGCAAGTAAGTTCTTTATATTTTCTTGTATTTGCTTAACTTGCTTCATCTCCACCGATTTCCGCTTTTGAATATGAACACTGAAGCATATTGATTCTCAAAGTGTCTAGAGGCTGACTAAATCCAGTGCGACTTTCTCTACTCGAGTGAACTGCGATCCCACGATACTGGACGTTGCCTATGATGGTTACTTCTCTACAACCGATGATCTGTCCTCGCTTTGCACGTCGTCATGTGCGAGATCTCTGAACAATCTCTATCACACCCAGAAGAGTGCTTGCACCAAGGGAGACACTTTATCGGACTCGGCGTACGTCTATCCCGCTACATTCACCGTGGAAACCCTCCTCTGGATGTACAACTACACTTGTCGGCGAGACCCGAAATCTGGAGACTTCTGTGCTCCAATCTTCGATGCCTGGGGAGATGGGAAGGCGGAAAACCAAACGTGCTCGGATTGTGTACTTGGAACATATCAAGCACAGATGAACTTCCCCATGGGCTACGATAAGGATCTCGCCAATACATTCTCGTCCATGACCTCATTCTGCAGTGCTACCAATTATCCTATCACGTCGCCTGAACCTGCAACGGTATCTCAAAGTGCAAAGCCCACCCCAGCTCTATCGTCTTCTGCCGCTGCCAGAAACTGTGCCAGCACCTATACGGTCAAAGATGGGGATGACTGTCATTCGATCAGTCGATCCCAGAGTGTTTCCCTGACCAATATGCTCTATCTTAACAACCTTGAAGCCGGATGTACTCACTTTTCCAGGGCGGGTACAAAGCTCTGCATGCCCCAAAAGTGTCAGGTCTATACCGTGAAGAAAGATGATTCATGTTACGGGATCGCGGAGGATCACAAAAATGCCTTCACCATGTCTCAGTTGGTCTCATGGAACGTTGACATCAACAGCGGCTGCGATAATCTCGAGATGTTAGTCGGGCACCAAATTTCCGTCAGCTATCCTGGGGACGGCGGCTCAAAAAGTTCAGTCACTCCAGTTCCCTCGGCGCCAGTTCCCTCGTTTTCTTGCTGGGACTTGAACGGTCATGTTCCGAGTAGCTGTATTGTGACGACATACGAGACGCTGCCGCCTTGGGTGTGGCCTGGATACAGGACCAACTCAAGCAGCGGCATTTCGCATGCCAGCACAAGCACACCAGCAACTTCTTTCTCGTATTACTGGACTCCTCTCCCTTCCATCTACACGATGCCACCCGAAACAACATCTTCGACCATCGAGACCAATCCCACTCCACTACCTCATGATAGTAGCATGGTATCGGGCTGCATAGACTACTGGATCATGCGCGGTATGAAGTAATATTTCGTTTCTTTCATTGAATGCCACAGGCTGACTGATTATTTAAAACTACAGCAAATGACAACTGCACTGAAATTGCCAATCGATGGGGACTTTCGGTTCAACAGATAACAGCCTGGAATCCTTCCTTGAAGAGCGATTGCTCCAACATGTTCGTGTTCACTATTCCAGCTAACATTCGTTCCCTAGCTAACCCTTCTCAACAGCGTCCCTGGTAATTATATCTGCATGGCGCGAGAATCTACATCTAGCGTGCCAAGTTCGACTACGACCTCGACTTCGACTTCGGAATCGGACTCGGCCTCGACAAGCACTGCTAGCGGTCCTCCTGGTCCGACTCAAACAGGTATCACCTCGGATTGTAATAAATAGGTCCTTCGTAAAGATAACGGAAAATATTGCCAGGATCTGGCGGATGAAGCGGGTATCTCTCTGGATTGCTTCTATCAGCTGAATCCTGCCGTCAACACCAAGAAAGGCAAATGCCAGGGGCTACTCCAAGGAGAGGCATACTGCGTCGGAACAGAGTCAAACGTCTGTAAATGAAGAAGGACTGGCAGTGATATACATAGACCATGTACTCAGGTTCAATTAATTGACCACAATTGTGCCGTTATTTTGCTACAGGTCCAGTAGAGTGGGCCCTGCGTTGGCATCTTGCACCGCACCGCGGATGAGCAGGTCCTCCAGCGTTAGCCCCGTCTTCGGGAGGTCTTCCACTAAGTGCACGCGGCGATCTTTATCTAGGCGCAGTCGGAAACCCTTCTAATAGGCCGTAACTCTCCAGGAACAAGATTATGGGTTTCCGTGCGGAGAGGGAATTTATCCGGCGTCTCCGGTTCCATAGATGCAAAAGCTGTGTTCGGCTCTCCTTGCGCCGCTTTCCAGAGATCCTTCATCGAAATCTCGCTTTGCCAGCGGCGAGCAACGTAGAAGTTATCCACCAGCTGCTTGAGACTTACACGGAAGTACCCTTTATAGCCATCCGTGGTATCATCATCGGGCGTGTGATCCGGATCGACCGCCCACATCCACATATTGTCGACATATGCGTGAGCATAAAGAACCGAGGACGCCGATTCATGATCCAAGTACAAGAAAACGTTGCGAAGCAGCCCATTAGGAAGGATTCCCTCGTTTCGGCGATGCTTAAATTCTTGGCGCAGCTTGTCGACAATTTCGTGAAGTCGATCGACGTCACCTATCTGGGATGGCCAGGTCTGGGGCTGCATGCTATAGTAGGGGCCTATCTGAAGGCCCGCAACAATGCGATGCAGGGATTTTTCTATTGCAATTCCTTGCTCTCCCTTATAAGCGTCGAATAGGGGATCGGCAACAAACTGCGGGTTCTCAAAAACTGCATATCCCCACGTTGCACCCTTGTCCTCCTGCCAGAGTCGCTGGAGCCATGGCTTGCCGTGCTCAAACACAACGTCCAAATCATCTTGGCGGTCTTGCTCAAAATCCGCGTGGGCTCTACGGAAGTATTCGAGATCCGCATTCTCGAAGGCTTTGCATTCACTCTCGTCGTAAAGTGGCCCTTGGACACGAGCAAGGCGATCACAAAGTTCATCAGAGTAATTTTCTTTGATCTCTTCTAAGAGATTCACAGCGTCCATCAGGGCATCATCGATGGGCCAATCCATGGCATGGTGCCAGTATTTGGCGCGGAGAAAGTTGATTTCATCTTCACTCAGCTCAGTAGGCGATTCAGCAGCACGCTTGAGTAGTTCACTTTTCGTGAGTGTAGTCACTGCTGCGATTGATTCCCGTTGAACCGACGCAGAGGGCAGATCGAGAAGTCGAATTCGGTCCTCGGCACTGGCTGAGGAAGGATCGTTCTCGAGCCTTTCGAATAGCTCTAGAAGCTCACGGGGGTCGTCAAGCTTATTTTGGACTCGGCGAAAAGCTTTGATCAAATGCTCCATGTTTGTTGCGGTGATGGAAGGGTGTTGACAAAGAGAGTAAAGTGGGGTGGCTGGTCGATTTGTAGTGAGTTGATTAAATTGCAGGGCTGATAACACTGTGGACATGGCCCAGCAGAGCACCCTGGGAGGTGAATGTCGGAAAACGCCATGGGCCCAAGTGGCATGCACGAATAAGATAGCAAGCACCGAGGGTTGGTTACCAGTGGCTAGACCTCGCCAAAGTCGCGGGTTGGGTTTCGACCCTCGACCCAAAACCCGCCAAGTGATTTGAATACAAGTAATATATACCATATTAAACATTTATATGCGTTAACTAGTTACAGGCTGTATTACAAATGTTATTCCGTAATATACGGGCTGATGGGTCCTTGGCGGGTTCGCGGGTACCCGTAGGGTAACTAACAACAATTTTGCGGTGTCCCTAACAATTCCCGGCGGTAAAGATAATATTACATAAGACTGGTTGCCCAAAGAACTGAAGGAAGGGCTCTAAGGTCTCAGAGATGTACTGTGAGGTGTGAATACACTACAGTTAGACAAATCAAAAAATAGGAATCCGTCGCTCGCATCAGAAACCGAAGCGGAAGACAGGTAGACTCTGTTGAGGACAAGGGACTGCCATGGTTTCATCTGATAGAACGAGAAAAGGACCTACGCCAGCAATAATTTTGTCGACAAAATTGTAATCCCAACTACTAGAAAGAACGTGAGGAAAGACAGTGAATATAAAATTGAACTCTCACGAGTACAGAGAGTTAAATCAGAAAACAAGTCCACATCAGAAACTGTCTCTCACTATCCCCTGTAAACTCAACTTCCTCCGCCTCCACACTATCCTAGCATATGCCCCGAAATCAGGACGAAGGCTCCGGCTCTCCAAGAGACGGTACTAGTTTAGTAGTTGCAAACGCAGACACTAAAACCAAGCTATCAGTAAACCAAGCAAGTCTACCTTGACCCCAGAAGGAAAGATTGCTCACCTGTTGTCGTCACAGTGGCCACCGTGGTAGCCCTCACCCTGGGCAATGCACTACAATGTTGTCAGATCCTGAAAATAGAGATTGGTTTGTCAAGCTGAAGGAAACATACAGAAGCGCTGCACGCAGCGTCACCGGCACCCCAGATATCGCCGACCTGGCAAGAGGAGCGGACGCGGAGGTTCTCAGAGGGAGCAGCGAAGGCAACAGAGCTGAAGAGGGCAACGGCGCCCAGGAAGACGGTGGAGAACTGCATTTTGATTGTTTCGTTGGTTAAAGACTGATGTCTTGAAACTTGATTTGAAGTAGGTTTGGATAGAAATTCGATGGGTTGTTGTTGATAAGATGAGCAGAGGACAGCGGGCGAGAGGGGGTATTTATGGTCGAGATTCAGGATAGCTTGGTCATTCAGATGAGTACTTCCTCTTGAGGTCTTCTCGTGTTCACACAACAATCGCCCCTCTGCTGCCTTGGCGTTTGCAGTAAAACATATAGATCGGCAGTAGTCATCAAGTATACGATGTCGATCGAACAACTGCGGTTCGTGTTCGGGCGGACGATGCAACATCCTGTAGTAGTCAAACCTAACTATCTGGGGGGTTTTAGAAGAATCTCGACCCTTTGAGTTGAGAGAGTGGAGATATCATGATCATAATCATCAATCATCTTTCGATGCTCGTGATTTGCAACCAGAAAAAGCAAACACTAAGATCTAGGACTAAATATATACGCATACACGAGGAGATGACCGACATTTTTAGACTACGCGACGTGGGGTCTACAGAGATCGACAGTGGCTTATACGAGCCGAGCCTTGTGTACTTCTGATGTTTGAGCAACCGCGACTGTGAGCCTTGGCACGCTAAGCGCCAAGATAATAAAACACCTCTTTCCTAGTAGTGTATAAGCGATTTCCTGTTGAGCTCTTCAGGAGATGAAACGAAGGGAGCTCCTCTTAAGTTAACTAATTACTTAGCTCCCAACCAGGAACTGATCGAGAGGCGGAAAATCTGTGGGGCTCAAACACGACATTCATTTCAATATGATCTGGTAGTGAGGCGATCCGTAAATATCTGAAAAACTGCCGAGTAGTGATCATCATCTTCTTGGGTTGTATTTGTCCCGCTTCGTATTCCAAAATAACAACATATTGGGGGGGGGGGGACCTGACGATCTTTCCTCTAATAGGATACATTCTGAGAAGCTGTTATCGATAGGTGAGAGCCTCAGAAGTTGATGTTTCGGAACAAAGGAACGGTGGCACTTTGGTACTAGGTCCGGTTAATTAGGCGAACAGAAAGTGATGTATTTCTGCCAGGCTGTTAAATTGCTCTCGTTTATATATTCAATGATCTGATAAGTAGGCCTCTGCATGGTGCGGTCTCGAATTTGGGGGTTGAGACCGCACCATAGTGAACCGCAATTGCATAATTCTGCCAATGCCTTCCCTTTGGGCTACATAAATTGATGATTCATCCCTTTTAATTAACGTAATCCACGGCCGAGTGACGCACCCCAAAACACCATAATAAATGCGATAAATTACAACATCATATCTCAGCAACCATAGATTTACATGACTTCAGAATTTGTCTCAAGACTTTTCTAATCATCAAAGGCAACATAGGTTCATATCAATTATTTTAATTGTCGTTTTGGTATGATTACAAAAATTACTAGGTAATCTCGACCTTGAGCATGTAAATATATATCCCCCCATGAAATTTTAAATTTAGGGTCCACTACAGTACTCAGAATCTTCAATTATGCTAGCTAGCTTCCAAAGTAGATTCCACAGATGTGGTTGTTGAGACATGAAAATATCATTTATCGCATTTACTATGGTGTTTTGGGCTGCGTCACACGGCCGTGGACTACGTTAGTTAGTTCTCCCTGCTTAAACCTCGGGAAATTTTCAGATTTTCTGGAAACTTTGGGAAAGCACCCCGTAGGTACATTATGAATGTGTCATTGCAGGGGACATTATTGATTGATTCATTCGAGATGTGAGTATTTGTATGTCCGAGTATTCCCTGCCGCCAACACGGATAGACAGGTTACATTGCTCGTAACAATTGGAAGCGCAGCAACGATGCTTGCTGCCGATGTGGCAAACGGCACTTCCATTAACACCGACATAATTTCGGCCCTTTCCAAGGTTGGGCGAGCCTTGGAAGTGCAGTATCAGCGATGCTGCTGCTAAGGCGGCCAACGACGCTGCCATCAATACACTGTACCGACGAAAAGTACCCTCATTTCGAATCGTAGAGCAGCAACAGGACCAACTTGTCTTGAGAAACTTACAGTCGTCGGGTGAAGGAATGGGAAATGCCAGAGAGTGGAGTGGGGGATGTGCTCAATTCGGTTGCGTGCAATCCCTTCTCTGAAGTGCTCTAACAATCAACAAGTCAGGGGTCGACGTCATTTGGCTGATCCACCGTCTTGTGCACCACGACACTTCTCTAGTTCCGTCACTTTCTTCTATACTCTTTTCGAATTCATCCTCAGCGTGGCGTGTACAGCAGGGTATGTCTGTGAAAAGGGGTACAAGAGAACATCCTGTATCCGTTTGTTTCATTTATTTTTATTTTTCATTATTTTTTTGGGTTTTCTTGTTCTTCTAATAGTCAATCATCGAACAACCTGATTTGAATGTCTCTCCGCACCATAATGGTCTCGTAAATCATTGAAAGAATCGAACCGCCATTGGACCGCTATGAGTTTCGTTCGATGATACCCTACGTCCCCGAATATGTGAAGAGAGCGCAGTGGCAATGCAGAGGTAACTCGAGACTCTTACGGGTCGCCTGCTACCGGGATATCTTTTAATGCTTGCGAATCTCAGGATATTTTTGAGGCGTTTGCTTCGTCTAATAAATGCGTCTTCCTAGCTTATAGTCGAAGCTCTTGGCCGGAGGGCCGTTCAATTGAAGTGATTTTAGAGTGAATTTTCGTAACAGGTGGAATCGATCCGCTTTCACCATGCGACTCAAACTAAGGTTTCTCAGATGGGCAGTACCGCTTTACATGTCCACATAATTCATGATTTCTGACTACTAGCTTCCGAGGTGGAAATGCCGAAATGCGCATGCCTGGGGGAGTTCTCAGCCGAAAACTCCTATGCCATCCCTTGAGCTACTCACCGTAGTCTTCAGATCTGCGCTAACCCCTTTTCGAATGAAATCCAGGGGGAAAAGTTTTTCTTGTGCGCTCTTGTCTGGTGCTACATGACTTCTTGGTAGGATTGACGCGAAGATGTCAATCTGTGTCACCTGCCAGAGTGCAAAGCTCTCGGCTGACAGTATCCCGAAAACAAAGCCGTTCAGATCGACCACTACAGAATGTCCCGAAATCACTGTTACACTGTGCACGAAACTTTCCACGGGTAATCGAGTCAGTCTGGAAGTTCTTTCTGCCGATCCTACCTTCGTAAAGGTTGGACAGTCGGCATCCAGATGTCCGTATGAAACTGTCTTTTGGCAGCTTAATTTCTATCCCGAAAGGGTGACGGTGCGACTCGAAGGCCGGGATTTAACTCGTCAGATATCAATGGAACCGCCCCAAGTCCCCCACTCACACCTGGAATTGCATTCTTTGGATCATGTCTTGATGACGAGAGAATATTGGTCCTACAAATAGTGTAAAGATGGCAGTGTGTACCAGACACAAGACTAAGCGGTAGGGCGCGCTCAGCGACTCTCCCATGCGGATTGAGAAGTCGTGAACCCCGGATCAGCTGGGACCAGTATGTTATTAAGGTAGGCGGAATTTGGCAGCTACAATCAGCCCGTCGGGTATCAATCACAAGCAATTCGAGAACAAATGAAACTTCATTATCCAGTACTGAAGTCACGACAGCTTTAGCCGACAAATTCATTTGAAAAAAAAAAAAAAAATATAAATACAACCCAGGCACCACAAATGCAATCGAAACGCCACGTAGCCTCATAATCCAATGCCAGCACCAAATCAGAGGTAAAAATATAATCGGGCCCTAGCCGAACGGGCCAAAGGAGGGGGTTGAGGTAGAGATCGAAGAGACGAATGGAGGACGAGAAACCAGCAGTGCATCACCGCCCATACATCTCCAAGGCCTGCTGAACATCATGCAAAGAGTCCTTGCTCCCATAAGCATCCATCAGCTCGCGGTTCTTGGCCATTCGCTTCTCCTCTTCGCGGAGGGCGTATTCCTGCCGGGCTCGCGCTTGCGTGTAATAGTTGTATGCGCCGAAGCCGAGGCCAACTGCTGCGACGAAGGGGATGTACCTGTTTGCGCTTGTTAGCATCAAAATTGCAGAGGACGGAGGCTGGGAACAGGGGGTGCTGGTGCTTGGGACGTACCACTTTCCGCCGCGCGGTCGGAGCGATGGGTTGGGCCGGTATTGGGGGCTTTTGTTTGTGCCGGGGAATGCGTGTGAAGACATTGTGTTATGCTGGTGGTGTGTTGTAGGTGGTGGATGTGGTGGATGTGGACGTGTTGGAGAGGGAAGGGAGGAACGGGTAATGTGGCGCGTGAAGGGGTTTAAGAGAGCTGGCAGGAGATTGCGGGAAGGGCAGAATGCGGGGATTGCATGACGTGGAGACCATCAGCCCATACTACATCACCCAACCATTGCGGATGACTAAGTGTATTGGGAGATGTATTCCGAACCACCAGCTACGATCATACTATCTGTTGTCTGATAACCATGCTATTCTGCTCATCTTCGCGCACGTTGATGAGGCCGAACCTGTTGTCGTGAGATCACTGTGATGAAAGGGCCGAAACTCGGCATTGGGGGCTAAAGGATGATCCCCCCACAGTTTCTCCGCTGCACAGCCCGCGCGACCGGAGGATTCTCCTCCACGCTGCTGACCACGCCGAACTACTGATCGATTGATTCGCCACGTCAATTACAGGTTTATTCTGCGGTCATTATTTCTGGTACTGTCCACTCTGATGCAATCAGCATCTTCACTCAGTCTGGGCTTTCTGGTTGAGGATTTCTGTCTTATATAGTTGAAGGCCAAAGAGAGCTTAAGGTTTAAATTTCTCCCGCGATCGGAGGAATCAGAAAACGCTGTATATTTGCTGACTATGAGTTTACACCATTCAACTGATTCGGCGTGATTATGAATAATTTTCTCGGCGTTAGTATTAGCCTATCGACTACTCCAAGTGCTTGATCTAGAAGAAATGGCATTCACATCAAGCTCGTGGTTAAATAGAACAATAATCTCATTATTCCCGCGATCGGAGGAATCGACTGCTGGGCCCTGGCATTTAGAAATTGTTGTCAACCGACCACGAAATCAATGACTGTAGAACCCGTTTCGAGGTCAAACGAAGGAGGAAAGAAACTATTTTGCTAATTTGAGATACTATGTGGTGAACAAAGGGCTGTTGTGAATGGTGTGGATGAATATCGGAGTGGAGCTATTTATATACAGCACCGCGGCTAGGCCGATGCACGACCTCGGCCCGAGTCCTCCCAGCACAGGATGAAAGACCTTCGAAGGGTAAATCAAACTTGATGAAAGTGACCTGTCCCGATTTGTGCCCCATGGCAAGAATGTTTTTGTAAGTTGCCCAGACAACACTATCTGACCCTCGCCGGAAAGGCCGATACTCAGGTGGCAGCCAAAGAATCGAATGACCTCGAAAGGTCACCCATTCGTCATTCTCCCCTTCCACACAAATCTCCGTGTTATCGGGAGAACTGGAAGCGGCGTTCTCGTCAGAAGACCCGTTCGTAGTATATTCTAGACGCAAGCTGGGTTTCCGATTGCTTTTGCCGGGCGGAGTATCCAGGAACAGACAATATGATCGATAGCCCTCAGCTAGAAGAGACGAGGGCAATTCAAAATGTGGAGGGTGCTCGTCGCAAAAGTACCAATCGTCGGGATCTATTGTCAGGATTCGACCATCGGGAGAAAAGGCGTATTTGTCGGTGCGACTTTCGCACGTTTGACTCTGAGTGGGAGACTCGACGATGGGAGCTTTGGGTGATTTCCCCTTCATGGCACTCCAAAGTCGACTTATCCCCCGTTTGGGACGATCCTCCGACATAGGATGTGGTTCCTGAACTCGACCACGAGGCGAAAAGCCGAATATTTCAATATAATTGTACTGCCTTTGATTCTGGTAGTTGGAGTCCGGGTCGATAGTTTTCAGCAAGTCCCCATATGTGACATCCAATATGAAAACTATCCCGGGATAGCAGATGACCGCTAACAGTAGACTATCGGGTGAGAAGGCAATCGAGTTGACAGAACCCACGTCAAGGTAGATATAGTGCGGTCGGGAGGTCAGCGAGAGGTCCTCGATTTTGATAGCCATTCCGTCAGGTATTTCGTCTTTCTCGATCTTGGAAACAATTGCAAGGCGACGTGAGTCGGGCGAGAATCTGGCCGCCATCGCTGTATGATAAGGTTCACTCTGAGATAGCCCATGTAACGAGCCGGTGGCTGTATCCCAACATCGGACGATGCCGTCTCTTGATCGGGTTGATAGAAAGCGACCATCTCGGGAAAACGATGTTGAGAATATCGGCGCTGAATGGGGAGTTGTGAATCCCTGCGCTGAAGCAGCGGTTTCGAGATCCCATATCCGGACGGCATTGCTCCCAGATGCAAGAAACCTGCCATCAGGTGAGAAGGCAATTGATTCAATATGAACCCCATGGGCATTCAGGAGTAATTTCAGTTCTCCGTTGGCAGGATTCCAGACCCTTACTGTGCCATCATGAGATGCGGATGCTAGAAGCTTTGAGTCTGGTGAAAACGCCAATGACTTCACCGTGAGCGAATGGCCATCAAGCGTGTGCTGTCGTTCCCCGGTGGTATGATCCCAGAGGTATACCTGGCGGCCAAGATTGGCAAATGCCATTAGTCTTCCACTGGGCGACAGAGCTAGTGCACCGATGGAAGAGCTATTGTGTGTCTCCAAGGTTTTCAAGAGGGTACCAGTAGCAGCATCCCTGATGTCAATGCTGGCTTTGTTGGTGATCAGTAGAAATTCACCATCGCGTGATATCGCCAATGATCTGCTCACACCCCCACCAGACTTCGTCAAAGGCACTCGAATGGGCTCTGACTCAATGATAGTATCCCATAAGTAACAAGTGTCGGCATCGAGGATGACCAAAATCTGGCCTTTCGGGGAGAAGGCTATGGCGTTCAAATCGGCGGAGGAGGCCGTGGGAGTTACGGTGGCACGGCGATCCAATATTCGTTGTAATCTGCCTGTCGAGACATCCCAGAGACGGGCCAATCCATCTCGACAGATCGACGCGAGAATACTGCCATCTGCCGAGAAGGCCAAGTTTTTGACCTCTGATTGATGATCTAAGGTGGTCCGCAAGATGCCTGTAGCAGTATACCACAGATTGATCGTTCCATCCGTAGAGCCGGAGGCTATGAGCTGTTGATCAGGGGAGAATACCACCGACCGAACCCAACTTCCATGTCCCTCCAGAATTTGTGGTTCTGCATCTTCGGCCCCTGAATCATCTGAGACGACTCGTGTCCAACTAGGACGGTATTTCTGAAATTCCGTGTATAAGGCCGATGACTGAGACGAAAATGTAAGGCCAGATTTGTAAATTTGGAGCGGTGCCTCATGAGCAATAGGCGCAACTTTGAGCACGAATCGCTTTGAGTCTGCCAGAAATGCTGAGAGTTGGGAGTTCGGAAACGTCAACTGTAGTTGATTCAACATCTCGACTGATTCACGCATAAGATCAAGAATTCCCATCAACTCCAGCCAATGTAAAATGTGGACATGGAGGAATTCCAAGATTTCTTTCGTCACCATAGCAGATTTGTCCGACCGACTGAGATGATACACCCAGTAACGACTTGCATACCGCAGAGCCGGGGGGATATGCTCGGCGATCTCCTTTTCGTTGGCTTTCGCATCCCCGACGATTTCATTCAATCCACATATATTGCGCTTCAACGACCGCTGGCAAAGACCAACGCAGAGCATCGCCAATCTATGATGCGTCTGCATCTCGTCAACCCAGAATTGCGTTTCCTGTCGCGTCTCTGGGTCCAGCAGAAAATCGCGAAACGACAAATGGAACAGCCTCACAGGCTGTGTTTGATCCTCGGGTATGTTGAGAACAGAGTGCAGCGAGCGGAGTCTCCACTCAATAGTCCTCTCGTCGATACCAAGCAGCTGAGAAAGCGATGATATGGAAAGAGGGCTCTCAAGCAAGACGATCGCCCCCACGATCTCACGAAACTGCTCGACCAGCTGCTGGGCCTTTTTGGGGCTCTGGCCTTTCAGCGTTCGCTCGAGGGCCGGAACATACGTTCCGTTGAGTCGGGATCCATCATCGCGATATGATATCAATTCCGCAAGAGTTTCGACGGGATCCCACTTGTCGTCCTTTAACATACGGCACGCGGTAGCCGCGAAGATAAATAACGGAACGGAGCGTTGCACGAGCTGGTGTAACTTTTCCTCTCCGGGCCAGTCGTCCGGTAATCCCGCGTTTCGCCTGATGGTTGCCAATCGATCTTTCATGAACAGAGTAATATCGTGCTCAATCACCGGCAGGGGTACCTTATGCAGCAGGAAATCTTCGTGGTCGGTGATCTCAGAAAATCCTAACCGGATAGGTAACTCAGGTCTGCTAGTCACAAAAATCCGGAGGCGCACCGTATCCAAGTCCTGGAGTAGTGGCAGTAACCGTATAATTTCGCGAATCTCATCATCATTCTCGCACTCATCCAGCGCGTCAATCACAAGGGCAATACTCGATGGTTGATCAGATTTCTCTACACCCTGGAGCGGTTTGTAGAGCAACTTATCGAACTGAGCTTGCAAAGTCTTATGCGCAATCTCGGGGTCTGCTTTGACCGCATCATGAACAGCCGACTCAATTCGAGGGACAGAGAGCACAAGCTGCCTCACAAGCGTCGGGAATAGCCTGACGGCACTACCGCGATCAGGCTCACCTCTCTTGAAAAAGAAACTCGCTCCGAGGAGGCTCTCTGCTTTGAAAGATTTGGCAAGCGTTCGCGAGATGGTCGACTTTCCTGTCCCTGCCAACCCACTCAACCAGAAAATGGACTGCTGTTTATCGGATCGGGCCCAGCCCATTACATGAGCGAGGAGCTCGGTTCGCGTTCCGGGAAGACATTCATCGTCATGTTGGTCCATGTATGAATCGAAGGCAGCCCCACTCGCGACGGGTAGTTTATCCAGCGGATCTGGAGAGCGATCATTAGTTTACTGTCCCTTCTGGGTTGATTTCGCTACCCACCGGTCTCGGAATGGAAGTGGTTGGTCACTGAGCCATAGTTGAATGCGATCTGCTGTCCGGAATTCTTGTCGCCGAATCTGATATCCCGTGGCTCGACCCGGGAGTCTGGCTTAGTTATTTGGCCATAATCCACTCCGGTCTGCTGTCCATGGTTGGAGTCCCTGAGTCTGATGGCCGACGTCATCTCTCCTATCTTTGGGGAGACAGACCCTGGGAGACCCCAAGGCAATCGGGACACAGGATGTCGGTCCCCTTGGGTAGAATAGCGGGCTAAGTTCAGCTACTCGGGCGTTCCCGCCTCGTATAGTTCTTGGCCCCCACGGCCGTCACGCGTCAGGTGACATTTAAGCTGCGCTGTCAAGCACGCGAGGTTCTGTGATTTGACGTTTCCAGATACGGATTAGCGCTTTCTTTCATTTTCCCTCCTATGTTGAAATCAGGTGGTATTCAACACGGGATTCAAGGGTTCTGTAAGTACATTTTAGTCGAGCTATACATCGGGAGGCTCCGCAAATCCAGGTCACACAATGGCCGTTTAGTGATTCAGGAAATGGAAAATATTCATATGTCTCAGCGCTGCTGGTGCTCACGTCAACATTTAAATACTTCAGCCGCGTTTCCAAGGCAAAAGTCTTGATGTCCAGGTCATGGCAGCATGACAGCACCTTTGAGGTTGGGTGGCGATTACAATGAATCCCATGTCTGAGGCATCAAGGTGTCCACAAATGTCACGTCTTAGCTTCACAAGTGGTATGCTTCTGTCGCAAATCAAGCAGTTAATGATATTTCGCTCGAAGAACAACGTTGTGGTCTTTCAATATCATGGTGCGGTCACAGTTCAGAGTGAACTGGGCTTTTATATGTGTATCCATGGATCATATTATTACACCAGTGTACCAAGGTCCATCCACCTGGAGCGAGAATATATACCAAGGACGACATTGTCATATTTAAAATTCATAAAATATCTCAAGCCCGAAACTTCTAATCATATTAGTAAATTCAAACCGCCAAGACGAAAGAAACTCGTAAATCTACCCCGGACATCTATCTACTGGGCGTTGTTCTTGGGCGCAGCGGGGGCGGGTCCTTCGGGGGTGACGTAGGCCTAGTGAAGAAAGGGTTAGCTCCATGCAAATCTCACCACCTGAAAATACATACCTTGCTCAAACCACCATCCACGACAAAGTCAGTACCATTAACAAAGCTGCTCTCATCACTAGCAAGGAAAACAACAGCCTGGGCCTGCTCGACGGCCTCGCCGAAACGGCCGCTGGGGAAGTGGACCTCGCGACGGAAGCGCTTGGCGTGGTCGTCGCCGAGCCAGTCCTGGAGGAGGGGGGTACTAGATAACCATCAGTACACTAGAACCAAAGGTAATCTGCAATATGAGAAGAGGGAACATACTTAAGCGGACCAGGACAAAGCGAGTTAAACCGGAATCCCTCCCGAGCATGAACAACAGCCAACTCGCGCGTCAAAGCAAGCACAGCACCCTTGGACGCGGTATAAGCAAGCTGAGGCGTGGCGGCACCCATAAGCGCGACAAAGCTAGCAGTATTGATAATGCTACCCTTGGTTTTCTTGTTGCGGCGCAAGCTCAGCACGGCATGCTTGCAGCCGAACCAGACGCCCTTAACGTTAATGTTCTGGGTAAGGTCCCAGATTTCCTCGGGGGTGGAAACGGCGTCATCGTCCTTGGCGTGCATGATGCCGGCGTTGTTGAAGATGATGTCGACTCCGCCCCAGCTGTCCTGTGACTCGATCATGGATTGCACGTCGGCTTCTTTCGAGACGTCGCAGCGGATGGTCTCGAGGCGGCCTGCGCTTGGGACGAGTTCCTTTACCTTGGCCAGGGCCTTTGCCAGGGCAGGCTCGGAGATATCGGCGAGCAGGACGTTGGCGCCTTGTTGGGCGAAGAGGATGGTTGTTTCGAGGCCGATGCCACTGTTCCGGAGCGAGAGGTTAGAGGTGCGAGAGAGAGAGCTGTTGATTTGCGAGAGGCTTACCCAGCAGCACCGGTGATGATGGCATTCTTGCCTTGAAGACGTCCGGGAGTAGCCATTGTGTAAGGTATTGTGTAAGTGTTGTAGAAGGATGGAGGGGCACTGTGGGATACACTCAGTGTATCAGCGAGCGCTCGATGCAGGGTCGATCATGCCAATGCGGTGTGATTCCGATCGGGGGAATGCGCGCTGCACTTGCACAGCTTCACGTAGGACAGACTCACCTCGATAGATGAATTGGTTCGAAAACTCAGAGTTGAAGCTCGCGGCGAGGTATACGCGGGGCAGAGTGACTAAGCGCGATGCGACGGCGTCGCCTTTGCTGCTGTGGAGTCACGCGGCGGTCTCAGCAGCGAGTGGAGCCAGCGCGGTCCCGAACCGCGCTGATAGCGGAGCTGCAACTGATAAGACCAGCCCCTCGTCGCTTTTGGATCCAGCTGCTTTCGGAACTCCCTTTATTTTCTGCATTTCCAGAGACTCAAAACACTTGCATTTGGGCATTTGCATTGAGCTCGCTATACGCCATGTCGAGCCCCGAAGTGACACCCGACAATGTCGCCGAGATCCTGCGCAATGACCGCATGGTCAAGGTAGCCGGGATCGACGTGGATGGCCAGCTGCGCGGCAAGCTGATGAAGAAAGACAAGTTCCTAAGCATCGTGACCGAGGGCTTCGGCTTCTGCTCAGTGATTTTCGGCTGGGACCAGCACGACCAAACATACTACAAAGAACTGACAATCAGCAACAAGGAGAACGGGTACCGTGATCTCGTGGCCGTGCCAGATCTGAGCAGTTTCCGCCGCATCCCCTGGGAAGGGGATGTGCCTTTCTTCCTGGTTAGCTTTCTCGACCCAGATACCCGGCAGTCAGTCTGCGCGTGTCCGCGCGGGCTGCTGAAGACCGTCTCGGCCAAGGCGGAGGCGGAGGGCTACAAGGCCATGGCAGGAGGTATGACGAAGTTCATCACCACCGAGAACCACTGACTAACGCTGTTTAGCCGAGTATGAGTTCTACCAGTTCCGCGCGCCCGGTGACCATTCAACACCCCAGCGGGCTGCTTCGCATACTGCGTCATTTCTCCAGAACAATCCCGTCGACGCGTTGCCGCCGTTGACGGAGGGGATGTTCGGGTACTCGATTACTCGACCACTGCATAACCAGGATTACTACTATGGCATTTTTGATGCCTGTGAGCAGTTCCGCTGCGATATCGAGGGATGGCACACCGAGAGCGGACCGGGTGTATTCGAAGCTGTGAGTGGTATCTCCAACGATGAAGAATGCGTGATCTGACTGGTTGCATAGGCACTACAATTTGGCGAGGCCAAAGATATGGCCGATAAGGCGGGACTCTTCAAGTAAGTCAACCTTTTGCAGTGCTGCGGAGCTTCGTGTTGACCCCCACAGATACGTCGTAAAAGCCTACGGCATCAAACATGGCATCACGCCGTGCTTCATGGCCAAACCGCGACAAGGCCTCCCCGGCAACAGCGGACACATGCACATATCACTGATGAAAGACGGCCGCAACGCCTTCATCCGCGACACCCCCGACCCCTCCCCGGCCTATCCAGATATCGCGCACCTCTCCGATCTCGGCCGACACTTCCTGGCAGGACTGCTGGTCGGCCTGCCGGACATCATGCCGCTCTTCGCGCCGACGATCAACTCCTACAAGCGACTTGTGGAGAACTTCTGGGCACCCGTGACCGTATCCTGGGGCCTGGAGCACCGCGCCGCCTCGATTCGCATCATCAGCCCGCCGACGGCCAGTCCCAAAGCCACGCGCTTCGAGGTGCGGGTGCCCGGCGCCGACGCTAACCCGCATTTTGTGCTTGCGGCTGTCATGGCGCTGGGCTGGCGTGGTGTGGAGAAGAAGTTGGAGATTCCGGTGCCGCCGCTATCCAAGGGGGAGGATATGGGTGGTGCGAGTGATCAGGGGGTGCGGCTAGCGAAGAGTTTGAAGGAGGCAACTGCGACGTTTATGCGGCCGGAGAGTGTGGCGCGGGAGGTGTTTGGGGATGAGTTTGTGGAGCACTTTGGCGGTACACGGGAGCATGAGGTTAGGCTTTGGGAGGAGGCTGTTACTGATTGGTGAGTTCTTTCCTCCCCTGGCCATATGCTGCGTGTACTGAGTATGCTGACCTGTCTAGGGAGGTGCGGAGGTACATCGAGACGGTATAGGTTGGGATCGATCTCGAGACTATAGATATGCGCTGGGCGCAGATATCCGACGTAGCAACGCAATGAATGTATTCCTAGCTGTACTGTCTGTGAGATATTATCTGTTCATATGATGTATTCTGCAGAGTCCAGAGTCTCCCTATCTTGGGTCGAGTAACCTGTAGCAGATGATATCACATGCCATCACATGGGCAGTCCTCCGGGACATTTCGGCGTGCACCTCAACCGAGTCCTCCGACGGCGTCCCGAAGGTGTGACAGGGAGTCAATTGGAAGGACGTGTATGTACTTATCCAGCTGGACCGCGGCCGATTGGCGGGGAAACACGAAGCCCTGCTGCCGTAGGCTAAGCCAGTATATAGATGACCGTCGGGTGGATCAGGGAAGGCGCGCAGGGTTCGGAAGGTCCCTGGTGAAGTCATGAACTCTGTTTGCAATCGTATCGACGCACCCAGCACTCCCCGAACAAAATCTATAAGACCGTCTTTCCCACCCGGACGAGAGACCTCCCCAACTTCGGCGGGCCGCCGAAGCGGTTGCTCGGGATGCGCCGCAGCCCGAGTTGCGATCGGGGAGGACAGCGTTCGGTGGCATCGGGGAGAGGGAAGCTGGGGACGGGAAAGTGGCGATGTCGGCCGAGAGGAAGAGCAGTGATTGGGCAATGCATGTAAAACTGGGGAGAGCTCTGTGACCGCCCGCGGTTTGCCGTGGAAAAGTCACGTGTGCAGGCGGTGAATCCTCACCAAGGTGTAGATTGGCCGCAGATAGCAGCGCCGAGTCACGGCAATTACTCGATCGCCGGATAAGCAGTCGCCGGTGGGGCACCTTCCGCCCGCTGAACAGCCGCGGCTCTCGTTCTCTGACGTAGACTCCTCGGATGAAAGGCGCCCCTGCCATATATATACTCTACGGTTCTTCCAATGCGAAGCATTCTCTTTCTCTTCTGACTGTCCTCGTGTCCTCGATCTGCTTTACATTTTGGATGGACCGTCACTAGCCTTATATCCTACCTCTATCTATATCTGATCTATAACCATGGCCCAGTCCGTCGAAGCTCATCTCAAGGATGTCGCCATCCTCGGTAACATCCCCAACGACGCCCGCAAGATCCTGACCAAGGACGCCTGCGCCTTCCTCGCCATCCTCCACCGCACCTTCAACCCCACTCGCAAGGCCCTGCTGCAGCGCCGCATCGACCGCCAGGCCGCTATCGACAACGGTCAGCTGCTCGACTTCCTTCCCGAGACGAAGCACATCCGGGAGAATGACGCCTGGAAGGGTGCACCCCCCGCCCCGGGTCTGGTCGACCGTCGCGTCGAGATCACCGGTCCCACCGACCGCAAGATGGTCGTCAACGCCCTCAACTCCGACGTCTGGACCTACATGGCCGACTTTGAGGACTCCTCCGCGCCCACCTGGGAGAACATGATCAACGGCCAGGTCAACCTGTACGACGCCATCCGCCGCCAGGTCGACTTCAAGCAAGGCGGGAAGGAATATAAGCTGCGCACCGACCGCACGCTGCCCACCCTCATCGCTCGTGCCCGCGGCTGGCACCTGGACGAGAAGCACTTTACCGTCGACGGCGAGCCCATGTCCGGCTCCCTGTTTGATTTCGGTCTGTACTTCTTCCACAATGCCAAGGAGCTCGTCGCCCGCGGCGCCGGCCCCTACTTCTACCTACCGAAGATGGAGTCGCACCTTGAGGCCCGTCTGTGGAACGACGTCTTCAACCTCGGCCAGGATTATATCGGTATGCCCCGGGGCACCATCCGCGGTACAGTCCTCATCGAGACCATCACCGCCGCCTTCGAAATGGACGAAATCATCTACGAGCTGCGCGACCACTCCTCCGGCCTGAACTGCGGCCGCTGGGACTACATCTTCTCCTTCATCAAGAAATTCCGCAACCACCCCTCCTTCGTCCTCCCCGACCGCTCCGACGTAACCATGACCGTCCCTTTCATGGACGCCTATGTCAAGCTTCTCATCAAGACGTGCCACCGTCGCGGCGTTCACGCAATGGGCGGCATGGCCGCGCAAATCCCCGTGAAGAACGACCCCGCCGCAAACGACAAGGCTATGGAATCCGTGCGTGCCGACAAGCTCCGCGAAGTCCGCGCCGGCCACGACGGCACCTGGGTCGCGCACCCAGCCCTGGCCGCCATTGCCTCCGAAGTCTTCAACAAGCACATGCCAACACCGAACCAACTCTTCGTCCGCCGCGAAGACGTCCACATCACCTCCAACGACCTGCTCAACACCAACGTCCCCGGTAAGATCACCGAAGATGGCATCCGGAAGAACCTAAACATCGGCCTGAGCTACATGGAAGGCTGGCTCCGCGGCATCGGTTGCGTGCCTATCAACTTCCTTATGGAAGACGCCGCTACTGCCGAAGTCTCCCGCTCTCAGCTGTGGCAGTGGTCCAAGCACAACGTCTCCACTGCGGAGGGCAAGAAGGTCGATAAGAGCTATGCCCTGAAGCTCCTGCAGGAGCAGGCGGATTCCCTGGCTGCGAAGGGTCCGAAGGGTAACAAGTACCAGCTTGCGGCGAGGTACTTTGCTGGCCAGGTTACTGGTGAGGATTATGCGGATTTCTTGACCTCGTTGCTTTATAATGAGATTTCTTCGGCTGGTTCTGCTGCTAAGCTCTAAGCTGGAGGTCTCATTATGAGTCAGGCGTGCTGATGCTGGGGATCTGCTGTGCTTGGCTGGTCCTGTGATGATCATGAATACCCTTTTTTTTTTCTTAATTTGCAAGACGAATGTCGATCTTTAGTTTAGCATCGTTGTATAACAATTTTTCTGTTCAAATACTTCCTACCTCGTATAAGGTTAGTCGTTCGTAGATTCAGCAAGCTTCCTTCCCATATGCGATCTATGCGCTCACCTCCGGCCATCCAAATTGAATGCACGACCAAGCATGGCCACCCTTGTCTTCGGATCATCATTTCAAAAACATCACCCCGCAATTCCGGGACATGTATTCCATTCTCTCAGTAATCCCCAGCTTCTTCCCCTCCGTGTCATCCAGACCTGACCAGCCTGAGCGACATCGCATACAAGACTAACCTTTAATATCCTGAGTGTTATCTCTGCAAAGCAAGTCTGGTTACTTTTTCCGGCCAGGTCAACCGACTTCTTGACCAAATGGACCACCATTGAGAATATACCATATACCCCGGGGCCATGATACAGCAAAATGGCAGCGGAAAAGAATGTGAATTTGGGTGGGGCCCCGAGTTGATGCCTGGTGTTGAGGGGAACTCGGTCCGAAATATGCCAACCGTTACCCTCGAGGTAACGACGTTTGAATCGGAGGAAGAGCTGAAACCGGGCATCGGATGGTGACTTGACGCCGCGGAAGGTGACGCAAACGTAGCTATCACAGTCAAGGCGAACAGAAGAGTACCGAAAATGAATATTGGGAGATGGGAACGTCTTGGCAAGACACTCCACAAAACGCAGCACGTCGTTATCACCAGGACGAGTGAGGCGCATCACTGTATTTGGCTATCCTTTCACCATTTCTTTCTGTTCTGTATTTCTGCGAGAGCCGATCGGCCAGGAGTATGATGTTATCATTGATCATGGAACTCTAAAAAAGGGAAGAGAGAGTATGCTTGCACCAAGGGTGGAGATGCCAATAAGGTGTATACGGATGAGGACAACGGCCAAAGCTTCCTTCCCTATTTTGCCCATATTGATGCCCTGTTTTCAATTGACTGTTGATTCAACACTGGCAAGGGAAAGCCTACTATAAGTGTGGAAATGTTTTCATGCGCATAATAGTTATTGAAACTTCATCGACCTCAGAAGATTTATTGTGGTGATATGACAGTGTAGATGACTGCTGTTCAGAAAGACTGTTTGGCTACTGTTTTGAATGTCCAAGACGCTGCACCGGACTCAACTCCTTTTCCTTTTCTTTAACTCCTTTCATCTCAGAGCTAGGAGTACTCAATGGTTGAGACATCGATTGCCACAAGTTGCATTCAATCCCTATTTTCGTATCCGATCAAACCAGCTCCTTCATCAACCTATCCACAGAAGTCTTCCCCTGCATACTGTACCCCTCAACAAACCGCTCGCCAAAATCCCTAACATAATTATCATAAGTCGTGTCAGGCTTGTGCACGCAAAGCCCACACATAAGCTTCTTAAACTCCTCCTTAAACCCAAGATGAGGAAGCTCCCCTACAACAGCCCTATACTCCTCTCTGGAAATAAGACCCCCAGGAAATTCGTACCCGGCAAAATCCGCGGAAATCCCCATATTGCAAAGCGCAACCTCCAGCTCCTTGTGCCGGGCCAGACTCGGCGTCGTATGAAGTGCAATGCTATCCCAAACAAGCTGACGCTGACGATCGTTGAAATGTGACGCTTGCCTTTTCAGGAAATCTCTTGCGGCATTTGCTCCGTCGACCTCGAAGCGTTTGTCGGGTGTTGAGAAGATGCTCTTGTGGTCCCAGGCTAGGTCATGGAGGATGGCTGAGACGGCGTGGACTTCGAGGTCTGTTTGCGCGAATTCCGGTAGCTTGCTCGCCAGCAGGCTGCCAAAAACCCAGGAGCGGTGGACATGGTTGAAGGACATTGCGTCATTGTGTGTGCGGGCGAAGTCGAGGGCTGATTGCACGAGCGGGGTGTCGATTACGGGGATGCCGGCAACGAGGCGCGTTTTGTGTGCTGAGGATGCCATATTGAGTCGGAATGAGAAATTTTCGACTTCTTTGGCGGTGATTTTGTTGGCGGGCAATGAGGCAAAACAGTGATGGAAGATGGATAGCCGAGCGATCTAGATGGCTGATGGACGTCACGTGCTCCTTGGTGAAGTTCGTGATATCCAGAAGACTTTCGGGAAGGTGCGTGGTTGCCTCTTTATATATACCTGTCCGTCGGGCTATACTTACCATAGAGCAGTCCGCATGGACGTTACTGATGAGTCGACTGACAGTTGGAGTCGATCGGTCGGGGTATGCATCTCATCCAACCAATCATGTCAGCAGATCCACATTGCCGGCGGCCCGGTATGCCAAAGCTGGCTAGCGCGAGAAGCCATACATGCGGCCAGGACGATGTCAGCAGCCTCGCAATAGCAAGTTTCTACTACAAAACCACTGTCGCGATTTACACAGCCTGAATCCATCTGGCTACTATGTCACAACCATGCCGCACCTGTCGCGTGCGGAAAAAAGCCGTGGGTCTAACTCTTAACACCTCCACAAGCTGATCAACTAGCTAGCTGACAAATGCAAATAGTGCGACAGAACTCTACCAGAATGCCGGACCTGCCAGAGCGCTGGTCGTCAATGTACAGGCTACGAGCCTCATGTCAGGGGCGTATTTGTCAACCTTGATAAGGAAAGTATTGGCCGACGAATAAAGCCTCTCATCACGGAGGCTACAACATCCGCCAGGGAAGCCAGAAAGCATGGCGGCATCTTTCAACATGAAGATCAGCAAAAAGCTTCGGTTTTCCTCCACACTCTCGAGCTCTCAGCGGGTGAATTTCAAGACCATTTCGCGACCTTGTGGAACTATTTCCAAGCCTCGTATGCGCGGACAGACGATAGCTGGTCTTACGGGGTGACGGGCTTGGCACTGCATCACCGAGCTCTCGACCTCGCATTCGTGTCTTTGGCAACGATGCGGCTCTCATTGGGCGGGGAAAAGAGCACGTATCAGGTGTTGAGCCTTTCAGCTTATAGCGCGAGTCTGAATATCTTCCAACGACTCCTTCGAAATGACGCTCGTCTCTCGGAGGGCCTTTTGGTTGTTATATCATTGATCTTCACACTGTTTGAGGCTTCCCAGCAGCAAGCAACGAGAATTCATCATTCGGGATGGTCAGGACATTTGAAGGGTGCACTATGTCTTATGAGGCATCAGGGGCCATCTTCTTTCCAGACTGGTGGTTTCCATGTTGCCTTCAAGAAGATCCGAGAAATGGCGGTATGTTTCGAATTCATTCTGTGTCCTGACTATTGCTGACTATCCGATAGATTTTGCTCAGTTTCTCTATGAGACAGGCATCATTCTTTGCAGAGCCAGGGTGGATGCAGTTGCCATGGACAAATAACAAGAAAACCTTTCGCGATCGCTTATACGACATCGCTGCCAGATTCACGGTATCGCATGCGAAGCCAATCGAGTCACATGTAGGCCAGTGTCTACAGGATTATCGGGACCTTCATATGTCCTTAATTGAGTGGCTACGCGCCTGGCTTCAATTAGAATATCCGAATGTTCTTGTACCAACATGTCGAGGATGTCACGATGAGCCATGCCTGTGCTTTCCGCATCGAAGCCTCTTTCCGTGCAGCGAGTTCGCATTCACTGGGGCTGAGTGGATGGCATTTTTTTTATTCCTTTCTTTTGAGAGCCACAAGATAGTCAGAGTGTTGCCAGCCGCTGTGATAAATGACGTTTCACAAAACGACGTTTTCCGTCAGAAGAAGCTCGAACGGCGAATACAGTGGTTGGAGTACGAACTAAGGGAGATATTAAGTCTTACTTGCTTCGGACAAGCTATCTCGGAGCCCATCGGGATCACAGAAGGTCGCTGCCGCTCCCTACTTCCAACATGGGTTTTGTCGCAAGTCGCTGGCAATCCGAATGGCCACGATAGAGGCTGGTGGGATGGGTTGAGCAGCCAACTGAACTATGGCATTTCATGAGTCGGCATCTGCATATCACGGATGGGACGGGTTTTGGCTTTGCTGCTCTGCTTCACATCGTGCATGGAACGATGTCAGCATTCAGATGACCGAGCTTCGGGTCATTGATCTTATTTGCTCAGCTCGCTCTGAAGTTGCGTCTGTCAGTCTCGCGTATAAAATCCTAAGCGAGCCTCGGTTTTGTCAAACATCCGCCAAAGTCGTGTCTTCAGTGCCGATGACGGTATATCCTTTGTGGCTGGAAATTGTCAGCACTTCTTTCTTGGTATTGAGATCGGCGCTGGCAAAGCTCCGAGCAGAAGTTACCAGCGTCCTCTCAGGCGAAGCCATCGCCCCCTTCGCAAAAGTCAAGGGCCTCCCATATCTGCGAGCCTGTCTAGACGAGTCCGTCCGAATCTTACCTCCTCTCCCCCACGGTCTCGAACGCAAAATACCCCCACAAGGCATGCAAATACTGGGCGAACAAATCGCCGGCGTCGTCACCGTCTCAGTTCCAACGTACGCAGCGCACCGCGATCCGATACAGCTCCCCGAGCCCGAGAAATATATACCGGAAAAGTGGCTCGATGCTTCTGACGCGACGAAGGATATGAGAGCTGCGTTTATACCATTTAGATCGGGAGCCCGCGCATGTCTTGGGAGGAATATTACGATGATGGATCAGCAGATCCTGGTTGCGACGCTATTGCACGGGTATGGTTTTTGCTTGCCGTTTGAGGAGTGGGAGTTAGATTGGGAGGATGCTTTTAATCTTTGGCCGTGCGATATGCATTTGAAGGTCTGGAGACGAGGGGTTGATTCTGGCCTCGAAATATTCTAGTTTGAGTATAGAAAAATCCACTATGAAATTCAGTCAAATCTTTCATACCACGGTTGTTCATAAGGACTTTGGTTGAAGATGATGTGAGAGTGAGCTAGAAGTGCAGTGTATGTAATGAACGTGACATGTGTATTCGAACTAACTAACATATAGAGAGGAAGGAGAGAAGGAAGGGAAGGACGTCCTCGAGAGTATGCGGACTGTGTACACCGCCCTATTCACTGTCATTCTTCAATCAGGCTTGTATTCACTCGAGAAACGTATCCAATAGGTAGGTTCCACCTCCAAGCATAGAAACAAGTTCGACACAGGTGCCCAGGCCCTGCGCATTGAGACTTCAGATTATCCATTAGGTCTGCTGTGTGGCCCATATCCTTGTCGAGAATCCTTCGGAATTTAGATGGTGCCTCATCGGAGGGCCCGCAGTACTCCAGCCTCCAAATCACGGTATCGATCTACGCCATAAGGCTGCAGATCTGATTTGAATGCTAGTTGTAGCAGAAGAGGCCAGAAATTGCTGGTATGTGCTCCAACATATCTTCAAGCATTGCCAGTTGATCCTTGAAATAATCCATGGGATCTTCGCATGCTTTGCCCAGTTAGAAACTGCCTTGTTTGGGCTCTGATGAGACCTTCCATCGCAGTTTAGCAGAGGCTAGACCTTTCCAGCCACGCAAGACTGTACATGAGATCCATTGCTGAGAGGTCCTGGAACTTGTCGCGGATTTCTCGGCGATAGTGGACATCATGTGGTAGATATAAGGCACCTTCCTTCGTACGGACACATCCCATTCAATAATCCTGCTAGAATCTGACCCTTCATGCCATTGTATCAAGAGAAAAATCGATTCTCGCCATCCATAGCGAGTCTGTAAATCTAACCTCAACTTGTCGACTTTCACACAGTGTCATATGCTCGCAGATTTTAAAGCTGTTCCCAGGGTACGCTGAAGCAATAGCAGCCGCAATACGCGCTTCAACCATCTTCGTTCAATCGCGACGAATCGAATCGGTCGTTCTGCAAAATAATGCTGAATCACGGGTTTGCGCTCGCGCCCGTTCCAGGCTCTCCAACTTCGACCTTTCCTCCAAAAGTGACAAATAAGCCGGCTGAAGGAGCCAGTAAACCGGGCCAGCAGCCGGCCTATGATCTGAACCGATGCAATGGCCTTGCAACCAGTGTTCTGTTAGCCGACAGGAATTGATGAGGGAGATTGGGCGAAAGCCTTCAGCTTTGGGTTTAAACAGTTGGTTTTGTTCAAATCGTGTCCTCTGGAGGGAGAGGAAGAGAGAACAAGAAATAATGAGAGCGGATAGTAGAAGCAGAAGCTGGGGTGCAGCCACGGACAGTGAAGGTTGGCCGAGAGCGCCTCTAATGCGCTGTGTTTGACGTAGATGAGGAGGTTTGCGGTAGGCTCCTCGACGTAATGGGTAAGCCCGACGCAAGTGCAAGGTATATAACCACATCCTGGTGTCATTCGCACTGCTGAAGCCCGAAACTGACCTCAAGGACGGTCACACCATGCCTGCTCTGGTGCTCTGATTGGCCGCGTGTGAATGTCTTGTAGCCCGCACGATGAGGGATTAATTCGCTGGAAATGCACCGTTTGAGATCTGAGAGGATGTCGCGCACGGATTGGGTAACCAGGAACTGATCAAACAGAGGACTGGCAAATGACCAGACAGTCGAATAGGTGACTGAGCCACAATGAGGTAGGATATGTGTTGACCTCCCAGAGGTAAACTAGAGCATTGGAGACTCCTTGGCCGGTGTTGTGATAGCTCCATCTGTCAATAGCCAGTGAGCACGATGAATTCTCACACAAAGGGGCGCGCCACTAGAGCTTCTTTCTTCGATATAGTAAAACGGCTTTCGACACCGGTCAAGGCAAAAATTACGCATGCTCACCGTGTGATGTCGCAAATGACAACCCGGTGCCAGCCAATCGGTTATGGATTTGGAACAACACTTCTCCCAGGTCGTGACTAGAGACATCGGTAGCCAGGTACTACTAGATATTCGTATTCTTTTAGACCAGGTTGACACGCTTCAGGAACCCTTTTGTGCACTTAAATGTCTGCTTTTGTTCTCGACTCCAATGAAGATTCGCCACCTTTTGGACACCCCCTTTCTTTCGGTCAATCAAATGCAGGCAATGAAATCGGCAACACTTTCCGCTGTGGTCACGTCGTCGTCAACAAAAGCTCCGAACACAACGTCGGGGTTTGGGTCGGCTAGGGTAGACAATACCCAGTTCGTACTATGTCCGTTAAAAGTCCAAGTATCACAGCCTTGGCGTGGCCGTATTGGTCCGCAAACCACCAAGCCACATTTGCTCGAAGATGTCTTGCTTTTCGGAATATTAGCCTCAAGAATAATCAAGGGCCAATCCAATTAGCGTTACAGCCCCAGGGTAAGGCGCTCAGGATGGTCGAACCCTTTCGAGCAGATAAATCTCTTTCCCGTGCAGCTGCCATGTGCCAGCGCAGTCATCTGGTCTAGGTAGCAGAGCTGTTAGCAGACAACACAGAGATGATGAATGAGCGATGGGTGATAAATGGATGAAGGACTGCCGCGATCTATATATAGGCAGCTGGACTAACATGTGACCCGACTTCAGGGAGTCAATAGAAGCTTCTCTCTTTCCTCGTCCATTCGCCATGTTCATTATCATATCGTCTTTGGCGCTTGTGCCAGGCCTGATGAAGTGAGGCGCAAACGGTGTCTTTGACAGAGGGGATAACTTCTAACTGCTAGAACGTATCGCTATCAAAAGTCCGCCAGTACCCTAAGGTAACCACTACACTTCGCATACTCATGGTAGGGAAATGTGCTCGGGAAGGCATCAATGACAATATCGCCACAAAACAATGCAAAATATGGCATGGGAAACTTAGGGAAGCCCTTTTAGGAGAGATTATCGAAGCACAATTTTCATGAGTGTTGAGAGCCGGGGTCAAGAAATAGCCCCTAAACGACGCTGAAAAGATGTCCAACGACTATGAAGCTGAAACACCCACCCCGGATTCTTCAGCAATGTTCTTCGGCTTTCCATGTAACTGAAAGGAAAAGCCAAGCCCTCACTATGTTTGAAAGTTTGCCGAAGGAGACATTGGCACCCCTTTTGGCGACAAGGCCACGACTACAGACAATGCGCAGGATGAGACAGTGTAAGACCTATTCGTATTCAGTTGAATGTTAAGACTTTCCTAGCACAAACCTTACACAAGTGTGCTACTATAAATTCAATCGTGTGATGCTACATTCACAATCGTAATAATGACGGAATTGGGAGAGACAGGGTAGCGTCTTCACTCCAACAGGTATTCATTCTCTCCGTACGAGACATGTCTATATTAAGACTTCATAAGTGAGTGTGGCGCGTAATACAGCAATATGCACAACTAAATTCAATATACAATTATCGAGTGCAACCCATCCCGAACCGAATCTCCAGGACTCAATCCAAAACTCGAGCTCGCCCGACCATACTAACAAGTACCTCAAAGCAACATCTCCTACTCACGACGAGTGAACAGCTTAGATGTACTCCCAAGCAGGCTGGGTGGTGTTGGAGACAGGAACAGCCAGGGCATCGAAGCCAAGGCAGTCACCAACGTTGCCAGTGGGGACGGTAGCGTTCTGCTGAGCAGAGAAGACCTGGTAGCTAGCGGCGGCAGGGGCGATGCGGCGGCGGCTGTAGGGAACGGCGGTCCCGTTGGTGGTGGGGCAGGCCATGAAGCCTTGGCCGTAGCTCCAGGTGCCGAGGCCGCCGTTCTTGCCGGGGGTGTGCTTGAAAGGGCCCTCGGAGGAGCCGGGGGGGATGTAGCCGGAGTGGGGGTGGTGAAGGAGAGGGCGCCGCTGGCGGCGACGTAAATCTCCTGGCCACCGGGGACGATGACGTCCTAAAATTCATTAGTAGGGGCAGGTGAAGAATGTCATGCGGAAGGGACGTACAAGGTAGTGGGAGCCGGTCAGGATGGTGTCGTTGGTCGACTGGGTGCAGGGGACACCGTCGGGGCAGTAGGTCTGGCTCTCGCCGCCGAGATAGAAGTGGGAGCCGGAGGCAGTCAGAGGGAGGAAGTGGATGGGCGAGCCGGAGCGAGCGGCGGTGACGCCGAAGGAGCCGGAGGAAGAAGACTCCTGGCGGCGGCCGGGGAGGGCGGCGGCCAGAGGAACGAGAGCGAGGAGGGCGGAGACCTTCATTTTGAGCGAAAGTAGGTGGTGTATGTAAAGACTGTTTGTGAGAGGAATGATGGGAAACAGAATGGAACGTGGAGGCAGATGGGAGTCTATAAATGATATCGAGGTTCAATCCCCACCGTGCGAGCGAGTTTTATATTCCACCTCCTCGACTGCATTGCCCCTATGCGCCGGGCTAGGGTCTCCATTGACGGTCCTGACCACCAAACAAGCGAAATGATCGACATGGAACCTGCTTCACTGCGACAGTACTACCCTAGAAAAGTAACTGATATCATGGACTTGTAAGCTTGCCGTCGGCGGCCGTGCGATCGGCAACCAGGGCTGAGCCTGCGTGAGCAGGAAAGTACATCGGGACTGTCGATTTTAGGAATAGCGCCGAGTTCAGCAAAGGCATTGGCCAATGAGTGGGCAGACGGGCACTGGTTGTCGGTTGATTCCATAAGGAAAACATGCTCTAGAAATTCCTGTTTTGAGCAGTCGGTTCAGGAACACGGAGAGGTGATTGGAAGATACGACCCTGAGACATGCGCTGCTGAAGTCTCCACAGCGTCTGCGGTGATCGACAGCCACCGCCAGGGTTCCTGAACGCTATTTGCGCGGATAATTCGGCGACGATGCGCAGTCGCTGCTTCCTATCATCATCTTTTTCCGCCTCCCCATGATCCCTAGAGTTGTAGATAGATTGCGAGGAAATTTGACCATTACGCGGTTCTGATTCTGGACCCTGGGTCACCCCTGAGACGTATCCGATCTCTGAAAGGACCCAAGCGAAGACCCTGACAGGTGGGTCGTTTCAGACAAGCCAACGTGCCTGCAGAAGGCAGTAGGGATCGCCGTCTCTTACCAATCGCCCACGGCCCGGTCGCTTTCAGGGTCGAGCATCGAGCATCGAGCATCGCGAGAGCTCGTCCGGAAAAAATCCTCCGTGCCAGTGTGGCTCAATGGCCGTGGCGACAGGCAGACGCGGGTCCACGACCGTGATCCACTTTGTCTCCGGGGGTTAGACGGACTTGACATCACATTCAGGAGAGCTCCCGATCAGCCGGCGATCAACGGCGGCCTTGCCCCGGGCGAGACGGAGTTCCCCGTATCTCGACCTGCCATCGAGATTGCCATCGGGCTACAGGGCACTGCTGATCCCCTCCAGGGAGATGCCATCCCTGCATGTCCAGAGCTTTACTCCGGTGGAGAACGTGGGCATGGCGCTGGTCTGGAAGAATTGGCGCAATCTGCGTGTGACAGCAAAGTGAGAGATCGTCGCTGGAGGAAGGTCGGCACCGCCACGATTCTTGGAGGTTGCTAGGGCTGGCTTAGTGGGGTGTCTCAGTGCTAGTGCGGGCTGGACAGGCAGAAAGAATCGAAGGTGCTTATTTATAGGTCCGCGTGGTACTTTCCCAAGTATAGACACTGCCCTAGAGAAGAAACTATGTATTTGGATTTTTGTTTTCATTGAGCTAGAATCGTAAATGTTCTATGTTCATCATGTTGCCATGGCCGTAACGCCCAAATCCCCATCGCTAAACGAGATCAGGGCGGAACCCTTGTCAAAAAATAAAAATACAACGCAAGCAAAAATCTCGCTATGGGGCAGACCTTCAGAAAACAAAATCTTCAGAGCTGCGCTAGTAGGTCGAGCTAGTAGTCAGCCACGAGCGGCAAGTCCCGAGAACTGCGTCCAGCCCAGATTTTAAACGCGCCATCTGTAGGCAGGACCCAGTTCTGCGCGCGAACACTCCAGTAACTGAGATCCTTCCGCGAGAGTGTCATATTGACGACGGTGCTCTCGCCCGCCTCGAGAGTCACTTTCTCAAAGTTGCGGAGCACACGGACGGGAAAGTCGATCTTTTCGCGCGTCCAGCTTATGCCGCGGTGTTCGACTACCTCGTCTGGGAAGGAGACATAGATCTGGACGACTTCTTTGCCCGCCCGTTTGCCGGTGTTGGTTACCTTAACGGAGAGTTCGAGCATGGCTTCCCACAGAGATGGATTTCCGCCCAGTCCGCCTCCTGCCTCAGATGGTTTTTGTTTCGTGTCGTAGCCGTCTGGGTAGGGGTATTCGCCCTTTTCGGTGCCGGATGTATCGCGTAGGTAGGGATAGATGTATTTGGAAAGAACCTTCAGGTCCTTCGGGAAGAGACAGTCCTCCGCCCGTTCACGGCGTCGGGGGTAGGAAGGGGGATCGATATCGCTATCGACGCGCGAATGCGGCAGCCGAGACTTCTCCTGAAGGGGGTTGATGCGAAGATCTGCGAACTCAAAGGTCGTGTAGGAAAGTCCGTAACCGAACTCATAGCGCGGCGTGATGTTGTGCCGATCAAAGTATCGATAATCCATGTACAAACCCTGACTCAGGTCCATCTGGGGAGCACGATCGTCGGTCTCGTACAGGATTTGCGCACCAGGCCCGTAGTCCTCCAGAGATCGACCTATGGTGTAGGGCAGACGGCCGCTGGCGTCGACGTCACCGAAGAGCACGTCGACGAGGGCGTGGCCACTTTCTTGGCCGGGCAGGTTCGCGTAGAGAACGGCGTGAACGCCTGGGAGGTCGATCCAGGGCTCTAGCACGACGGGACCGACGGAGTGTACCACGACGACGGTGCGGCCTCGGCCACCTCCGCAATGTCGTGCGACGCCGTCGACTAGTTCTGTGCCGTTGCGTTGTAAGAATAAGTCATTGCGATCACCGTTGATGTCGTCGCTGTGGATGAAGCCTTCGCCGCCGTCGGAGTTTACAAATACGATGCACAGGTCTTGCTCGAGCAGGTTTTCGTAGGCGACATTATTGGTCAGGTAGTCTTTGACCTCGACCTTGTCGGCTGGCCATGCGAATTTAAGAGCTTCCCAGGGACTGACGAGGTAGGGGAAGTCCACGGCGCCGCTGCCCCAGCCCGAGGCGAGAGTTCCCTGATTGCAGCCGCGATCAGCGCAAGCGTTAGGTCCGTTTCCAGGACCTGCATCTTCGCCATAGATACCGATACGATATTTTCCATTCGGGCTGGAGACCTTTCGAGAGAGCGGGAGTGTGCTGTTCACGTTCTTCAAGAGAACGGTGCCCTCGGCCGCAACTTGTCGAGCGACATCAGAATGCAGCTTGGATCCAGGGGACTTGCGCGCGTTGACGAAGTGATTGACGGCCTCCCAGGAATCATCATCTGGGCTGCCGGGATGTAGTCTGCCCATCGTCTCGTTTGTCCACGATGAAAAGTTGGGGCCGCCCTCCCATAGGTCTTGACGGAAATGAAACCATGATGCAACAATACGAGTTACCATATCGTTCAAGCGGTCCATAGGGACAGATGTGTTCAGCGCTGCGGCAGTCATTTGCGGTCCCCAAAGAGCTTTACCATCTGCCCATCCAAGACCATCACCGGGCATGCTCATATCGAGGCCACTGAGAGCACTCTGCACGCCGGACCGCTGTGCTAGCCAGTCAGACTGGACGAAGCCCTGGAAACCGAGTTCATCTTTGAGGATCCCGTTAAGCAGTTTACTGTTTTCACAAGAATAGCTGCTATTGACCCGTTGATATGCACACATCACGCTGGCAACATCCGCTCGGATACTCTCTGCAAAAGGCCAAACGAAGACCTCATGGAGGGCACGGTCGTCGATGTTAGATGAGACAGCATAGGCACTTCCCTCGTTTGGTTGACGGAAATGTTCCTGTTCATTGAGAACGAAGTGTTTCGCTGTGGCCATCACACCGATGTGCTGAATGCCTTGGATAGTCTCGGCTGCAGCAACAGCCTGCAGAACAGGATCAGACCCGAAGGATTCCCAGTTCCGACCACCAGCTGGCATCAATCCCATTGCACCGATGGATGGACCGAGGAGAACATTCACACCCTTGGCGCGAGCTTCCCGGCCGAGGGAGGATCCTCGAGCCCGCATCAGAGCACGGTTCCATGTAGCTCCTGTCGTGATACCAGCAGGGAATGCAGTGATGTTGTCTGCGAATCGTAGGCCGAGGGGGCCATCCTGGAGACACAGGGAGGGGAAGCCAACAGACGCAGCAGCTTCTATGGACAGTATAAGCACACATAAGCATCAAACAGAAAACAAGGATATTCATACCAGTATTGCCCACACAAAGGCCCATCTCCCAGCCCGTTCCCGTCGTAACGCCGACCTTCTCGATTAGACTCATCCTCTCAACCATCCCTTTTGCCTTCTGATAACTCTCCCTCCAAGCCGGGCTCGTACCGCCCAGCGGAGTAGGATACCAAGGCACAGAGTGCTAAACCCATCAGTCACCGTTCCATGCAGCGGAGCAAAATCCAAATAGACCCGAATAGAACTTACATAGTTACCCTCCACATTCCTCTCCCCACGGATCCAAACAAGTCCTTTCATGGCCAGCCACATGGCCATAATAGCAGCGACAGCAAAGAAGAGAATGTGCCACCAGGACCGCTGGCCGAACACAGCACGCCATCTAGACATCCACTTCGGCTCGTCCTTCAATGGAACCCCGTAGTCATCCTCTTCATCACTAAGCACAAAGTCGGTATTGGCATCCTCGATATCCGTCCGGAACGCCTCCGCGAGAACATTCCGTCGTTCCGTCTCAAGGAATTTCTCAATTCGCTTCCCGACATCTCGCTGTTCCGTCGGCACGGGGACTGCATCTCCTTCGCTTTGGCTTGGTTCCCGCGAACTCGACGAGCTTTCACCAGGCGTCTCGAATCTGACCGAGCCATGCCCGTGCGCATATCGACCACGTACCGGTCCTTTTCTCGTATCATGCGGAGGCAAGGGTAGGAGCTTGACGTCGGCACTGGTCACGTTCTCGAGCTCATCGCCAGACGACAACAAATCGAGGTCGTCAGGATGCGGTAGGTCCTTCTCAGTATTCGGCGGTGGTCTCACAGTATTCGCATTCGCATTGGCGCCGGAGCTGTACTCCGGACTCGCAGGCGTATCGGTCGCTTCGTCAGGGATCTCGCTATCGAGCGACTCGTATTTACCGCGACGCGCATCGGCCTTAGCGCGGGATCTGGCCATCGCTGCGGATCCGATTGGGCTGAGCGGGCATTTAACGCGTGCTCGTTCGCATGCTGCGAGGAATTTCGAGGATTTGGCGCGCAATTTTGTGGCCTGGGAATCAAGGGTAAGCTGCAGTCCTGTTTGGGAATTTCTGGTGATGCGGTATGGGGTCGGTCAGGTGACCCCCCGCAAACGGGATCGATCAATTTGACCAGCCGAAGTATACATAAAACACGGCGACTATACGAGTACGAGGTACGTCGAGCAGGGATTCAAAAATGCTATTGCACGAAGCTGGAAAAAATTGAAGAATTCATTGATAACTTTTGTTCATGACCGACAATCATAATCGCGGTCTTAACGATGCATATCTACTACTAAAGGAAAATCCCAAACGCCGTCTATCAGTCCCATGCGAAATCAGACCCAGAAGGCATTCATGCAAGGAAATAAGAATCAACATGGCAACATTACGAAGAACCTTATGGATACTTCTTACTCCTCGTCGTCGGTGTCGGCAGGCTTGGGGGTTCCCTTGGGGGAGTTGAGCTGATGTAAAATGTGAGCAAAAGGCGATGAAATTGTGTGCAAGTAAGTGAGAAAAACATACCCATTCAATGTGACGAAGACGACGACGAGTCTCGCGCTCCTTGAGCTGAGCACGAGTCATCTTCTTCTTCTTCTTGGCACGGAACTTCAGCTCGCCGCCATCCTCGGCGCCAGAGTTGACGGCAGAAGGCGCGGCGCTGGTGTTGGCAGAGGCAGCAGCAGGAGTGCCGGGGGCGGAAGGTGAGTTGGTAGCGCTGTCCTCGAAACGGTCGAGGCTGACGGCAGTGTTGGTGCGGCTGACGACACGGCCATCGGCAATATGCAGCTGCTCGGGGCAGAGGGCGCCGACGAACTCCTCGTTGTGAGAAATCATCACGACACCACCCTTGAAGTCGCGAATGGCAACGGCAAGACCACCGAGGGAGTCACGGTCCAAGAAGTTAGTCGGCTCGTCCAGGACCAGCAAGTGGGGGTTGTTCCACATGGCACCGGCAAGCACGACCTTGACCTTCTGACCACCAGAGAGACCAGAAATCTCGTTGTGGTTGGCAATCTCAGGGTCGAGACCGACGTCCTCGAAGTGCTTGGAGATGGTCTTGGGATCGAGAATACGGAAACCCAGACCCTCGCGGGAGGCCTCGTGATCGTCGAACTCCTGCACCATCTTGAAGAAACCGCGCTCGACCAGGGTTTCGCGGGAAATCATCGTGTTGAACTTAGGGAGCAGTCCAACCCACTTGACCTCGTATTGGAACGTCTTCTTGTACTTTTGACGACCGATCAGGGTCTCGATCCGACGAGGTCCACGGCCGTCGCCCAGGTCAATTGGGGTCTCAAGCTGGGCCTTGTCGGCATCGGTCAGGATACGGGTCTGCTTGAGGAAAACCTCGCGATCGTCACCGTTGGCGTAACGCCACATGATGTACTGGGAGGGAGTCTTCTCCAGGTGCATCTCAACGTGCTCCAGAGCATGCTGCTTGATGTAACCAATACGAAGGTTGGGGTGCTTCTCGACCTTGCCGCTCTGGGGAATGGTCTCACCAGTCAACATCTTGATAAAGGTGGACTTACCCGCACCGTTACCACCAATGATAGCGACGCGAGAGGAGAGAGAGAGAGACAGGGAGGCATCCTGCAGAGAGGGCTTGGGGGCGCCGGGATAGGTGTAAGAGCAGTTGCTCATACGAAGAATGGCACGGGTGTTGGACTTGATACCGGACAGGATACCGGGGGCGGGAACTTGAACTGCACGGTAGAAGCAGACAGGGTATAGTAGCTCTTACCCTCGGGGTTGACCTTGACGAAATCGGCAAGGTTACCCGGGTAGCAGACCAGCTTCTTCTGCTCGTAGTGGTAGATATCAGTACAAACTTCGTCGAGGAAGCCGGAGTCGTGAGAGACGATCAAGCTGGTGATATCGGTGTGCTTCTTCAGGTACTCTTGCAACCACTTGACGTTGGCAACATCCAGATGGTTAGTAGGTTCGTCCAAAAGCAGGACATCAGCCTTCAGAAGCATGGCACGGGCCAGAGCAAGCTTCATCTTCCAACCACCAGACAGGGAACCGACGGGCTGGGACTGGCGACCCTCGGGGCCGTCAGTGAAGCCGAACTCGAGCAGGACACTGCTGATGTGCTCCTTGCCCGCTCCAGCGACCGCGGGATCCTTGGAGACATATTCCAGGATGCTCAGGTCAGCATCCTCGCCCTGGTTGTGCTCGACGAAGCAGGTGCGGACTTCTTCGGGAGGAGGGAAACCTTCCAGTTTGTCGTTGGCGATACTGCGCATCAGGGTCGACTTTCCGGCACCGTTGCGACCGCAGAGACCGTAGCGGTGACCTTTGACAAGGCGCAGGTTGGTGTGCGACAGCAGAAGCATGCCACCGTAGGCCAGAGAGAAGTTGGCGTTAACAATTACCACCTCGTTGGGGTCAGCCTGAACGGGCTTGCCGAACTTGCGCTCATCCTCGGCAACAAAGTGAGCCTGGATAGCAGTGTTGATAGCCTCGATGTTCTCTTCGGGGAGCAGACCACGGAGGTAGGGGCCGATGGAAGCGGGGATGCGGTCCAGCATGCGAGAGTTGACATCCTCGCGGACCATACCGGCAATGAAGTTCTTGGTCAGATCGTGGAACTTGGCATCGCCAAACCCAATGAGACCGCCCTGCTCCTGAATCTTGGGGTTCAGAACCGCGAGGACATCCTCGGGGGTGGTCTTGGAGACGGAGCCGGAAGCGACATCCTTGTCGGCCATAGCCTTGTCCATGACATCGAGGGCACGGGTGGCCAACTCACGAACCTCGGGGAGGGAGGCACGATCTTTGACGGCCTTCACACCAGGCTGGAGCTTGGGAAGGAAAGTACGGGCCTCGGCGGGGTCGTGGACCAACTTGGTCAAGTTCTCCACGACGACGACGGTCTGACGGAGGGTTTCTTGTGGGGTAGTCGGGGCGTTCAAGGATCGCTCGAGCAGGGGGGTCAGAAGGGCGAGCACGGGTGAGGTGACAATAGCAACGAAGGTGGTCTGGGACAGGGCGTGGATGGCTTTCTGGAGAGTCTGAGGCGACGGCTGCTCCATGGTCTTAATGAGCAGCGGGATGCGCGGGGCAACATCGTCGTTCGAGAGCAGGGTGGTGAGAGCGTTCATGGTCTTGGTGGAGATCTTGGCGACCTCGCTCTTCAGATCGTGCATGCCGTTCTCGACAATGGGGATCATCTCCTTCAGAGTCTTACCCAGAGCCTCGCGCAGCAGATCCTTCTCACGCTCCTCCTCCATGGTGCCGGTGCCCATCTGGGCCTTGACGGCCATCTTCTCCAGCAGAGAGAAGCCACCGACGAAACCCTGCCACTTGCCGCTACCCTTGCCGAGGTAGGCCTCCAAGGCGGGCAGTAAGGCGTTGACCATAGCCTCGGGGCTGAGGCAAGCGAAGAGGGCGTCCACGGCATACTGCGCAGCGTCGCGCACGACGGCGCCCTTGTCGGCCAGCGAATCCAGGACGACGCTCAGCAGGCCCTGGTCCTGGAGCAGGAAGATCGCTTCACTCAGCGGGAACTCGCGGGGGAAACGCTCGAAGAGGGCGCCAATGATCAACATGGCACTCTCCCGCTTGGCGCCATTCTTCTTATCGGTGGCGGCCTTGCGGGCCTCCGCGAGGACATCGTAGTTGAGGAGACCGGCGCATCCGACGCTGTTTATTAGCAGGTTGGTGAGCGCGTAGGAAGCGTCGAGGGACTGCTGGGAGGTCTCGGCGTTGAAGATTGTGTTCAGGAGGGAAGAAATCTCTTCGGTGGTGGGGGGGACCCCGGAGGGGGGTTTTGGAGACGATGGTTGGCATGGCCGGGGTATCAGAGGGCGAGACGGTGTGTGGCATTGTCTCGCAGCGGCGACTCGAATTATTCGAGAGTCTCGCGCAAATATATATCCAAAGTCCAAAGGACGGGGCGAAAGGAAAGGGTCGAGAAGCCCGCGATGAATGGCGGGGCGGGGCGCTGCCTGGGCCCGACAAACGAGAAAAAATAGGAACGAACGGGAGAAGTGATGGATGCGATTCAGCGGTGATGTGGCGGAAGAATCGCGCAACAGGAGAACAGCAACCACAGACACCAAACCACCAAGACTGTACAGAGAGGGGAGAGTAAGGAAGGGAGAGCACAGCGCATGGATCTGCTTACAATTTTTTTTTTTTGTTTGGGAGGCGACCGCAGCGGCCCAATCAGGCGCCCGCAGATTGCCATGGGCGGGCCTAGCCCGATGGGGCTAGTCTTATCAGTGGATCATTATACAGCCTGAGAGGTAAGGCGGTAAGGCAATAAGGCAAACAAAATGGATGCCTTCAGAATCCAGGTGAGCCCAGGGTGCTCTCAAGCTGAGCGCAGGGGGGTGGGGCAAATCACATGACACTTGGCGGTGCTGAGCGCAGGGGGCTCCATTAATTACCTATATAGGACCAATACGTTTTGGTATCACAACAGTAAAATTGGGGTGTCCGCCATACATACAGATCAACTGATATAACGACTCGTATTCAGAGGAATCAACAACGAGGAAGTGTGTATTAAGTACAGAAATTAACTACTAATTAGTTACTAACTAATTCCTAATATATAGGAAGCCTTGCTCGTCGACATGCAGAGCAGCAACAAATCGAACAACGACGGCAAAGGGTACCTAAAGAAGATCGCATTCTTTATGACTTCTCTTCGTCAGGTCATCCAATTCGATCTACTAGTGCTGCGCGGGGCAGATCTCCAGTAAATCGTCCCCGGGGAAGTAGATCACGCAGTCGTTCGAGGTTAGTATATGCAACCTTCTTTTTTAACTGGTTACTAACTAGTTTAAGCACCCCTCGATCCTCCACTCCACAAAGCGATCTTCGTCGTACTGCCTCAATTAATCTTTATAGTCAAGGCCAGGATGACAGTAATATACGTCAATCCGAGCTTGATTATCAGTATGAGATGCTTGAGCTAGAACGGAAGAGGGTCGAAATTGAGAAAGCGAAGATGGAGAATGAGATAATGAGATTAGAGCTTGAGCTACTACATAAGCAGTTAGAGAGCTAGTTAATAACTAGATAAAGCGCGGCATATTCAAATATTGAATTCACTATATTAAATACTAAATTTGTATCATATAATGTATTTATTATATATTGAATTATGACTATTTTGTTGAAGTGTCAGGTAATGTAAGGTGACAGAACATGTAAAAGCTGAGCGCAGGGGGGTGGGGCGATTACACGGGAAATCACATGACACCCTGCGGTCAGCTCTGGACCCCCCTGCGTTCACCTGTATTCACCTCACTTCCTGCCTGAAATTCATGCCTTGCAGCCTAAGGCCAACTGATCTCACATGAAGATAGGACATCTCAATTTGGCTTGTTGTATGTTGAGAAGCTAGCCACTAGCCTATCCCTTTCTCAGCATCCTTCATCAGCTTTATGCATTCTGCTAATACCGTGACCTGGAGCTGCTGGCTGCGATATAGCCGACGTGTACAGCCCTTGACCGGTTAGACCTCATCAACGCTGCAGTGTAACGCGAGACAATAAGAACTTCTCGAGACAAAGAATCTACGGCATATTTCATCCAGCAATACATAGCACATATTCTCAGTATACTGCTGCCAGCCGGGTCCTCGTGGCAGTGAACCCCTACGTCACCGATCACACGTGTATATATTCTTCGACCAGCACAAGAACACTGCCTTGCAGCTATAACTGAAGGTCTCTGTCGGTCGGAATGCCGACTCGAACGTCCAGCCCTAGCTGTAGCTTAATTGTCTGACCGGCTCTCAGACCACTTGGGTGCGGTCTCTCCTTGTCTCCGACTTTCGCTGCCCTCGGCGCCCGCGGCTCAGCGGGTAGTCGGTAGAGATATATCCCCGCGGCAAAGAAAGTGCAGCAAATTCAACGACAACTAGCAAGAAGACGAGACAGAAAAGAAAAAAGGGAACAGACAATTATATGATGCGATTCCCTAGTAGTAGGAGCTATTCTCCTATTATGAGGACGCTGTACGTTGAGGCCGATGTCGCTCAAGCTGTGCGTCCGCATGCAGCCGCCCCGGGCCTCGGTAGAACTGGCATGGAAGCCCCGCGGCCAGCCGACCAGCGGTCAGATGCCAGTCGGCGATCACAACTACCTACTTTTCTCTCATCCCGCGACTCTTCCATCTCCTCTCCATCTGGCCGAGCTGGTCCTACAACAAAACCCTCCAGGATCCCTCCATTCTCGCTCTTCCTCCCCGCAATTGACTCTCCCGCCCCCACACTTCTACCCCGGACCCATTTCCCGCGTACGCAATGGCGCTGAGCTTCAGAACCACCCGCCACGCCTCCCGCCTGGTCCAGGTGAGTATTTCTATGAGTGCGAGGCTCTCACCCTCTCGAGTAGGATCAATTGAATGACTCAGGATTGTTAACATCTCCAGGCCTCCCGCCCCCTCTTCTCAGCCCGCAATTATGCGACCGCTGAGCCCGACCTGAAAACCACCCTGAAGGAGGTCATCCCCGCCAAGCGCGAGCTCCTGCAGCAGGTGAAGGCGCAAAGTGACGAGACCATCGGCGAGGTCAAGGTCGGCAACGTCATCGGCGGCATGCGCGGCCTGAAAGCCATGCTCTGGGAAGGCTCAGTGCTGGACGCCGACGAGGGCATCCGCTTCCACGGCAAAACCATCAAAGACTGCCAAAAGGAACTGCCCAAGGGTACCTCCGGCACGGAGATGCTCCCAGAAGCCATGTTCTGGCTTCTGCTGACGGGCCAGATCCCCTCGACTTCCCAAGTCCGCGCCTTCTCCCGCGAACTGGCCGAAAAGTCCGAGCTGCCCGCCCACATCATCAACATGATCAAGTCCTTCCCCAAGAGCATGCACCCAATGACACAGCTATCTGTCGCCGTCGCCGCGCTTAACACCGAGTCCAAGTTCGCGCAGGCCTACGAAAAGGGCTTGAACAAGGCTGAGTACTGGGAACCCACCTTCGACGACTGCATCTCGCTCCTAGCGAAGATCCCTCGCGTCGCGGCACTGGTCTTCCGCCCCAACGAAATCGACCTCGTCGGACACCAGAAGCTCGACGTCGCCCAAGACTGGGCCTACAACTTCGCCGAACTCCTCGGCAAGGGCGGACAGCAGAACGAGGACTTCCACGACCTCCTCCGCCTCTACCTCGCCCTCCACGGCGACCACGAAGGCGGCAATGTCTCTGCGCACGCAACACACCTCGTCGGCAGCGCGCTGTCGGATCCTTTCCTGAGCTACTCTGCCGGCTTGCTGGGTCTCGCCGGACCGCTGCACGGCCTCGCCGCGCAGGAAGTCCTCCGCTGGATCTTAGCCATGCAGGAGCACATCGGCACCAAGTTCACCGAGGAAGACGTCCGCACCTACTTGTGGGACACGCTGAAATCCGGGCGCGTCGTGCCGGGCTACGGCCACGGCGTCCTGCGCAAGCCGGATCCCCGCTTCGAGGCCCTGATGGACTTCGCCGCGACTCGCCCCGACGTCCTGGCTAACCCGGTCTTCCAGCTCGTTAAGAAGAACTCGGAGGTTGCTCCTGGTGTTTTGACTGAGCACGGAAAGGTATCTCAACACTCACCCCGCTATTGAGCCTAACTAATGTTTCAAACAATAGACGAAGAACCCCCACCCCAACGTCGACGCCGTCTCCGGCGTCCTGTTCCACCACTACGGCTTCCAGCAGCCCCTGTATTACACCGTTGCCTTTGGCGTTAGCCGTACCCTCGGTCCGCTGGTCCAGCTTATCTGGGACCGGGCGCTGGGTATGCCCATTGAGCGTCCTAAGAGCATTAACCTGCTGGGTCTGCTGAAGAAATAGATATTCAGATCCATTTCGGAGGGTAGGTGAGAGTTATGAAAATGATGCTAGCGTGTTTCCTTGTTTAGACTTGCGTCGAATGTTGAATAGATGACTTTCCGAGCAATCGTATTTGTATGTGTAAAGGTATCCCTTTTCTGTACTTCTAGCAGTGTACCAGTGAAGTCCAGATGGTACAGGTACGGTAAGCACGACAAAACATAAAATAGAATAATACCGGCCCAGACCATTGGGCATCCATTAGCCATACTCGACTCGCACAACTTACCTCTACCCCTCTCCCTCCATACTACTACTACTACTTAGGCTAGGATGTTGAGACTAGTGTCGCATCGATAACCCTGACTCGTGCACACTCCGCCGCACTGGCAGGGTTACCTCCGCATCGACGCTAGTGGCGACCACGTGTAACCCTACTTCAGTTATTCCAATGAGAGTGGATGGGGATGATGTTGGATCCGGGATGTTATCTGGTTATCTTGTGGTGCTGTTTGTTTAGATGTTCATGGTGCTGGGTTGGGTTGGAGAGGTGGGAGGGTTTATGAAGTGGAAGGGGGAGGATTTCATGAGGCGAGTGACATGTGCGAAAGATACAAGCAAAAGGTCGAGAATAATGAATTTTTAGCGAGCTGGGTAATCCAGATTCGGTATCTTGTCTTATGTGGCCCAGGGCAAAATAAGGAGGTCAATGAAATACTCAGTGGTGGCATGATGAATCTGGGCGTATGTTTGAGCGATGCTGCCTGGCGGACGACGCGATGGCGCGAAGTAAAGGAAGAAAATAGAAAGGAATACCTTACCGTGTAGATGACTTTTCAAAGGTACTAGTGATGAGATTGATGGGGAGCTAATCGTACTACCCTATGGTAAGAATGGACCGGTCATGTGCGTCATGTAATAATTTAATAAGTCCAAAAGGGAACGAGTAAAACAGTAGTCACAGTACTATTGAAGGATAAAGACTGGGAATGGAAGAAAGACGTCAGCGGATGCCAGCTTTTAATTGAATGGTGTTTTGTGCATGGTGTGCTGATCTCGACTGCCAAAATGTCATTAATGACAGTCCAAAGTGAAGAGTTTATGATACGAAAGATGGAATAGTAGAGAGCTGAATATCGTATCGACGACCGAAATTTGCGGAGGATCCAAGAATGGGACTTTTATGGTGTTGACTGCAGAATCGCTTTTCATCGTCAATGGTCATTATGATTTCAAATTGATCTCAAGGGAGGAGCTGTGGGCTTTAAGGAAGTCGCCAGAAGATCCGGGCTAGATCCGTTCGATATCCTGGGAGCTAGCACCGTGTGGAAAGTACTAGGAATTAGGTGCTATAGAGAGAGAGAGAGAGAGAGAGAGAGTGTGTGTGTGTGTGTGTGAGTGAGTGAGTGAGTGAGACAAGGAGCGAGGAGGAGGAGGAGGAGGAGGAATAAATACGAACCACCAAGAACGGTCCCGTAGATCTGAGTAGTCTTGCGTATAACTTGCTGCGCTCAAGTATGTACCATGCCGCCTCGGACAAGTTAAGAGTGAAAAATGAGGTGATAGGTGAGAGAAGAGATTTCAGAACGGGAGTAGATCCATTGGGGGTATCCGGTATCTACTAAGGCTAATAATAATAAAAAATACAAACCATAGGTATGATAAGAATGTACGGGATCACGTTAGCCCGCCAAAAAATCTCAGAAAATACTGAGGAAATTGCAAAAATGGTCACAGATCGAGCGGGGAGTTCCCGCCCACCTTACGGAAGGCAGGTCTCAACCCACAACAACCAGAAACCGGAGAACACCAGGACCAGAGAACCAGAACGAGAGCCGAGCGAGAGAAAGAACCACCGGAGACGAGCTTACTCGTTGTCACGAACATCAATCACGGTCTTCTTGAAGTCCCGTGCCTTCACCTTACGGTTGAAGAGGATGTCGATCTCACGGTAAGAGCGGTGCTTCAGCTCTGGCAGGCCCCACCAGGCGAGAACCCAGCAGACGAGCGCAGTACCAGCCCAGACGTAGCCGCAGCGACCGGCCAGGTTCCAGCCCGTGGTGTTGAGCATCTGCGACGCTAGGTAGATCATCGGGATCTCGGCGACGTAGTAGGCAGCACGGCCCACGCCGGTGCTGAGGGCGCGCAGACGGACGGAGGAGGTCTCGGCGATGATGGTGTACGAGATTGGGCCGAGCGAGAGGGCATAGCCGAACGAGATCAGGATTCCGAGAATGGCCTGGGCGTAGTTGGTCGCGTTGTTCTGGGCGATGGACGCGCAGATTCCCAGAAGCACCAGGAGGAGGATGTTGGTAGCGGTGCCCCAGAGGTAGATGGTGCGGCGGCCGAACCAGGCAGTCAGGAACCAGGAACCGATGTTGGCCACGAATTGCAGGCACGAGTTAATCAGGTTCAACTGGAATGCGCGGTCGGGAGAGATGCCGGCCTCTGTGTATGGTGTTAGGGATCTGCGAGAAGTTGGAGGGACTCAGAAATAACTTACGTTCGAAGAAGTATGTGGCCTGGTTTGCGATCAGGTTACCCGCAAAGTTCTGGGAAGCATACATCAAGCAAGTGATGATCGTGCGACGCAGGTCGGTACCCTTCAGCAGATCAAGCAGAGTGGGAGACCCGCCCAGATGGGACTCTATCTCAACCGTGCGCTCGATCATGGCCAGAGAACGTTGGGCCTCGGCCTCATCCTTGCTTCCCAGTCGCTTGATGGAACGTAGAGCTTCATCCTTGCGACCGCGGCGAATCAGCCACCAGGGAGACTCGGGGGCGAGGAAAACCAGAATAAGCAGAGGGGTCTAGAGCTGTTAGGTTCACTGCTGTAAGAATGAGATTAGAGATAAGTACTTACAGGGAACAGCCACTGCAGAGCAAGAGGCACACGCCAGGCCCACTCATCGTTACGCTTGTTGTAACCGTAGGTTGCACCGGCCACAATAATTGATCCAATAGACCAACTCATCTGCAGCGTAGCAGTACAAGCACCACGGAGGGAGATGGGGACGATCTCAGAGGCATAAGCGGGCGAGTTGGCAATGAAGAAGCCCCAGGGCACACCCTCGAGGGCTTGACCAACAGTCAGCAGCGCCAGAGAATCGGCCTGAATGGTCAATTAGATAAGCTTTCACCAGACCACAAACCAAGAAAGCCAAGAACTTACAAAGAACGAAATGAAGATCGTGGCGTTCATCAGAATCAGCGCGAGAATGGTGGTCCAGCGATATCCGAGACGGTTGGTGATGGGACCGGCGAGGAACACACCGACAAAGGCACCACACTGGCCGGCCTGGAACAGGGCACTCTGCCAGCGGGTGGGAATGACCCATTCGCCGCCGTGCTGGACACCGTACTTCTCTTGGAAGGCCGGGAGGGCGACGAAGTTACCGTTGAGAAACATGTCGAAGGACTCCATGACCTGTCACATAGCAAAGATAGGTTAGCGGATGTTGCATGCCGGATGCCGTGGCGCGATCTGCACGACCGGGGGATCGACGGAGCGAAAGAAATACTTACGATGGTGAAACACATGGTGAACGCCCAGAAACAGGCCCAGGGATGCTTCTTGACGGCATCCCACACACCCATCTGGTGCTCGAGATTCTCGCCTTCGAAGGCATCGTTCATCAGCTCCGGGTTGGCAAGGACCTCGTCTTGCCGGACGTTGACTTTTTCATCCACCGCGCCGGCATCGTGATGATGACCGTCGCTAGGTGGGTCGGGATCGGGAGTGGTGGTCGACATTGATGATGATTGAAAGCAGTGTCGACGCGATGGGGATGGAGGTGGGGAGGTGAAGAGGGAAGAAAACAAAAAACAAAAGATGAGAAGTGGGGAGTTTAAGAAGTGAGCTACGGCCAGGCAGGGCCAGAAGGGAAGGCGCGACGGGGCTACCTTACCCTAGTCCTACTCCTGCTAGTAAGTCGCACCTGCCTCGATGGCCATCTGCCTGCGTCTTCCGCCATCGCAGTCCACACCACCCTACCCCCCAGCAACACTCGCGCTAGCTCTCTGCCCGGATCTAGAGCCACTCGAATGATACCCTACCTGTAGGTACACTAGGTAAGATTCCTTGCGGTATCCTGCCCCAACGGTGTACGCGTGATACGTGGATTAATCTCGAACTTCCCAGAACAGGAACAGTTCAGACACCAGCACCACAGGAGAACCTTGTGCCGCCGGGCTTTTTCCCTTTCCCCCGCGACGACCAGCGGATCCCAGGCGAGAGCCGAATGCTGGGATCGCCTGGGACAATTCGCCGACGCCAGCCCGAGAGCACGGCAGGCTAAGCTACCCAAGCTTAGCCGGCCAGGGCTGCCGTGACCACTTAGTGCGTCCGGTGGTTGGTGGAATTCAGGCGGGGTCGGCTAAGCCGTGGGATGCTGGGGCGAACGCCTCATTGTACCAGCTGGGCTGGGGAAAGCAGGGGACTCGAAACGCCACGGTATCCGTGCCGCCGTATTCGGCGCAACGGTTGTTGAGCCAATGTTCTCGGCAGGAACCTGTGTAAATGTGGCGGGTAATCTACGGATTGCGTGTCTTTGTGTTGGACCAGACCAGACAGCAGAACAGCAATTACAGGGGATGGCACGTAGGACCAGCGATCACCATCCCCAGACATCCCCAGACAACCCCGGGCGAGCCTAAAAGTAGTCTAACAAAGGCCCCGATTCGGTGGGGCCGACCTTCTTTGGGCATGGCGGGCGGACCGAGCGGGTCTCACGGGAAGAATCGAGAATGCACTCGGTGAGCCGACTCGGGTGGCAATGGCACAGGGGATGGGATAAGTGGTGTAGGACGGTGGCAATACCCGAGACCACTCGCACTGTCGAGTTGTCAGACGGGTATTTCTTTTACAGCCAAGCGTGCTCAATACCCTACAGGAATTGCCATCAGGATCGGACATCGCTAGCTCGGACACTAACTCCTTCCGGGATAGGCCAGATGCGACCCTGTCGCGCATGTGACTTACTGGAGAAGCATTGGGCTGGACGCCTCACCGTGATTCTTGAATTGGCCCGAGGCTCTGAGTGGCTGCTATCCAACCAAGCATTGTACATGCCGTACGAGGGCTAGAGAGTGGTTGGCACGGAGTACTGGAGATTTCCATTTCGACCCGGCGATTTGTCTTAACACCGAATCACTGCATAGATCGATGCCGTGCTTTGTACGCGGTTAAAACATCCTCGACATTCTCGACCTCCTCCCCATCCCATCGCTCCCGATACTCCCGCATCAAAACCCCAGCAGGAGGCGCCATCGCCACAAACTGCTGGACGGAACGTATAGGGAAAACATAATGCAAGGCGCAATAGACCGCCGCGCTAATCGCCAGCCCCGAGAGGAAACAGATGTAGTATAGATGCATAAATCCGGTTGGAACCGAGATACCAGGACTTACATACGAGACGAATCCGGGGAGAGAGGGGACAGTCCCGCACGTCCACTAAAATCAAGTGTTAGTACATATTCCTATTCCTAGACAGAGTCTACTCAAAGGTAGTGGTCGAAACTCACTGCAACAATAGCCCGCCAGTTCACACCCCACGCATACCAATAGATGCTATCTTTATTCCCAACAAACAAATCATCAACCTTGATCCTGCGGCGATGAATAACAAAATACGATGAAATCATCAACCCCGTCATCGGGCCCAGGAAGACAGAGTAACTGCTCAACACAGCAAGGAACGTGGTCGCCGTATTCACCAGTTTCCACGGATTACATGCAACAGATATCAGCGCGGTTAAATAGGCGCCTCGGCGGATGTTGATGTACTGCGGGAATGTGGCTGCCATATCGAAGCCTGCCACCACGCATGAGTATCTATCCTCCTGTATTGTGATCAAGCCAAATTAGGATGGAATGTCAAGGCACACTTACCCCCCGCCAACGCATTCCCAGGAACATTAACCCCAATCTGCGAAACAACGAGGGCCGCCCCTCCAAAGAACGCAGCAGCACGGGACCTCGAGCCCCCATGCTCAATAACCGCGCTTAGCAGTGTAGGTAAATTCCACTGCGCCCCGCCAAATCGTACCTGCGTCGCGGCCGTTACCAGAATCCCGATTACCGAGCAGACAATCGCGTAGAATGGGAAACTAAGCAGCTGTCCCCAGACGGCGTCTGAAGGTCTCCGCGCGAACCGCGCATAGTCATTCTGATTTAAAATTCCCGCGGCGATGGAGCCGATTGTGCTGATTATTCCGAAGGCAATGTTCCAGCCCGACGTATTAACATGGGAAATGGAGATGGTCGAACCGAACCCCTCTGGACCCATGGTTGCCAGTGACCAGATAAGAAGCACAACCTCAAAGACCAAAATTGTCGCCGCGCTGCCGTAGAAGAGGTATTTCAGCTTGTGCGGGCGAACGTAGATTACCGGTAGCGAGATCAGCATGAAGAGGACGTAGGATACGAAGGCGGCGCTTGTTGTTCCTGTTGAGGGGGAGAGGGTGTTTGGGATCCGGTTGGAGATGTCGGGCCAGATTGCCTGCAGGCAGACGTAGATGCATTCGCCGCCTATCCAGGCTTGAAAGCCGTCTATATCATATTAGGTGGTAAAGTTCGTTGGTAGGGACGGGGACGGGGGTTACTTACACCACACTATTAAAGGAATGATTAGTTGGGATGACACTGGTCATGGATGGGGTGACTTACCAACGGATAGAAGGATTCGGTTCCAGATTACAAAGGCGCTGCCGCGCATGCCCCAGACGTAGCGGTTTACGACTGGGAAGCCCACTAGGATTTCGGAATTAGAGGCGAAAGGTAAGATGGGAAAGGGATGCTTACAGTGGTAGTATGCACCCGGGAGCGAGTTCAGCACCACCAGTGCCGTGGCGATTAATTGTCCGACAACGATGGCGATGATGGCTTGCCACCAGGTCAGTCCGAGTGCGATTAGCGAGCTGCCGGTCATGTATGTTGAGATGTTAGAGTTGATCAGGACCCCTTTATATCAAATTAGCATCACACAAGGAAGGTACAGAGGAGGTCACGGGACGATAACATCAATGTTGCCGGGCATCGTCGCGTCCAACACCACCACTCATCGCCTCTCGAGTCGACTTACAAAAATTATGAAATGTCCAAAGTCCCCACGTCCGCCTGCCTGCTTCGATAGGCTTGATGTCATTGTTGATCCAGCGATCCGGCACGACGCCACCCTCAACTTCGACCTGGAGTTTCTTTAGCAGGAAATTCATCAGAGCTATGCTGAGCAGAGACAGTGTTACACGAAGACTTCGCTCCGACCCATGTTACGCCTGGATACTTATTTATTCCGCACTCTCTTGGCCGATCGCGCATGACCATCTGGTCCAGATCGGCCAAGTATGTGCGTGATCGGAAGCGGGATAGCGCTTGCCTATCTGGGGAGCTTCTCTTGCGCTGATGTTGTTTTGCGATGCACAAAAATTGGCTCCTTGTTAAATCTACGAGCATCGTTCAACTTGCTCCCCGCACTCTCTCCACGGACATCGACAACCCCGCTATACTGCCTGTCTGCGCCTGGGAACAGGCGAAGAACATCTACCACGAAGTGCGCAAATCGAGGGGAATCCGATGCACCAAGGTACAGGGGCAAGGTATATTAGCGTGTCCCCGCTCGAAGTGACAGTTGCTCTGGCTGGATATCCGGATCTGTTCCGCATACGATTGGTCGATATGCGGGCCTTCTCCTCATTTCGCGATAAGCAAAGCAGGCTAGCCTCGGCGGGACAACATCTAGGTAGCATCTTGCTGCGACGGCGGACGTTCTCCGCATGTCAGCCGATCGCGATAGGTATGTTGTGTTTGCGAGATCATCACACTGTGCAAAGCCGGCTTGCTGTCAGGCGCACTTCGAGGTATTGGCGCCGGTTACCTCCAGAATTTGATTATTTGTTGACGTGTTTGAGGTGGATCTGGCCAAGCCGTCAGTATGTCTGAATATATAACTACAGGGTTTCCCGCATCATCGTCCACGGCTCGACCAAGTCGAAACCCCAACAGGATCTTTCCAACCACGCTTTAATACATTCCGTCTCCTTCCTTCCATCGTAGCGCAGAAGCAGTATACTAACATCATGGAACAAGGCCCATACCGCATCGGAGTCGACGTCGGCGGCACAAACACCGACGCAGCAATCATCGACATCGCAGCCACAGACTTAGGGTCGCGGGGCGTCTGCGCATCCAGCAAGACGCCAACCACGACAGACGTGACTTCTGGGATCCACAGAGTTATCGAAAATGTCTTGAACAAGTCGGGTGTTGATCGCGCAGATGTCCTTAGCGTCGCTATTGGGACAACTCATTTCGTTAATGCGGTTGTTGAGGCGGATGCGCGACGGTTGAGTAGGGTTGCTGTTGTCAGGTTGTGTGGGCCTTTTACCAAGCAGGTATGCTCGGTATTATCCAAATAAAATCAATCCGAATGCTGAGGTGACATAGGTTCCGCCTTTCTCAGACTTCCCTCCGGCGTTGAAAAAGATAATGGCTGGACCGATATACTACCTAGACGGAGGCAAGTCAACACATACTCCGACTCAACACCTCCAGGAAATCAGCCTAATAGAGACTCATAAACAGGACTAGAAATCGACGGTCGCGAAATCACCCCCCTAAACCCAGCCCAAATAAGATCCACCGCCCTCGCCATAAAAGAAACAGGAATAACAAAAGTGGCACTAGTCGGCGTCTTCTCTCCGCTCGACCACAGCGGTCTCCACGAGGAAACCTGCAAAACCCTCATGCAGTTAACAAATCCAACCCTCCAAATCGTCTGCTCCCACAAAATCGGCGGAGTGGGTCTACTTGAGCGCGAAAACGCAACAATACTAAACGCCTCAATCCTAACACTAGCCCGTCGAACCGTACGCGCATTCGAGAACGCAATGGTGCGGCTCCGTCTAGCCTGCCCCTTTTATCTCACCCAGAACGACGGCACGCTCACCGACGCAGACACGGCCGCGGAACTCCCTATCAAGACGTTCGCCTCGGGCCCGACGAATAGTATGACCGGCGCCGCGTACCTTGCGTGCCTTGATCGCGGTGGAGGTAGTGAAGGGCAGATCCTTGTTGTTGATGTTGGTGGGACGACGAGTGATGCCTGCGCTCTCCTTCCGTCCGGATTTCCGAGGCAGGCGCCGAATTTCGTGCAGGTTGGTGGGGTTCGGACGGCGTTTTCGATGCCGGAGGTTCTTTCTGTTGGGCTTGGTGGGGGGAGTGTTGTGTCAGTTGATTCCGATGGAGATGTGAGGGTTGGACCTGAGTCTGTGGGGCATTATCTTACGAGTAAGGCGCTTGTTTTCGGTGGGGATGTCTTGACGACGACGGATGTTGTTGTTGCAGCTGGAAAGGCGAGGATTGGGGATAAGCAGAAAGTGGAGGGTATTCCCGCGAAAGTGGTGGAAAAGGCCAGGGACCGGATTAAGGTTATTCTTGAGCGGGCAGTTGAGGATATGAAAGTCTCTGATTCACCTGTTACACTCCTACTCGTTGGCGGCGGGTCGATCGTCGCGATGGATGAGTTAAAGGGTGTGAAGGAGTGCATTAACCCGCCGCATCATGACTCGGCGAATGCAGTTGGTGCGGCAATCGCGAAGGTCGCAGGTGAGGTGGATGCTATAAAGATTTTGGCGGGGAGGGATGAGAGGGTTGTTCTTGAGGAGGCGAAGAGGCAGGCTGTTGAGGCGGCTGTTGCAAGGGGTGCGGAGAGGGGTGATGTGGACATTGTTGCTGTTGAGAAGATTCCGTTGCAGTATGTTAGTAACAAGGCCACGAGGTTGATTATCAAGGCTGTTGGGAGGTTGGCGAGGCCGGGTCCGGGTGTGTCGGTGAAAGAGAGGACCAACGAATTCACGGCTGTGAATGGCGAGATTGAGGATGAGGAAGAGAAACAATTCGGTCGACAGAAGACATCCGAGCTTGAATGTTCGTTTCAGCACTCCACCTGTCTCGATATTGACAGTTATATCCCCGACGTCCGGGATGGAGTATGGTACATATCTCCTGTCGACCTCGAATTCATCGCAACAGGCACCGGCGTACTCGGAACAGGCGGCGGAGGCCCTTCATACCTGCAATACCTACAATGTCTCGAGAGCCTACGTGAATCCGGCGAGAAGAGAATGCGAGTGATCTCGCCCAAGGCACTGAAAGACTCAGATATCTGCGTCTTTGGCTCGTGGTATGGTGCACCGAGTGTATCTGGCGAAAGAATGCCTGCCGGTACGGAGATAATGACTGCTATCGATTACTCGGTCAAGATGTCGGGTCACCTGCATTTTGAGGCTGTTGTTGCAGATGAAATTGGTGGCGGGAACGGGATGTCGACTTTTCCCACGAGCGTGCATTTTGATATTCCTGTTGTAGATGGGGATTTAATGGGGCGTGCTTATCCGACGCTTGAGCATGGTAAGTCTTTTCCCTAGCAGTATTTGATTCTCTTCTGACAGGACCATAGGTACGCCATACGTATACGGCGAACCCATCACCCCATGCGCACTTGCAGATGGAAAGGGCAATGCCGCAGTTGTCTTGGTGGGCACCACCTACCTACCTCCCGGCCTTACACGTAACTAACAAAAACAGAAAGCCGAATCAAACCGACGCGTCGAAACCATGCTCCGAGCGCAATGTGTCGACCTCGGCCTTAACGTCGCCGTAGCATGCACGCCTCTCCCAGGGAAATCCATCAAGAAATACGCGATCCCGAACACGGTCTCGCAGTCATGGTACATCGGGCGCGCAATCCACAAAGCCCGACGTTCAAAGACGAATCTCATCGATGCAATTGTAAGCCTCAGCTCCCTACCTACAGGGAGTCCCGCTAACCAAGCAACCAGTTCGAAACAACACCTGGCCATCTCCTCTACATCGGCAAAATAATCGACGTAAAACGTGACGTCAGCCGCGGGTATACAATGGGAAGCTGTACCATCGCACCGCTTAGCAACGACGAGATAGACAATGCCATGAGCTCTACGCACACTCCCGACGAGAGTCGCTGTCTGATAATTCCCTTCCAAAATGAATTTCTCTATGCCGCGTACGCAAACATCGCGGATCCAGACGACATGTCGAATCACAAGATCATCTGCACAGTTCCCGACCTCATCTCCGTCCTCGGACAAGATGGCGAAGCGATCGGTTCTCAGGAGCTACGGTATGGACTGCGGGTTAGTGTTATCGGGATAGCGGCGCATCCACTATGGACGGGGGATGAGCGGGGATTGAAGGTGGGTGGGCCGGCTGGGTTTGGGCTGGAGATGGAGTGGACTAGTCTTGGGGCGTATACGGAGCCGAGGAGTGTCATTGATGAGTTTGACGTGGCCAGAGTCCATGGTGCGGTTTGTACTGTCGATTGAATTGCTGTATTATACTTCTCACATATCTGGGGCAATTCAAGGCTGCTAAACCTACAACCTCGCCACCCCACCCTTAACCCTCTCCCAATCCCCCCGACTAAAAACCGAATACTCGCTCTCCCCCGGCGCAATCCAAAGAAACTGATCATTCTTCCCATTCACATCCTTCGTCCCAACAAGATCAGGATCAACACCTTCCTCCCTCAGCGGCACCTTATTCTGCTTATGGTTATGAATATGCGTCGAGTTCTCCACAATCCGAAGGAAAACAGGCACCGCATAGCGAGGCAGCTTCGAGCGTGCGAAGCGCGCAAGTGCAGCGTAATCGAAGGTTTGTCGGGCTTCGGGCGTGATTTGCAACGCTGCGCACCCGGCACGGCCCTCGTGGTGGGGTAGTTTTACGCCGTAGACATTTGCTTCGGCTACGCCGGGGAATTTGCCGATTATTTCGGAGACTTCGGCGGTTGCGCTGGAATTTATTAGTATGGGGTTGAGGCCTGGGGGTTTTGGTGGGGGACATACACGTTCTCGCTCTTCCAGCGGAATGTATCGCCCAGTCGGTCGAGGAAGTACCAGCGGCCGTCACTTTGTCTGCGGAGGGCGTCGCCAGAGCGGTAGTAGAGATCTCCCTTTTTGAAGACGTCGCGCAAGAATTTCTTCTCTGTGGCACCTTCATTGCGCCAATAGCCCTGGAATGCCTCCTTCCCGGGAATATTAACAAGAATCTCGCCGCCCTCTTCATACGGCGCACGAACCGCGAAACCAGTCTTCGAATCCCGCAATACATCGCCCGTCTCGGGGTCAATAGCAACAGGAATAAAAACATTATGCAAGAGACCGCGCATAATCAAGCCATGGTGTCCCACACTCCCAGCAGTAAAGGGTCCACGGTTATAGTTAAACAAAGCAAAAATACCCTCAGTCGAATTGAAGAATTCCCCAATCTCAGCAACACCGAACCGCTCACGGAACTGCTCCCACACATCTGGGCGAAGTCCATTCCCATACATGCACCTCACATTATGATTCTTATCCTGCGGCGAAGGCGGCGGCGCAAGCAAATACCGCGCGGTCTCGCCCACATACACGAAAATCGTGGACTCGGAGTCCCGGATGTCTTTCCAGAAATTGCGAACGCTGAATTTCGGGCCTAGCGCGATGCTAACGCCTGTTGTTAGGCTTGCGATTAGACTTATGGCGGCCGTGCCGTGGTACAGTGGCATGCAGCTGTACCACCTGTCGCCGTGTGGACCTTCTTCGTCGCCCATTGCGCTGCGCCGGATGTATAGGCTTGTGTAGAGGCGGGACATGGTGAAGGCGCAGCCCTTTGGCAGGCCTGTTGTCCCCGATGTGTAGAGTAGGATTGCCGGGAATTCGCCGTCCATCTTGAGAGCGAGGTCCTTCGGCGGGAGGGAGGTCGGGTACGAGCGAATGTGCGTCTTCAGCGGCGAGTCCAGCGTCTCGAGCTTCATGCCCAGTTCACCGGTGAGGGTAGACTGGACCTCTTCCATACGCGCACGACAGGTAGCATCCTCGTCGACGAGAGTGAATTTTGCACCGCTGATCTTCAGACAGTGCACCAGGGCGTCGCCGGAGAGGTTGTAGTTGATAGCCGCGGGCGCACAGCCGATACTCCACAGCGCGACCCATGCGATGATGAACTCGGCGCGGTTCTGCAGGTAGAAGGCGACCAGATCGCCTTTCTGCACGCCTTGCGCGAGGAAGTAGTGCGCGTATTGGCAGGCTTGCTCTTGCAGGTCGCGGTAGGTGTAGGAGGCTTCCCGCGTCCAGAGAGCGGTCATGTTGGGGTATCGCTTGGCGGTTTCGAGGAGGACGAACCATACGTTTCCTCGTTTGCGATCGACTGGCTATTGTTAGTGTTGAGGTTTGGGTTGAGGTTGGTGGGACGTACCTGCTCGCGCATACTCGCGTTCGGACTTGCGTAGGGCCAGCACGCCTGTTAGGTCTTTTTTGATGTGGAATTTGGCGTTCAGATAGGCTGCGACCGTTGCTCCTCCGGCGAGGGCTGCTGCGGCGGTGCCTGGTCCAATGTCAGTATATTGGTCGTTAGATCGGAGTATTCCTCGCTCACCCAGGTCCATCTTGGAATTGCAGATCCGAGCTTAGTGTGCTGTTTCGGTGATCTAGATCGATTGCACACGGAATTGTGAGAATACTCCAACCAGAATAAAAGCTGATCTCTATGCAGGCGCTGGATTGTGGACGATACGAAGAGTGGTGATCGGAGTATTAAAGAGGAGCTGGACAGCCCCAGCCGAACGACGAAATGATCCTCGGCCCAATTCGACCTCCGCACGGAAGGTCCGCCCTCCTCTTCCCTTCCCTTTCGTCTCCCACGGCTTTTCCAGCAGTTCCACTGGGCTCATCATAGCCTGGCTGGATCCATCGCGGCGGGGAATGCGGGGAATGGCGCAAACCAAGCAGGCGCTATGCAATTACACTGAGCCGAGGTCTCCGCATAACGGGCCCGCTATACAAATCGCATAACTCCTGGCCTTACGCCGATGTCCACCCGCCCAATCCAATGGCTCACCGGTCCTCAACGCCAATTATTCCATTCTCGGTGCGGTCGGAGCTTATCGTGCACCCCGCCCTGCTCGTTCTCGTCTTGTGTCTTCCACGCCCACCACTGGTCGCGGTCGGCTCCGTTGCTGGTTCCGGCCAGTACGTTCGCGACGTACTGTCCAATTGTCGGGAGGAATTTCCAGCAGTGGAATGAGCCTCCTGCGGCGAGGTAGAGATTTGATAGCTGGGCGTGCGGGTGGGCGGTGATTAGTGGGTGCTGGTCGGGGGTGATGGCGTCCCAGCAGAGTCGGTAGTAGTCGATCTTGTGGTCGGGGGTGAGTAGGGATGGTAGACGGGGTCGGATGGATGCAAGGCATTCATTGCGGAGGCTCTCCGGGGCAGTGGATTGGCTGTCGCTTGGTGGGATGGAAATGGTGTGTCCCGTGGGCGTGTGGATTGTGTTTTGGAAGGAGGTCGAGTAGGTGAATTTCAGTATGCCACTCGCAGTGGGAGGGATCACTTCGCCTGTGATCACGATCAGCATCATACCGAAGTGGACACTGGGGGCATGAGGTCTCCTACCTTGTCCTCCGTAGACGTACACTGGCAGCTGGTCGTATAGCAGACGTTCCTCTTCAGAAAGCTGAACATGTGCGACACAAACACCTGCTGCGGTCATCTGGGCTTCGACCCGATCACTATCGGGGATATCCAGTGCATCTTCAACACTGCTCATCAACGCACTCGTCCAGGCGCCCGTACAAAGCAAGACTTTCTTGCCTGTGTAAACATTCCCAGACTTAGTCCTCACACCCTCAACACCCTCCCCGCCGAGCACAAGCACCTCTGCTTCATCAACAAGATACCTGACCCCCAACCTCTGAATCTCCTCTGCCATAATCTCAACGGCACGGCTAGCATCCGCCCACCCAGCAAGCGGGTTAAAATAGAAGTGGCCAAACGGCGACAGATCTGCATCTTGCAAAACGCCACCCCAGCTCCTCCGAACCTCCTCCTCACTCAACATGCGCATCGGATCAGATCCGACCTCCGCGAAATTCCTCCGAATCCGCGATCCCAGGTCACTCCCGCGCTCATCACACATAATCCACCCCGTCTGGTGATAAACCCCTGCATGTCGGAATAGAGGGTTTGTCTTCCATGCCTCAATCGCTTCAAGTCCAAGCTTTAGATAGAGAGCATTCGAGTAATCTGCCCGAACAATCTTGTTGAGATCTGTCGATGCGGCGTTGGTGGATGGTGGTGGGGCGCGATCGAGGACTGCGATTCTGGAAGGTGTTGTGCTGCGCTGGGCGAGATGGTAGGCTGTACTGAGGCCGAAGATTCCTGCGCCGATGATCAGGACTTCGTAGTCCATTTTGCCGAGTATAGGGTTGGAGGGTCGTTTTCTTCCTGGGAGGTTGGTATTGGAGGGTTGGGAGGTCATCCCCGCTTTGGCTTGTGTCACCCGGGTGAAGCGCCTGCAGGATGCTGCTTCATGCACGCAATCTAAGGATTGACTGCGCCAAGTGAGTGGCTGATGGTAATTGTAGGTACTGGGATATTCTGTTCATTTTGTCCGTAGAGTTGTCTCTTACGGCTCGGACACGGTGTATTTGCTGGATTGGTGTTACAAATAGCACTTCCAAGCTTGGCATCTAAGTACCAATCTAATCAGATCATCTACCGCATCACAAGGTCAACTATCGCCCTGTCTTTCCTAAAATGTATGAAGACCAGCAAACTACTGATTCAGGGGAATAATTCTTTCTATAGTACTCCTCCAAAGGACTACGCATGATATCAAAGCATGCGGTAGGACTCTACGGGGACGTAATGGAAAACTATTCTGGGAAATGTTTAAAGACGCAAAGCTCAAAAAGAAATGTAACGCTTGAACGACAAGTCTAAAACATGAAGATGGGCCATGCTGTAGCCACAATTTTCTGGCAGGCAAATTCCACCATTTATTCAAACCACTCAAGCAGTGACCTACACTATAGAGCCCCAATTTTAGTCCATGTTGGTGCAAGCGCCAAACCAGAAACATCGCAGCCTAAGAATAACCATCCCGGTCGTTCAGTAGTACCAATCTACCACAACCCTCACTCGCAGCTGCAGGGTGACCTCATACTACTTTCCACGGTCACTCAGGTGAAAATGAAGAATTTTAAGTCAGAATACTGCAATCATCCATCATTTGACGACAAGCTTGCTTCCATTTGATATAGTAACATTGAGATCAAAGAATCAGATCACCTCCCGCAGAGACGCCCGAGCGCCATAAAGCTACCCCAGGAGCGCGAGGGTTCGGACCGCGCAGCAATGAAACCCACGCGAAGCCCGTGCACAGCATTTCCCGCTTCATGCGTGGCATCCATGTGTGAATCCAACATACAGTGTGGTGTTGTCGCATCAGCCTCACTTCGAACAGGGGTCTCGAGCTCAGCCCCAGACACCCCTGCTCTGGCGCAAAATGGCCCCCATTCCACCGCCCCTTCCGCCTATTTTTGCTGTTGCCTGTGGCTTTTGTATTCCTGGCGCTTAACCTGCGTCGAGCCTGTGGCTGAGTTCTGCCCAGTCTCTGCCATAAGGAATGAACGAAAGAAATATAAATGTGGCGTGGTTGGCCCGGAAATGAGGGTTCGATTCACATCAAGCTTTACTGTGATTTGCCACGGCTGCTCGATCTATTGATCTGATTAAGCTGAACTGCGGAAATTGTCTTCTCGTGTTCTGCTTGACCCCACACATACCTCCAATGGCATCATCAACCCTCGGAGATATCCTCAACATCTCCCTAGCAGCGGGACAAGCCCAAAACTGCTTCGGCATCACCAGCATACCCGGCGGAACAAGACCTTGCAAAAACACTCTAGGCAAAGAGAAGCTCTCCGACGCACGGATCATCCTAGTCCAGACTCTCCCCCAGCTTGAAAGGAATGGCACGGCCGTCGAGGAACATCTCAGGAGACTTTCGGAGCTCCTTGTACAGGCACAACACGGTCTTCGTACACAATCTCAGCGGGATGGTCTGATAGCTCAGTGGCAGGATCAGGTAGAGCGGTATCGTCGAGAACAGGAAGCGATTCTACCTTTTTCGTCCCGCCTGCAGGATCGATCGGAAAACTGGTCGCAGAACACGCCCGAGGTGTTTACCCCGGAAATTTCATTTGCAGGGGGCCCAGCTGCGCCCGCTCTCCCCGCTGTTGTCAGCTCCCCGTCCGGGTCTAGCCTTGTGTCCGGTCGGACAGAGTTCTCGATTCCTCAGGTTCAGTCTGGTGTAGAGTATACCCGAGAGCTTCCATCTGATCTATCGGTTCAGACACCCGAGCACTGCGATCTCGGGTCACAAGCGACTGTTATTTCGAATAAGCTGTCCGATGCTTCGATTGCTGTTGATGAGTTCTTACTGATCAATTTTTGGACTATCATCATCCAGTTCTGCTTTGGATGTCGTGCTTTCATGCAGATGCGACTTGGCACTCTTTCATCCCATGGCACTGGTCGCATCTCGAAAGACGCATTCGTCGAGCTGAAGTTTTTACTCCTTGGAAGCATACCTTCTGTTCGAATGCTCGAACATTTTATTTTGTTTCTTTTGGTTGTTTTTCTTTTGTATAGCTGGCCTGGTGTCGTCGTTGCGGGATCCTTACTGTTGGTTTACACAATTTCCGGGGCGATATATATTGCCGGACACAAATATCGACCCACGACCTTTTCAAGCCAATGAGTAAATGTATTTATGTGATTACGAAGACCTTGAATTGATGACCATTCATCCTGTGTTAGCACTGCTGCAATGCCAGTCACTCGGAATCAATTGTCCTGTCAGTCCAGCCCTTCCGCATCCAGCGTAAACATAGAGTCTTGGTGTGCTGGCGGTGATTTCTCGGGATGAATTTCCTTATGATCACCTGGCCTGCACGGGCCACCTCACCATTCTGGATTGGCTTCAAATATGCGGGCGACTATTGGCTCGAGCTGGCAGAAGTGGGACCCCACGGAACGGTGACGCAACGAAAAGATTCAACAGATCCGCGCATGCCGCAACCGGCCTCTCACACCGACGCATCTATACAGCAATGAAATGCAGCACACGCACGGCGGGAAGGAATTGCTCCGTGGTGATCATACAGGACCAAAAAAATAGGAACAGGGAAACAGCTCTGGCCAAGCTCGGTTACTCTCGGGCGAGTCGATCTCGAGCTCGATGATCTCCGAGGGAAAGGCTGGGGCTTGGTGGTTCCCAACAGCCCACAGCCATTCAACATGCAGGGCGACTCGGGTTGACGGCCGGGGTTCCTATATCGCCCGTGATGACTCTGAGTTTAAGGTAAGCGGGTAGGATGATTAGTTAGGGAAATTCCCGGGGAGCCTGCTTACCTAGGGTACTCGCTAGTAGCTACGCTGGGTAAGATCAGGGGCCTGCGCAGTTAAAGTTGGCCCCGAGCCCAGCAGAGTCCAATGATGGCCTGAAGACGCCCGCCTTCCCCACACGTCGTAACCGTCGCCGGTGAATCCCCTCTCGACTCATCCTCCTTCCTTCTCTCTGCCAGATCCTCTCCCCTCCCTCCTCCATCACCATCATGTCCTTCTCTCGGTCCTTGCCCCGGACCGTCGTCCGCTCCTACGGAACGGTCCAAGGCCCTCCCAGTGCTGCTACACTCGCCAGCCGGATCCCCAGTGCCTTGGCCGAGGCCGTGACAGCCACTGCCCCGCGCACCAGCTGGACCAAGGAAGAAGTCGCCCAGGTGTACAACACGCCCTTGAACCAATTGACATATGCATCGGTGAGTACCAGACACAATTGATTTGGTGTTTAAAACTCACACCCCACAGCAAGCCGTCCACCGACGCTTCCACGACCCATCCGCCATCCAGATGTGCACCCTGATGAATATCAAGACGGGCGGGTGCAGTGAAGACTGCTCGTATTGCGCCCAGTCCTCCCGGCACAACACCGGGCTGAAGGCCACCAAAATGAGCCCTGTCGACGAAGTCCTCGAGAAAGCCCGCAACGCCAAAGCCAACGGGAGTACTCGTTTCTGCATGGGCGCCGCCTGGCGCGACATGCGTGGCCGCAAGACCAGTCTTAAGAATGTCAAGGCCATGGTTTCCGGCATCCGCGACATGAACATGGAGGTCTGCGTGACCCTCGGCATGATCGACCAGAACCAGGCCCAGGAGCTGAAGGAGGCCGGCCTGACTGCGTATAACCACAATCTTGACACCTCGCGCGAATTCTATCCCAATGTCATCACTACTCGGTCATATGACGAGCGTCTCAAGACCCTCGACCATGTCCGTGATGCTGGTATTAATGTCTGCTCTGGCGGTATCCTGGGTCTTGGCGAGTCCGACACCGACCGCATTGGTCTACTGCACACTATGTCCTCGCTGCCCAAGCACCCGGAATCGTTCCCTGTCAATGCGCTGGTTCCTATCCCCGGTACCCCGCTCGGCGACCGGAAGATGATTCCCTTTGACCGGTTGTTGCGGACTGTTGCCACCGCGCGAGTCGTGATGCCCGGTACAATTGTTCGATTGGCGGCCGGTCGCATCGCTCTTAGCGAGGAGCAGCAGGTGGCTTGTTTCCAGGCGGGTGCGAATGCAGTCTTCACGGGTGAGAAGATGTTGACGACCGACTGCAATGGCTGGGATGAGGACCGCGTGATGTTTGAGAAGTGGGGATACTACCCCATGAAGAGCTTTGAGAAGCCCGAGCCTAAGCAGGCGCAGACGGCCGTGCCTCCGATTGCCGAAGCGGAAACTGCTGCGCCGGTCGCAGCTCACTCTTAGGGTTGCTATAAGTTTAGAAGGGCTATGCCTTAAAATAAGATGACTGTCACTGATCAGATTGCGACTGTAAGTACAGTCCTAGGAATTAGCATCATCTCAGCGTAGATTACCCGTGGGTAGTAATGAAGTGTCTTCTGTAAACCGGTCACCAGTATGTAGACTGGAACAATTAGTCTCAACGGACATGTACTGGCATGCACCATGGTATGGAAGGCTGCGATGTACTCGGTCCACAATATTGACTATACCATGGAAATCTAGAACGAGGCCCACGGGAAAGGCGATCCCCCGGAAAGCCTTCCCCCGGGGATCTAGTACCTGAGACAGGTAAAGGAATCAGCGATTCCGATTTTTCCCATGCTGCTAATCCCTAGCCGGGATCGGAGAATCAAGGAATGTGTTAGCCCCATCCGAGCTCTGTTCAAGAGCCTGGTTAGCAGTGCTTCAACATGACCTTCAGGTGATGTTCACAGGGTTGTGTCCCACCCCTGATTAATAAAGACGAGCATATAACCATGTAACCATCTCCGACCCCAGATTCAGCAGTCGCACAGGTTTCCCGATCCAGTCTAGCCACTTCACCTCCAATCGCAATATTCATAGACATCGGTCACCAATCATGTCGCCACGATTTAGGCGAGGCCCCAGTTATTGCCGTTCCTGGATGATCGGCGCTTTCACATTGGCGCGAACCGAGGCTAATCTTCTGCACAACACCCTCGCCCTCGTCTGCGGCGTCAAGCACAGGACCCGGATCGACCTGATCGACGCCTGTTCCTCCATTGTATACCCCGGATGAAACGGCATTTTACAGATTTCCACCATCCATGATGCGATGGATGCCCGAATGTCCTCGGTTGGCAATGCGGGGGGAAACCTTGTCTTCACGTGAGCGGATCTGTCCTATTTCCAGTTCCAGTTCCTTAGCAGTGGGACTGGGGATGGGACTGGGATCTCGGCACTTCACTTGGTGTGGTCTTTTTGTTGGGGAAACTAGATCCACACGAGACAGTGTCATGCCTTTGCACCTTCACATGCACCGTACTAGCGACGATATAAACAATGCGTCCCCGAAGGGTCGACTGACCTAGACATACATTGACCAACAAAGTGACAGGCTAACTCACCATGGAGAAGCCCCAGAACAAGGATTCAATGAAATCCACCTGGCGCACCGCCGACCGCAAAGAATGGAATCACAACCACTGGGCTCTAGAAATTCTCAACGCCTACCCACAAGAACTGAACAAGGAAGTCCCTGTGCACTCGAAAGATGAAAAAATCCCCTATATGCCGCAATGGTCACTGCAACGCTGGGTCCTCTTCTACTCCGCCCTCCCACTGGTCTTCCACCAAGCCTACATGATGACGGGCCGCACACTCGGCCCCATAGCCACGTTCAACCTCTACTTCTTCGCATTCAACGCGACAGTCATCTACCAAGTGCACGTCCTGAGACGACTAGGCCATATCTACGGCTTCCTAGACGGCGACAAGCATGAGCGCGACGGTGTCCCGGACGTCGGTATCGCAAAGGTCGTGCAGTCTCTCTACAAAACGACCGGTTCCCGCCTCGTCATGGCTACATACCTCTGCTACAACCGCGACGCCTTGCCCAGCTCCCTCACCTGGGCCTGGCTGCCTCTCGAAATTGGATTGTATGGCATCATCCTCGATTTCTGGTTCTACTGGTACCACCGACTCATGCACGATGTCTCGTTCTTATGGAAATTCCACCGCACACACCACCTCACTAAACATCCCAACCCACTGCTCGCCGCTTATGCAGACCACGAGCAGGAATTCTTCGATATGGTCGGCGTCCCCTTTATGACCTACGCCTCGTTAAGACTTATGGGTCTGCCGATGGGATTCTACGAGTGGTGGATCTGTCATCAGTACGTGGCCTTTGCGGAGGTCTTTGGGCATTCGGGACTGCGGATGCATCTTACGGTTCCGACGACTATGAGTTGGCTGCTCCAGATGCTTGATGCGGAGATTGTTATTGAGGATCATGATTTGCATCATCGGAAGGGGTGGCGGAAGTCGCATAATTATGGGAAGCAGACGAGGCTTTGGGATAAGATTTTTGGGACTTGTACGGAGAGGATCGAGTCCGTTGCGGAGAATGTGGATTATGAGAATGTGGCATGTATGCCGCTTTTCTAGGTCCGGTAGAGGTTTTTTTTCACTTGATATCCTGATGATTTATGATCTGTTTGGTGTTGATTTGGTTCTAGCAGCACATGAATAAATTAGATTACGCTAGAATGCCCGCAATACTAAAACTCTACGAATTACACTCCATGAACCAAGGCCTCAAACAGAAACTCGTTCGCCAAAGTAACCTGCTGCTTCACAAAATCATCAACAATCTCCCTCTCACTTCTCCAACCCATTCTCAGAAATCGAATCCACAGCAAAAGCCTCAACCGTCCAACCGCCCTCAAACGGCCCGCGCAAAGTACGCCCAAGCTCCGGATACTTCGACTTGACATATTCACTCACACCTTTCCAATCAACAGTTGGCGCAGAAAAAATAAGCACCATTCCCGAATCCACGTCTTTTACTTGGAAAAGCCTTAACATGCGCCTCCCCAATATCGCACACACGAACCCACGCCTTCCAATAAGCGGCTTCTCAGAGAAAAGTGACTTCCAGAACAACCCGTTCATTCCGTCCATTTTGCCTGGTGTGCTTTGGATTAGACTATTGGCGAGAACGAAGACCGTATGAAGGGTAGGGTTATATACTATGCTTTTGTAGTAGCGAGAAAGTCGCGTGTCGCCTTGAGCGTGTAGATTTTTGAGCCGGCGTATTTGAGCGCGTCGCCGGTGAAGCCGAAGGGGAATGATGTGTCTAGATCAACAGGAACTTTCTCCGCGGGATTCTCTGTTTATTGATCTGCATTAGCAATCTGAGGACTTAGGCAAAAGAATATCCGGGATTGATACCTCTAACAAAAACGCTCTTCCGTAAGATCGCATCCACAGGTGCCAACGCATGAACCGACGACATTAGAGCAACCTATTAAATCCGGGGAAAACCAAAGCGCAGCACTCAAAACCATCATCGTCGCCTTAACAGGCGGCGCGATTATGCCGTGCCAAACATCAATTCCACCCCCAACATCGGAGAGGCGAGGTGGAAGATGGTGTCCACACCCTCCAACGCATCCGTGAATGATTCCCGCTTCGAGAAGTCCGTGATCAAAACTGTCTCGATCTGCGAGGTGTATCCTGGGTGTCCATATCGGATGGCTGATTCTTGCGAGGGTTTGCGGATGCTTAGTCGGACGCGGTGCCCTGCTTCCAAGATGGCTTATACGACGTGGGAACCGATGAAGCCTGTGGAGCCGGTTATGAAGATGTGTTTTGGCATGGTTTTGGGGGCGGGGTCTGATTGAATTGGTCAGGTGTGAATTATTGACTGAGACTACTAGCCTATATACAAGTGTTTGTAGCGTGGTAAGTTTATGATGTTGCTATTGTAATATATGAAGTGAAGAAATATTGAGTAACAATTACCTGGGGAGTGCCCCAAATCATCTTGTTGTGTTGAATAATCTAAATCCATCCACCATCCGATTTTGTCTGAGCTTGTTTGGGATCGGATCAATTAATAAACTTCCTGGCAAGGTTTCTAGCTGGATTAATTGATCATTGATCTTATTACACCTGGCTTCGGCTTGCAACTATGATTTTGGCGCTGTTGATATACATGGATCATTTTGTAGTGATTCTGGGCAACATTGATTATTCAACTGTGTCACAGGAAAATGTAACCGACTTATGTCTAAATTCATGGATATAAATTGAACCTTTTATCAGATATCCAATTTTCTGAACATCCAAATCCGAACCACAAAATCGCTATCCACACCTCCAGCTTCAGACGACCCTAGGGACACACCCTATGTGACAAGATACCCCTCTGGCAAATTTACCATCCACCGGGTACCTTCCAAGACAATCCAAGCAAAAGGTCCTTCGCAGAAGCCATAACAAAAAACTACACCGTCCTCGGCCTCCCCGCCTTCTACGTGATAACGCAATTCCAAGAGCTGTCCAACGAGAATGTCTTTCATCGGTGGAAAAAGTAGCCAGCCCGACAAAACTTCCCTTCGTCCGTGTCGTCATCACCCACATCGCGATCAATCTCCCAAATCTCGACGAGACGTATTTCCGGACGACCTCGCGCTTGGACCAGATTATGAAACCGCATCTGCTGGATAAGGGGTATGATTTTGAGTATCAGGTTGATGAGACAGAGCGCCGCCTTTGGAAGATAAATAGTCTTATTCCGCCGCCTTTCAGTAGTGCTGAGGAGCAGGTTTGGGTGGAAGAGGATCGGGCGGTGCCGTATGAGGGGGGCTTATCCGCCTGCACTGGAGGGGTTTTCTACTATTTGAAAAGTCCATAGAGGAGTATCCAGTTACCTTGAATATTATATATTCTTTCGTCAGTTGAGGCTAGAAATGGATATTTTCAATCACATTTTAACTTCTTTGCCCTTTTCCTGATTTCCAACATGAACTTCTAACACCTCTACGGATCTTGGTAATTTGGTTGGCCAGCAGGCGAGGAATCGCTGCCAAGCCGCATTTGCCGAGGAGTGGCTTGCCCCTTTCTTGGCATTCGAGATCTGAGATCCACGGTGAAAAATCGAAAGGCTTAGCTAGACCCTAGATTTCCACTCAGAGTATGGTAATTATGGAGTGGAGCGAACAGGAGAATTGTAAAAAATCAAGATGTCTATTTGCAAGAATCACAGGCTAAGTCTAACACACCATATCCCATATACACAAATGGATGATTAAGTACAGTCATCAAATGCACATGCATGTGCAATCTATAAATACTCCCGTAACTTTTAAACCTCAGTGTTGCTGGCGCAAGAGAAGGAATTGCTGGAGGCATCATCGTGGATCGCTTTTCCAGAAACGTACAGACCAAGACCGCACTGTGGCAATCGATTAGTCCGCATTCGGTAAATTATTTTTGTACGGGAGAGTGCTTACCATGCAGCCGCCAATGAGAACAATACACACGTTCAGCGCAGCGAGGAAGATCTTTCGGGGAGAAGAGAACCACTGTCCTCGGTTGATGTGGAGCCAGTAGACGCCGCCGAGGCCGTCTAGGAAAATGTTAGTCCGAGGTTATCACAGTGGTTTTGGGGAAACGTACAGCTGAACCAACTGGCGAAAAGAGAGCTGATCAGGCTCAGCAGGTCACTGAAGACGGGAATGGCGTCGGCAATGATCCAAGCGATGATCCAGCAGCTCAGACCGATGAGGACCCAGGATCCGTAGGAGGTCCAATCGCGACGGTGCATGCGATCGGTGCCACGGAAGAGACGAACGTAGATATATTTCAAGCCAACATGACCGTTCACGACACCCGCACCAATAATGGTAGGGATGGCAATACCGTAGGCAACCTTCTTCAGAACTGGACCAGCGGACCCAAGAGCCGGGGAGGTCACGCTCTGGCCTGCATAGTAGTAGATGACAACGGCGGCGACAACGTAGAAGATAATCTCGAAGGTCTGCAGCATGTAAAGAGCCTTGGGGAAGTCGCGGGGCTCGCGCATTTCTGCGAGAAGACCGAAGAACGCGACATGGGCGCAGTAGGCAAAGACGATGTTGGTCACGGCAGTGAAAGCGTGGAACAGATCGGTTTCGATAGTTGCCTTGAGAGGGGCAACCTGGCCCTGGATACCGACACCGATCATGGTGATAATGACGGCAGTGAATATACTGACGAAGGCTGGAGTGGGAGGTCAGTCAGCATCGAGAATCTGGGAGGCAGGATTGCAACGTACAGGCACAGGAGATGTATGTCATGTTCTTCATGGTACGAGGCAGCGAGCATACCATACAGATCACGAATCCAACAGTGGTGAATACCATGGTGCAAGTACCGTGCTCAGTCACCGTGTTCATCATGACGCTGAAAGTCAGGATGTGACTGCCCATGATGAAGATGGAGAACAGAAGTTGGCCAATACCGAAAAGCTCGCGGCCGAATACGCCGAACAGAACCTCACCCGCATCGGCGAGGTTCTGGATATGAGGGTAGCGTTGGTGGAATTGGGCGATGACATATCCTGTATAAGTAGCCAGAACACCAAGACCGATGATAAGGACAAGGGCACTGGAGCGCTGTTAGGTTTGCAGTTATAAAAGTTGCGTCGTTGAGATACTTACGGGGCAAGACCCAGAGAAGCAAGAGTCGCGGGAAGTGACAGAACGCCCAATGAAACGGATTCGGCAATCATAACTGTGTAGTTCGGTCAGAAGTGGTTCAATTAAGGCGCGTGCATTCTCGAGGCAATGCACTCACACATTCCGGCTTGCCTATAAATCCGAATTAGATATCAGATTAACCGAAACTTGCATTTGATTGATAGAAACTTCGAACTTACCACCACTCCATAGTCTTGTACTTCACCTCCGCATTGCTCTCATCACCAAACGCGTCCTGATACCGCGGCGCAGTCCCATCATCAATCTCCTTCTCCTTCCATCCAGCTCCAATCTCCGAGTCAACGGGCTCGGGCCGTGTAGGAACTCCGTCAAGAATCATGTCGCAAATGCAATAATGTCTGCCAAAGAAACGCGGGAAGGAAAATCAAGCGGAAGAAAGTCAAAAGAAAAGAGCCAGAGCCAAGCGATATGTATGTGTGTTAAAAATCCTTGGCTGACCGGAGTGGATCTCATGTCGCATGCGACAGCCGAGACCCCGCGACGATTGCTCGTTGAGGAAGGTATGGGGCAAAAATTCCGGGGCTCGGGACTTTCCTCAGGCGGGAGTTATCGGGCTTATCGGCTGCACAGAGTTTCTATATGCATATTCGATTATGGCGCGTTAAACGGGCGCAGGGTTCAGTTTGGTCATGCAAATACTCCGTTTGGGACTCGGTCGCGATCAGCATGAATTAAGCGTGACTTTCGGCCCACTTCCGGGCGCGGTGGTGGGCCGATGCCCCGCTTCCCTGCACCATCCCGCCAATCATGCCGTCGGCTCGGCCCATCTATTATCTAACAGCAATCCCGGGACCCGCGTGGCTACCCCGACGGTAGCCGGAATTGATGAGAATCCGATCTCAACAAGAGTAATGCCAAGCGGGGGAAGGCTCTTAAGAACGACCGTGCGCGGTCGTGTGCAGCTAGACTTCAGATCCCGAGATTTTCAGCAGCTTGAATGGAGATAGAAAGTCACGATTGCAGTGTTCGGACAGGGACTCTTGTCAGTGGCAACGCTACCGCAGAAAGCCGTCGGGGTGGCCAGTAGTATATTAAAGGTCGACTTCAACCGTGGATCACAGCGGCTCGAAGCGCACCCTTGCCACTGGAAGAAATTTCTTTAGTCAGGGCAAGAGCACAAGCTTTTAGTGACCGTTCATGGCATGACAGTATCTGGATCAGGAACCAATATGCGCCGGGAAAGAATCGAGGCTCGGGAATAGCAGTGATCACTGTACATGATTATTCCCGTGGCCGGGGCTGCCGTTGATTTTATGTCATTGAAACTGGCCCAGTCACTCCCCGCGTTACCCCATTCGCTCTTCGGTAGTTTCTTCTCCGCGTCGTCGATGATGGAGTAGTTGGAGAAAGAGTTTGCATGGTGGATAAATTCGATTACTAATTCCTTTCTCATAGATTGAAGTTATGTAAAGGTAAGAACGTATAACGTGATTCCCGGCTAGCCGGTCATCCCGGCTACGCGGTCACCGCCTCGCAATTTTCGTCTCCGTAGTAACCCTCTGTTTTCAAACAAACACCATGCCTCCAAAACGCTCAGAAAAAGCTCAAAAATCAATTCAACAGGAAGGTCGTATTCTGCTTGCTATCAAAGCTATTCAGAATGGCAGATTTACCTCGGTCGCTGCTGCTGCTCGGTCTTTTGATGTCCCACGTACAACTCTCGGTGCTAGGATCCAAGGGCGAAAAAATCAGTCCGGTACTCGCTCAGCTCTGTATAAATTTACTCAGCTTGAAGAGGACCCTATCCAGGATTGGTTAATATCTATGGATCAGAGAGGTGCAGCTCTCACAATCTCTATGTTAAGAGATATGGCTAGTTTACTGCTGCAATCTCGCGGTTCTAGCTCCTCTTCAAACCCACCAACTGTGGGTAAAAATTGGCCAACTGAGTTTATTAAAAGGCATCCAGGCCTGAAAACTCGTTTCTCACGCAAATATGACTACAAGAGGGCCGAGAATGAGGACCCAGCCATAATAATTGAGTGGTTTAAGCTGGTTGAGAAAACAATCCGAGAAAATGGCATTATTTCGGACGATATCTACAACTTTGACGAATGTGGCTTTTCCATGGGGATAAATGCGACTTCGAAGGTTATCACGCAAGCATTTTTCCATGGTCGGAGAGGTGTTTTGCAGCCTGGGAATCGTGAATGGGTCACAGTTATCGAAACTATCTGCGCATCTGGGAGGGCCCTTCCACCATACATCATTTTCAAAGGCAAGAACTTCATGGCTAGATGGTTCGATCACCTTCCAAAGCAGTGGGCTCTTAATGTTAGTCCTAGAGGCTGGACTAGCAATGATATTGGATTAGATTGGCTCCAGAAACACTTTATTCCACATACAACAAGTCAGACAAAGGGGAAGTTCAGACTTCTAGTCCTTGATGGCCACGACAGCCATCTTACAGCCAGATTCGACCAGATCTGCAGAGAAAACAACATCATTCCGATTTGTATGCCTTCGCATGCCTCTCATCTTTTACAGCCTTTGGATGTTGGCTGTTTTGCTGTTCTAAAGAAGCTTTACGGCACGGAAGTTGCAGAGTATATGAGATTGGGTATCGATTCTATTGAGAAAGACGACTTCCTAGAGATTTTTCCACAAACACGAGGGCACGCTTTTAAAGAGGCTACTATTCAGAATGCCTTTGCGGCTACTGGTTTAGTTCCCTTAGACCCGAATCGCGTGCTAGAAAAGCTCAATATTCGTCTTCAATCACCACCTCTCCCGGATCGACCAACCTCACAGGGTTCAACTTCTGATAGCAATATCTCTGCCGGTATCCCTCAGACAACCAAACAACTCAAAAAAAGGAAATCTAGGCTCGATTCTGGCCTAAGTTCAGTCACAGATAAGATCTCTTCGCCCACTAAGCGAGATCTTCAACAGTATTATAACATGACTGTCAAAATGCTTCATTCGCATATCTTAATGAAGGATGAAATCAAGCGTTTACGGGAGGCAAACAAAAAACAGGTGAAGAAAAGAGCTAGATCTAGAAGGCAAATTGCTCATGAAGGCAGTTTGACCGAAGTTTTGGATATCATACATCCTGTTGGTGGAGAAGGAGGTGGTGCAGGTGAATATATATCTGGTCTCGTAGCTGCTCCACAACCTACTGTTGAACCTTCACTACCGGTTTTACCTGCTATACGACGCCGGATAACCTGTTCTGGGTGTGGAAAACAAGATCACAATATCTCTAGATGTCCACAGAAAGTTTAAACAGCAAAATTCAATCTTTTTTGGGTATTAAAATCGTTGTTGAAGATTTTACAAATTTTGAATTTTTGATGGGGTGACCGCGTAGCCGGGATGACCGGCTAGCCGGGAATCACGTTATGGTGAGCTGGCCAGAGTAGCCCCGTTCGAGGAACCCTGCAGGTAATCAATCGCAGGATCTTGGCGACCTGACTCAAATCCCAGAGTCATCTTATTCAACGATGTACTTGTTCTCGTACGTATCCCAGATCTTGCAGTTGTTGTGTAGATCTTCGTATTCGATGAGCGATTTGACCTCATCGTATCGCTCGATGAATTGGATCGCGAAGCCTTCTTCCGTGTGCTAACCAATATGGCAATGCATCAGCCACGCGCCATGGTTGTTGGTTTTGAATGCAATGACCAGGTGCCTGTTTTCCGGCAGTATGGCTGTGTCTCGCTTTGGCGGGTGAGCGGGCGAGAAAGTGACATGGAAGAGCTTCAAACACGTTTTGCAAGGCAATATGACCATTAATGTGCTCAAAATGAGGATCCAAAGACCTTATGTGAATGGTTCAGAACATTTTCAAAATATGATCAATGGGAACGGTATCTAGTCAGATAACATCTATAATTTTGATATGAACAGTTTTGCGATGGGCCTTTTATCAACATAAAAGGTGGCTACTCGAGCTAAGGATCATGGTGGACGGGCAATCCTATAGCCTATAAATCGTGAATAGGTGACTATTATTGAGTCAAGTACCGCTTATTTTGCTCTGCTACCCTATGTAATCTCTAAAGCTAAAAAGCTATATCACTAGTTAGCTTAAAGGCTTCTAAAAGACTCGCGAATTAATGTCTCTAAACAGCTGGACTTTAATCAACATCAGTATTAGATAGCTTTGAATCTATTTGTCCCATTTATATTTGTCGGATATATTCTCCTGTCAGAACAAACCAGCGGTGACCCACTGCTAGCGACTGATGGATAACATCCCTTGTTTGGTGTACGCATTCTTGCGCTGGGCTGCGGCCCTGGTGTTGTGACCGCCGAAGGCCGGCGTGCGGGATCTAGGGGTGTTTTCCAACTAGACTGAGAATCTACATCTATCTACATGAATCAATTGACTTTTGCTTTGGAGCATACACGCTATCCGCTTAACCGTGTACACAGTACCTAGCTGGTGATATCAATAATATTAATTCAAATAAAAGAAATCAGATAATAGGAAAAATTTCCTTCTGATTCTGAATCGTTATAGAAGCCATCTTACCCCGGAGTTCAATCGAATTTATACCAAAATCTCAATTATTCCACTCAGCAAATCTGTCCCCCAGAAACGGGATGTTGGTGGAGGATGTTCAGATAAGCGAGGCAGTGATGCTCTCCATAATTCCAAATGGTGCCTATCCAACAGGAAGGGCGTTGAATTCTTCGAGTCCCTTGTTTTATGCTGGCCCCCAACCCAGTGTGAACGGATTTATTGTAATCTAAACATCAATTGCAGTCGTATATAGTCGCGATCCCATGTACTACATTGACAAGGTTACCAAGCAGTAGGCTCGCTATGCTATGAACAAAAAATTTCTCATGACTCAGTGTTTCCTCAGTGCCCTGATCAGCTCATCTGCATCGCTGTTCTCAAACGGCTGATTCTTCTCAAAGTCAATAATAAGCTGTCTGTGCTCCTTACTTCGAGGAGTGATTCTGCATGTATATGGCACAGGGTGACTGATAATTCCTGGGGTAAAGTCGACAGGCGACTCGACCTCTTTGCCGTCGTTTCCGATCGGTTTCCTGATATCAAAAACGGCAAGGGTATGTGCGATGGTCAAGTAAAGTGATCCATCTGCAACAAGACGACCGGGGCAGATTCTCCGCCCGAATCCGAAACTGACCTCGGCAGGGTCAAGCTCTACCGAGTCTCCTTCTTTGCTTGCGATATACCGTTCTGGGCGGAACACTCTAGGCTCGGGATAAACCTTCGGGTCGTTGTTAAATGACCTGAGTAGAAAATTAGAGAACAATCTGTTGTAAATAGAAGAGTTGACGAACCAAATATTCGGCAGTAGCATGGCATCTTTAGGAATGAGATAGTCGCCGACAATATCGTCTTCATCGGTGCGATGGGGAACTCCGAGAGGGCCGACGGTATGCCACCGAAGAGCTTCCTTGACGATCGCGTTGATGTAGGGTAGCTTTTCTCGATCGGCGACAGAGGGGAAGCTCGGCTTGCCAAAAACGCTGTCGATCTCTTCTTGTGCTTTACGCTGGACTTCAGGGAAGAGCACCATGGCCAGGAAAAATCCCTCGAGGGCAGCCACGGTCTGTTCAAATCAGCGCTCTACGCCAAGTCTCCAATAGGGGTTGTCGAGTAGGATTCCACGTACAGTGTCGGCTCCACCACCATACAAAGCAACAGCTGACCATTTCACGATTTCTTCATCTTCTCCTTGGCTCAGAAGCGCTGAGGTGAAGGATTTGTTCTCCTTCTTCTCCGACATCTGGTATTTGGTGAATGCGACCGGGTTTTCAACCAGTTGCGTAAGGGTTTCGAGATAGTAGCGGGCGGTTTTCTGAAATTTCGCGCCCGGTGTCCACTCAGGGATGTGTTTGACTGTCATATTTAGTCAGTCAGGATATCGCGGGTTATTTTACGTGAAGAGGTGACAACTCACGCGCAGGAATCATGTCGACCAACCAAGCTCCCGGAACGATAGCATTTGAAAATTGTTGCAGTGCCAGGTCGGCGAGGTTGACAAGGGGGTCTTCGCCGTGCGGCTCGATATTGTAGCCATAGGTGATTTTCAAAATGAAAGCGCCGGCCTCACTGTTGTTGTCCGACTTTAGCGTGGCTCGGCTTCCGATTTCTCAGCTCGATTCACTTACGTTCGGATATGGTCGACAAATCTCTCGGGGGTATGGAGCACGCGCCAAATGAAACGCCGCGCTTCGGTTTCCAAGAGGTCGTCGAATTTGGACATAGATGCGCGCGTTCCGATGATCCTTGCCATTGCTCGTCGATAAGATCTCAGCAGACTTGTGTTGTCCTGGCTGGAGGGAGCCTTTCCCCATCCCGTTCTGAACTCCGTCAGTGAATATTCAACGAGTTCTTGTCGCCCCTCACAAAATTTGGGCAGACTTGGCGGTCGGCCTTTTACCACTCACAATTCATCTGCAAACACAAGCCGAGGTCGCGAGGAGTGCTTTGCGGAGTTTTTCTCCAGAATTAGCTGCGCTAGCTTTCTGTCGTTGATGATGACAATGGTCTTCCCAAGGACACTGATGGAGCTGAGAGGACCTATTCAACTGTCTCAGAGAATGTTTATTCCCCAAGCGATGGGAAAAGCGACATACCATATTGTTCCTTGTGCTTCAACCAATGGGTCCACTCCTGCTGACCAGTCGGTGGTAGATCGAAAAGATTTCCAATGATAGGTTTTCCTTTCGGACCCGGTGGAAGCTTGCCAGCCTTTCTGCCCGCAGATACGCTTCGAAATGCGAGAACAACTACCACGAAGACAGCAAAAACCGCAAGTTGTTGTATAGTCACCATTGTGGGATGCCACCTAGGCGAGAATAACGGGTTTTCGGCCACTTCTCAGGCACTGGTGCTGAGCAGTTGACCGAGGAAAGAGCGGGGACGCCGAAAATAAATACAGAGGGGTGAAGGCTGACCTCATTCACCTTTCTTCAAATGACGGATCCATACGCTGTGCTAAGTGTATTGGTTAGGCAGGGCATGCAGCTAAGAGCTTAGGATTACTCGACGGGCTCCATATTAACCCCGATATGACCTCCGCATTAGAGATCGGCGAATTTAGCTTATGCGAGCTGAATATCCGTATTATGTTAGTTTGATTATTAGTCGACATGTGCTTGCTATTTTGTGGGTCTCTCTGATGCTCTGTGTAACTGTCCATTCGCCGGCTACGATCTTCCGCCAACCCCAATAGGTCGCACAGATTGACATGATGCAAGTTTGGCATTTGTCCACAACAACTTGATTCCTATGTCAAGCAAGCTATGAAAATAAAATCACGCGATGGTGTTGCGGAAACCGGACACGGGATGAAGAATAAGCTAAGGCTGCAGGGCAGCAGGCTAGACTCAGACAGGTGGAGCCGAGGTCCATTCTGACCAACCATATCTGTGTATTCCCTTACGGACTGGCATTGGCAATGGTATTACTGGACGATTGTGAAAGCCACCACGGCTTAATGGAGACCGATTCGACAAGCGCCTTAGTAAGAGTCATCCTTGGTGAAATTGGGTATAGTACGCTTTCCTTTGTAGGAAAGTGTACTGAGAGTTCACTTTGACAGCGGCCAAATGTGAGGCCGAGTGCAAGGGCCTTGTTGTTTGAAGTGTCGACTTCAAAAATACGGAATAACCCCTTGATCACCGAAACGTCGCAAACGCATCTGGATTAGACTCCAGAAATGGATAGTGCCTACGGCGATTGCCAATCCTCAGAAATATCCGATGGGTGATAAAATTAGATCAAACAATCATATTGAGATCGTTCTTTGTCTCTGTAAAAATTGAGTGCGCCGCTCGATCAAGGACAAAGTGGGAAAGGAACAAACCGTTTGATGATGTTCAAGGGGAACAAAGAGCGAACCCAAAACCTACAGACTCGCCCAGGATCGCCTTCCATGTCAGTAACATAAAGATGCTCTTTCAAACCCTAATCACATGATCATCTATTCCAGCTATGGTTACCCCCGTACTTGGGGTCATGTTTCGCTTTTGAACGGTAAAATTCAAACACACGAGAGCTGTAATATTATGTATTATTACTGATCCAAAAATAACCATGCCCACCATTTCATCGTCCCAACTCAACTGATTGTGCACGTCATAGGCAGTAAGAAAAGACTGAGTATATATGCGACCAGTAAAATATACTCTAGAAAACAAAACACCCGTATCCCCACAACAGGCCTCGCGAGATAATCACAGCGGCCCTGAGAAACTAAGCCTCGACAGCAAGACACCCTGTGCTATATTACAACATCATCTCAATGCTATGGGAAGGATTTCAGAACGCAGTCCTCAATCCAGGATGCCAGATCAGGGACATTATCAATTATAAACAAAGAGCGGTCTGGGCACCCAGGCAAAACCGTGACACCCTCAAACGCATGATCCGGCGCAAAAAGAATTAACTCGCCGCTCTCCCGATGCACCAGCGTCAAATTCGCGTTCGCTTCCACAGCGACGACATAATACTCCTCTGGCGTAATAGGAATCGTCAGTCCCCCTTCCTCCCAAATCCAGGAATACGCATCCAGCGGCTCAGACACAGATACTTGACTAGCTGTTACCGTCAAAATCTCATTATGGTTCAACCACCAATCTTGCCCTTCGGATTCGGAATTGTCTTTCTCCCCAAACCGCTCCACAATCCCGCCGCAAACTGACCAAAAATGGCTGTGAATGGGGTAAACATGTCCTGGACTTGCCGCTGGAGGCGGGTGACAGAGCCAGCCTTGACGCGCGGACGGCGGCCCCCAGGCCACGAGCTCGTATTCCATATCCGATACGGAGACTGGGGTTAGAGTCGCAGATGCTAGGAGTGCTGAGAGACGGGGTAATCCCGCGACTGGGCTCCGCGACCACGGTTTCTCTTCGCCAACTGTTGCGATTTCATCTGGTTTGAGAAACCAGGGAGTTTGTTTGATGAAGTGGTCCCAGTCGCGCATTGTTGAAAATGGTGGCCTTGGTTAGGTAGGTGTTTTGGGATAGAGAAGGCTGATAAGGAGGGCTGGAAGGTAACTAGCACTTTTTTTACTGAGGATTATACAGTGGCGCCGCAAAAGTCTTGAGACCACCTGAAGTATCACGCTGATTATTCTGCCGGCAAATAGTGGCCGCACCACTCATAAGCCGTAGTTAGCTGGCGGTATGTCGCCAATATGGAGGCGGTAAAGAAAGGTACTTCGGATGGTCACAGACTTATGCGGCGCCACTGTAGGCATTTGTATCTGTCTTACAACCTATTAAAGGGATCTGGTATTATTACGGGTAGGTACAGGAGCTGTTTATTACCGTATCATGTGATTAGGGTTTGAAAGAGCATCTCAATGTTTCCGGCATGGAAGGCGATCCTGGGCGGGTCTGTATGCGAACTACCGTCTCAAGGGCGAAGACGGTCAAGGCCGTTTTGGACTTCGCCGAGGCGTCACAGCGGTTTTGGAGTCGCGCGCCACGAGGGCAGCCTAACAATGGGAACGGCAATTAGGCCACGGTAGGCCGTAACGAGGCTCTAAGTTCGTTTTTCAGGAAGTGGAACACTCTACATGTACGTACACGAGTATATAGTTGTTGTATCCTGCATATCGCTTTAGAGCGAGGGGTCAGGGTAAATGACATCAACCAACCAACCAACCAACCAGTCTGTATGCGAACCTTTCCAACAGAGACCTTCGTGCCTTGGGACTGTACAATAGACCCCTGTCGGTATCCTTTGAGTAGGTTAAATCTGGCAGTATAAGAATGCTGACTTGACAAGCAAATTTCATTTTCGTGTTTTGACCATTTAGCTCTTCTAGCCTAAAATACTTCCGAATTCCTGCGACCGTAGTTCACATCCAAATTTGGAATATACCTCAAGATGCCAGGGTGAAGCGAGACCCTCGATGCTTATACCAAGGCCCGAGACGCCTTTGCTGAATCGCTTGGGGAGTGGAGCTAGGTCCTCGTTGAAGACCCCAGCTGCGCCGAACGGGTCTGTGAGCTCCTCGACAATCTCGCCCCGGAGTTCGAACTTTTGAAACAAATAGGTGGGATACCAGACGGAATGAATTGTTTCAAGCATAATTGCGACATTATCAGGTTCACGATCGAGGATACGAGTATGCTTCTTAGGGCAAAGTCCAACACTCCTTTGGAGATTGCAGAGTTGATCATGACGATTATTGTCCAAGTCGGGAGATTGGCATTAATCCCATCTAATAGACAGGATAAGATCGTACTTAAAATGGATGAGATAGCAGCAGAGATCAACAGTAGATGGACCGCCCCTCATATGAGCACCGACTCTGTGTCTCCCTTTCTGAGGGAAATGTGGACTCGTCTTCAATTTTCTTTTTTCAGTTGTTGGTGCCGTCAATGCTGTTCTCTACGAGACGAAGAAAGATAGATTCTGACAGTACCCTGCTAACTACTACATCTTTTAGTCGCAACCTACAGTCGACATATTACAGCAATAAATGAATGTCACCCACTACTCCTGAGCAAAGGCAAGAGATGTAAAGCGCTAAGAGAAGTGTGATGCAGTTAAATAATATATTGACCAAATAACAAATGTTAGAAGATTAATCCGAGCGGCCCTTAAGCAGCTGAGATAGACTAGGAGATGTAATTGCCATCGCAGCACAATATGAACCCCGATTTATTTATAGAGTGGTATATGCACCAATCAAACGGCAGCTGCGGCCAGCGTGATAAGCGATGTGACGATAAGAGATGTTTTCCCCGGGCCCCACTTCGTCCCAATTGTTTCCCCGAACAAATTCTCCCCAGCGCAAATTTTCTTCCTTGTTCCATCGGCATCACAACTCAATACGCAACAATGGGAAACGTAAGAGGACTTTTCAGGCGAGATGGGGTCTAGGATTTGTCCTGGTGCTCCGTCTCGCCGACTTTGGCTAACGCGCAGGCGGACTAATGATTTCTCCACAGGGGGCCAGAGCCCAGCAGAAGCGCGAGCGCAACGCGACTCAAGGCAAGAGCGTTGCCAAGTCGCAGACCAAGAGCGTACGTTAACGGGGACCCGTGATTTCGCGCTATTGACTTCGCTAGAGGGGCTTGCATCCCGCTAACACTCAAGTCGCACAGAATGAGAAGGCTATGAACATTCAGTGCCAGATTTGCAAACAGACTTTCCTGCAGACTACCAAGGCGCCTGCGTATGTCATCCGGCATTTTATTCTACCTACCCATGCTTTTACTTATTAATATGGCATTTTAGTCTCCTCGAGCATGCCTCCAACAAGCACAAGAAGGGTCTCGCGGAGTGCTTCCCCGGAGTGAGCGCCTAGACGCCCACCTTCGATTACACATGCCACGGTTTTGCGACAATTGCTTCATCGATTCAAAATAGCGGCCCCCGTTATCCCCTCCGTTTCGAATCTTCATCCAAGCCATCTACACCAAATACCCAGAGATGAGCGAGATCACATACAGGCACCCTTGGCCTTCAGCGTCACCTAGAATCGCTTGCATGAAGGTTCAAACATACGCAGTTCAATACAAGATACCAATTTTCTTCCATGCCAAAATTACGATCGGCCCCTAGGCGAATCCCAAAAGCAGGCGACTAGGTAGATAAAAACGTAGGACCGCGTCACAGACCCGGTTTTCTGCCTCAACATACACAGCGAAGTGCCCGAACGCAATCTGAACCTATAGTTGCTCTTCTTCCCCACGATAGCCATCCAACCAAGGGAGACCAATACCGCCAGGTGCGAGAAACCCGGACCGCCCTTCGCCCGGAAGTACCAATAAAGGAAGAGCATAGTGGACACATTTAAAGCGACATAGGCCCAGATTAAGCCAAATTTTCTCCACTGGTCGCCATAGTGCGATACCACGCTTGGCAGATACGCATTCGCGAGGGATCTCTGACAATTCTGACAGTTAACTGTGTCATTGGGGTTGTAAACCTCCCCGCCGGCATGTTGCATGTACGCAGCCAAGTATCCCGCGCAGGTTGTTGACAGGTGGCTGGAAAAAATCGTCTCGATGTCGGAGCAGTGAATGCCGATGTTTGCGAGTCCGGTTAAGAGCATATCTTCTGATCTCTGCGATTGAGTACTCCTACGAGTAGATCATTCAAAGATCCTTTCTGGTAGCTGATGGAACTGCCGAATCCGTGGACGCTGAGTTTGGCGAAGCAGACACCTGCACTGCGAGGAATGTATCGCTGAGGCTCCTTGGACATTTGCAGGAGGAGTCTTTCTGCCAGATTCGTGGGCCGAGAATACCTGACTTGGGGTCGAGTGCAGGGTCTCCATTATCGTGGAAAGGAGTGGAAGATCAGAGTGGGAGGTTAGTGTGGATGGTTGCGTTGCCAACAATGAAGCAATCCTCGACTCGACCGCAGCCCCATCCTCGCCGATGGGTTCTGTGGCATTCTGGTTCTCAGAAATTTCGGAAGCCTCTTTCTCAAGTTTTTCGCTCGAACAGATTGCTCTGGTTCTGGCTGCTCGGTGGACGGCACTGTGGCCGTAGGAAGGATGCCTGCGAATCTCACTGATGGCTGTGTTAAGAAATGCGGACTCAGGCTCAGGAACGATTATGCACATGGGATGCATATAAAGAGGAAATCAAGACACATCATCGCCCCTCGCCGATTAGTGCTACTAATGTTCATAGCTCTCGGCACCGCATATTGCCTGCTCGCCAGTCGACCATACTTTGGGTGTTTATTTCGGCGCCGATGTGAGTCGCGGATGGGAGCTAACTATCCGATATCAAATTGGTCATCTGCTTCGGCACCGGAATAAAAGCTTGCTTTCAAACTAAGAAGCCCGGGGAGGGCCATGAACTCCCTCTTCCTTCCACAACACCCACGCAACAGATTCTGAAGCTCGCGGTATGCCAGGATCATTGCACAAGGCGTGTAACGCGTGCCTGGTCCTAAAGGATCGATGCCGTGCGTTGATTTTCTGCCAATGGGCTCGCAGGCTAACTACTGTAGTGTGGAGACCCCCTCCCCCTACTAAATGGGTGCCATCCTGACTATGTGACATAGCCGACAGTATACGGTGGCCGGATAGCTAGTTCTAGAATACACCTTCTTACACCTCCCCGATCTGACCCCTACATTTGGTTTCTCGCTATTTCCTGACAGCTACGCGTGTGTTTTGTGGTGGTTTTCTGCTGAATCGACCCGCACGTCTCAGCGCGTGCTGCCATCGAGCGTTCCCCTCTTCAGTATATATGCGCATTCCTCCCCTGGACAGCGAGGAATCCTGACAGGAGCGGTAATGGCACAAGGCCTCGGATTCGGCCGCCTAAATTCGGCACATGAAGTAACTAAGACGTACATTTTGGGTATTATATTACATGGAAATGGTGTGCTGTTTTATAACAGGAAAAATATCGGTACGAGATTTCCTTCGTTTATTCCTTAACCAACCCGAGGCTAACCTTGTTCGGTAATTCTTGCAAGCGTCTAACATCAGCCGTGCCATCCCCGAACCGCGCGCCCGTATCAAAGTTCCATGACTAGGATTGGTTCTTCGCCTTCGTCCGTTATGCTCGCCTGGTCTCGAAAACTGACCAAAATATTTTCACAATCAGCTCTGCTTTCAGCCAGCTGCCGAATTTAATGCCAGTGAGTAGAGGCTTCTTGAGCTGGAGACTTGGCGAATGTCTGCCCCTTCGCGGTTCCCAGCACGCAAACAATTGAGGCCGCGACTTCTCCCTAAGAAGCTCGCTCAGAAAATATTTCTTATGACAGAATTTCTCTATCTCCGGGCTTCGCCGACTCTATCGCGGACACTTCTCCATTTTAGCGCAGGAAATCTGGATATTGTGCAGCAGCTGGACCTGAAGCGTGATCTCATGCATACGGCCTGCTCTTTTTTGGATTTGACGACATACGTTAGGTCGTTCCATCAATCCCTATCTGGTATGTTTGCGATTCAAATCTCCCTTTTCTTGGGAAGTGCATTTTTACTGACACCTCGCTCAGGATACTGGGGGTCCTTCCCCTGGCATGCTTGATGATCCTGTTTGATATCGTCGTGCACAACCCAGAACACCCAGAGGCGATCCTCAGTCTTGCGCTACTGGACATTGCTGGTGTCACTTTAGTCGCTTGGAGTTCGCAAGGGTGAACTACCAGGCTCCCTGCTCGCGCAATTTTCCCACCTAGCCTGACAATATCTCTTCGATCAACGCAAGCGCAAGCAGCGAAACAATACCATCTTCAAGCCTCACGATAAAAAACCTGGTATCCCTAACTCGATGGAATTAGCCGGACCCGCCTCAAACACACTCCCAACATTCCCTGCACTGTCCAATCAGGCATCGACGCTGTCAGGTAATATGATTGCAAGTGATCCGATAGCCCCTCCCGCGTGGAATGGAAACATCCTAGGTGAAAGATACCAGCTATTCATTCCTCTACTGGACGATCCCAGTTACCGCATGGATGATTTTGAACAATTTGGCGTCGACCTGAAGGATTTGTTCGATTTTCCATATGCTCTGCCGGACAACGAAAGCTCGCTTTGATCAGCTCGGTAAAATTTCGAGTTTATATAACCATGCTGAATCCAGGGATAAATGAACAGCCACATTTCGAACACTGATTACAATGGGTAAATGTACCTTCTTGTGGCGGTGCAAGAGAGCAGCATTTGATACGTAAACTGTTCTCCGTTCCAACCAAATATCCAGTTCGTCGCCCAAAATCTTTAAAAGATTTACTGGAAAGCTTTGAAACACTTAGCTCGCCGACAAAGGGGACATGGAATTGGAAGCCTCGGTTGAGCGGCGAAGAATATTGCCAAATTGACGGTGATCAACATTGCCGGGGTAAGTCCGGTGTAGCTCGTACGGGGGAAGCGAGGACATTTGTGTCTCGCTGGTATTCATCGACGGGAATCGAGACATGGCTTTGAAATGGTATGACGTTGTTTTGAGGAATCCTCTTCTCCTACTGGGGGATCGATATCCCCGCGTGGCGACCTTTCAATGCCGAAGCTGTTGCCCCGCTCTTGACACGGCAAGAATAAAGCCTCCCGAAGCTTAAGAAGCGGGAAAATTGATCAAAGTGACTGCTTGAGCTGGCGCAGAGTGACCACTTGAGCTGGTGCAACAGAATCGCTTTGCGCTAACCGACGTGGGGGCTTACCTTGACTTTCGGCTTATGCGGGTGCGATAAATAACGGCCACCGTCCAATCGTCGCAAGTTAGCGTCAACGCGACTATCAAGAATGCTGAACCATATCATTGTGAATGCTTACAACTACTGGGTGGTTGTTTTTGCTGGAATAGGAACCATCTCCACCGCTTACGGATTAGCCATCATCGGGTCGACAGTTGGACAGACCAACTTTATACATATTTCGGTCTCGCCCCGCAAGGAAGTCCAGGCTATGGTCATACAACAAAGATGATTGCTGCTTTGAATGGTGTGGACTTAGCTGGTGCAATGCTTGGCTGTGGCTTCCATGTATGGAGCAGCGAGAAATTTGGAAGAAAAAGGACAATGATTATCGGTTCTACTATACTCGTCGTTGATGGTGCCTTGTGTTTTGGTGCTATTGATTTGGCTATGTTCATTGTCGGTCGTGGGATTGCTGTGATGGTAAGACCCTATGGCTCTCCATTTGGGTAGCTTTTGAATTAACATATGACAGGGATCGGGTATCTTGGCCTGCGTCGGTACGTAAATACAAGCGTTCTAGTATGGCTCAATAATTTTTCTGATATTTCGACAGTTCCCATGTACCAGGCAGAGGTTTCTACCCCGGAAACTCGCGGTGTCATGGTCTCAGTAACTGGGGTAAGTTCAAATTGGATCCCTCCCAACATTTTTTGATGTTGAAACGTCCTCACACTTTTAGATCGCATATGCTCTGGGTTACGGTCTTGCAGGCTGGCTTGGATATGCATGCTCTTTTATGTCCGGTTCTAGCAAATATGCTCAGTATGCCTGGCGCTTCCCATTGGCTTTCCAATGTGTTTTCCCTTTAGTATTCCTCCTTGGACAGAAATTTGTCCCATTCTCCCCTCGTTGGCTTCTCTCTCAGGGCCGGAGAGACGAAGCATTCCACGTCGTCTCAAGTCTCCACAAGACCAAGGCCGATCCTGATAACCGAAGTGCGCACGAAGAATTCTTCCTCATCGAAAAGCAATACGAGCTTGACGCAAGCCACGCAGATCAATCATTTGAGCTCTTCCGAACCGCTCCGAATCGCAAACGTGCACTGATGGGGGTATTAGTTATGCTCGGAAATAGTTACTTGGTGTCTACGTCATGGCAAACTATGGTGTTTTGATATATGCTCAGCTGGGCGTGGGCAATTCTATTTCGCTTCTTCTGAATGCTGTCTGGACGAGTGTCACTATGTGAAATGATCACTTGAGTTTCCTTCTGATCTATTTTCTAATCAAAAATGCAGTTTTGGTAATACCTGGACGGCTTTCTACATTGACAAGTTCGGCCGCCGCACCCTTATGCTGATTGGTGCTGTGGGAACCTTCTGCACTGCGATCTTCCTTTGTGCCCTCGGTGCTACATATCTGGGCACAAATGATCACGCAGGTCTTAGTCCCGCTGTCTTCTTTTGCTTTATATATATATTTTGGTGGTGTTTCTTCATTGATGCAACTCAATACGTGTACGTGCATCCCATACAGCTTCGATACTATCTAACGGCCGGCTAACTTGGAGAAAACAAGATATGTGTCCGAGATTTTTCCGAATCATATGCGATCGGCCGCTGTAGCTATTAGCCTGGCTGCATTCTTTTAGCATCTGAAGTGACCCTGGTGGCAGCCCCTATCGCCATGAATGATATCGGATGGAAGTTCTATCTAGTGCTAATCTGTCCGAGCTTTGTTTACATCATATCCATATACTTCTTTATGCATGAAACGAAGGGCCAGACATTGGAGGAAGTTGGCGCTCTATTTGGAGATGAGCAAATTGCGAACCATTGGTATGGTTTGACCGAGGAGGAAAATTGCACATTCATGAGGAAGCGATGAAAAGCAGACATGCTGGGAAGAAAGAACCCAGAAAGGAAAGCTTTGACAATGTGGAGGATATCTCTATTGAAAATACAGTCTAGAGCTTTGGGATATGCTTCTTTGGTCTTACAGCCTGGTCAATTGTGAAAGCATGCCACGTTCTCAATGCAATTATACATGCCGAATCAACCAGACTTGTGCATCCCAATCACGTGACTGAGCGCTGCTAAGCTATCCACTATTACAGACGGTATCATTACCACTTCAAATAGCCCGAGCGAGACATTTACATGGTATGAATTACACCTTTGTATACTGTAAAGTGTTTACGGTCTTGAACATGAACACTTTCTGCGACGAAAAGCTACGTACGGTATGGATTCTTTGGATATCCGTGTATTCCGATTTTTTTCTATACACAACGAGTATTTCACTCATCTCATTGGTCCCGGGCCTACTACCGACGGGGACCTACGAGGAATCTGGTGCTCCGCCGTCAATGAGGATGTCGATCGCGACCCATTTTCTGTGCCGCGTGGAAAATATTGACTCACCTATGTTCATTCGAAGGGCGGGTCTTGGTCGAGAAGATTCTGTAGGAGCTTCGTTTCCCTACGTAGGCTTTTTCAAGGTCTTGGGTTCTAGAAATGATTTTTGTTAGGAATGTGATACCTTCACGGATCTGGTAATCCTACAGTCCTTGGGGCAGCGGGCTACGACTTTTGTTCCTTCGAAACCGTCCTCATTCATCTTTAATGGGAAAACAGAAAATGGAAATCGTGGGCGATACCTCGGGTTGGAAGTTACAGCCCGAGCATCGAAAGCTCGTTCTTGGACCAGGGCCGTTCCTGCCGAACCGCCTATTCGCTTGTTTGGATAGTCGCAAATAGAGCTCCATCAGACCGAGATCCTCCGAGCAATAATTCTCAAGGATACTTTAAGAGACTCCAAGCAGAGAGTCGGTATTGGCATTGCATTCGCAAGAACCAGGCGAAAGACAGTCTAATCTGGTGAGCTCTGGGCTCGTATACGGTCTTTGAAAGGGTTAGGGACATTTCTGGAATCTGATGAGATGAAATCCCAAAGTAACCCCCCAACAATCAGCTCCTCATCTTTCAACCATGCCCACTGTGGCTTGCAAAAGGACGATCTGTTCCTTGTGTTGGTACGAATTATGGGCCCTCTCGATCGTCAAATTTCCGGCCACGCCGAATCTTCCTCAGCAGCCGAAAGAGAATCCCCGCTTCGAATATTAGAAATAGCGTATAGCGTGAAATGGATCCAAGAATACAATCGTAGGCCTCGAGATGGTGGACATCTGTAGTAGCTATAAAATCTGGATCCCCATGTGCAAGTCAGTAAAAAATCCAGAGATCTTGCATATTTTTATTTCCAAGTCATTCACAATGAAGGTCACCGCTTCCATCCTGCCTTTCCTCACCCTGGCTTCTGCCTCTTGCCTTCGCGGCACTTCCCTGCTTCCCCGCAGTGCCGACGGAACTGTTGATATCAACCATTACAACTACACCAACACTGGCGGTCCCCTGAACTGGTACGGCTTGGACAAGGATAACACCGCCTGCGCAACTGGCAAGCATCAGTCTCCCATTGTCATCGAGACCGACGATATCGACTATGCCAACTCCAACTCCGTCCACTTCCACGTGCCCAGTGCCGTTGAGGCCAAGTTCGAGAACCTGGGCTCCGGGCTCGAGGTTGTCCTGACCAACGGTACTCTTGTTACCAAGGCTGGCTCCTACAAGCTTGCCCAGTTCCACTTCCACACTCCTAGCGAGCACCGCATCAATGATGAGTACTACCCCATGGAGACTCACTTTGTCTTTGAGAACTCTGGTATGTACATCGTTTATCATTCACTTCTAGTATGGACCGATGCTAATATAAAGCAGCCGGAGCCATCGCTGTTATCGGTTTCGTGTTCGAGCTGTCCCAGTTCGGTTACTCCACCCCTCTGTTCGACTCGGTCTTCGCCCACATCGACGACATTGCCGCCCCTGGCACCTACACTAAGACTGGTCACCTGGACTTCTCCGCTCTCACTGCCCATCTGAACACTCACGGCATTTACCAGTACGAGGGCTCGCTTACTACTCCTCCCTGCTCCGAGAGCGTTGTTTGGTACCTGAGCACAGAGCCCTTACCTCTGAACGTCCAGAGCTACAATGCTGTCAAGCACGTTCTCAAGTTCAATGCTCGCTACACCCAGAACGCTCTCGGCCAGGACAACCTGCTCGAGGTCGCTGCTAAGGAGCTGAACTAAAATGACCTTCTTAAAGGCTTACAATGTGTATAGTTTGGGGTTGATGGTTTGACGAGTTGAGATATCCTCTTGGCGACTATGGGGACGTGATAGTATTGTACAGTTTATGTTAATTTTACATAATTTAATAATAACGAACACCGACAGCGAAGCTGAATTCGTTTCAAGAGATCAAATCAGCACATGGTCCCAATCCCGGCCTTTTGGTAGCGATTCATGGAAGGTGGATAACACGGCACATAGTCCATGCAAACAATTTCCGGAACGAGATCTCTTGGAAGAGAATTCCGGCAGTTTCGCGAACAAAGCGGGGGCGAAATTTTCTTGGCAGATAGGGCGGATGGCTTGTTAGTCACAAGCGTGCGATGGCGCTCGCTAGCGCCAGATTTGGAGATGCGAAGTGGGGCCCAGATCGCGATGAATTCCGGAGAAATTCTCGCGTGACGAAGACCCCTGAGAGCTGGCACCGAGGCACAGGAAGTCCGCCAGGGGCCTTTCCGAATTTTCCGTGGTCATAAGGCTGAATGTGCCTATCTTGGCAAGCATGTCCTTTCCTTCCAAGTGCCTCGCGTCCGTATCGTCTTAATATCCAGTGGACATGGGTCGACATAAAAGTTGTATGTTTCCCCTGTGAGTACTACGATATTGCTAAAAACCCAGTAGATGATTTCTCCCATTTCATTACCAGAGAAATTATTCCGAGGGAAAGATCCTCCATTTCCTCGACCAGTAGATCTTCCTAGGTGAGTCTTAGCTGGGACTGCGTAAATGAAGCTTGCGTGAAGCCACTGCCCCGCAATGCCAATCATTTCCGCGCGGTCTGTCGAAATATCCCAACTCGTAATGGATAATACAGTAACGGGTCAAGGCGATAGTCCTTACGTATTCCGGTATCTCGATTGTAAATACTGCTCACGGAACGTAAATGGAGATATAATCGAGGATCATAATCTCGAACTAGGGCCTATGTTGGGTTACCGGTATGAGATTGTCTTCTGCATTTCAATGGGGTACCCGGGAGCAATTCGTCAACAGGAAAATTAAAAAGGGTCTGGTTCAGATCAGGCATTGTCGAAAGGCCGCAGAGCAGGAGGAAAGGGGTGGTCGAGAGTGGAGGCAATTCTTCTCCCCTGCCTCTGTAAATCTCGCTGGTCCCACATGAATCGATGAATCTGCACTGAACAAAATTTTGACATGCCTTGGAAGGATAGGAGGTTGATGTCTGTATATTCAGCATTTTCAGAAGCATATTGCATCCCTTTCGAGCTTCTCTCCACTGGGCCAGCATGTATGAGAAACCCTTTTAGACTCCGATGCGGGCTTTTCAGAATCGCCATCTTAGGCAAGACCATGGATATCCTTCAAATATTTTCCTTGTCTTTGTGATAGTTCCTGTTCTGGTTGGGATTGGAAGTAATCAAGGACGTGATGGATGGTGGAGTCGTTGGGGACAACTGATGCGCGTAGGTGCTGTTGCATTGTGGCTTAATTGAGTGACTGAACCTTCCACGAGCGAGGTATGAATTTTCTTGTTCTCGGCGGGGCTCCATTTTGGTAAGCATTGTGTCACTTGGGTAGGAGCCAATATTGGGACAGGGGTTTTTTATGGTTGTTTTCCGCCGACTCGCTGGAAGAAAATCTTCGCCGAGTCAGCGGAGGGAATGGGGACGATCCAATGCCTGAGATGCTGTATAGTAGGTCGTAGTTCGAATTCTCTGCAAGCAAGTCGACCTTTCTCTTTTTTTCTTCTTCCACAGGACATACCACATCTGGTTGCTCGCTGAAGACTGCCAATTAGTGCACCACCAGCGTCTCGCCCTAGCCGGCTTGGAATATTTACACTTAGCCCTGCCCTCCGCCATTATTCCCCTCGTCATTTCTATCCTTTCTCTTTTGCTCCAAAAAGCTAGGATACACGTCTTTCTCCGGGCCTCTTATTAGTTCAACAGGTGCCTCGTTAACCTCTCAAAGGGTAGCGGCGTAGATAAATAGTTTGAAAAAAGGAGGGCTCTGCATAAATTCATCCCGGGAGATGATTTATGGCTATACGAAAACCCGGGCGGCCTACTACAACGAGCTTCTGCTGCAAGTCTCTCGCTCCCAAGCCTTCACCGCGGCAGTCACAATATTTATCTACCTGATTCACACCTCCCTTCTCCCATATAATTTTTGCCACAACTGGGACAAGATGGAGGAGGTGGTGGCTGTGTTCCGACAGCTTAATGAGAGCTCGGACAAAGTTGTGACTGTTGGACTTGCCACCCTGGAGCAGTTGGAAGATTTCACATTGCAAATTACCCACCTCCGTCCACCTCTATTGAATGGGGAGGGACCCCCCGAGAAAGTACCAAATAACAATCAGAGTCAATATCCCTCACTTTGGCCATAAATCGATGGTGTGATGTTGATGGTTGTGAGCTTGTGGCCTCTGGAAACCACGCTAGGTCGACGGGGTAGCCTAGGCCTCAGTTCACCCTACCAAAGCCCCGATTCGGAATAAACAGATCACTCATCGATTCCAGTATGGAATTTGAGCTTCAAGATGACCTCTGGAGTCCGGATATGTACTCTTTAATGGAGACGCTGCTTCCGCTTCCTCTTTGAATTGACCATAAATACTGAAGAGGGGAACGCTCGATGGCAGCACGCGCTGAGACATGGGGGTCGATTCAGCAGAAAAAAACACCACAAAACACACGCGTAGCAATCAGGAAATAGCGAGAAACCAAATGTAGGGGTCAGATCGGGGAGGTGTAAGAAGGTGTATTCTAGAACTAGCCATCCGGCCACCGTATACTGCCGGCTATGTCACATAGTCAGGATGGCACCCATGTAGTAGGGGGAGAGGGTCTCCCCACTACAATATCTACATTATTTAAGGACTCGCAAAACGTGAGAAAAGGAACTCGTCTGCTTCGAGTTTTTTCCAAGCACTAGATGCTACATGTGGACAAAGTATTGGAACCTCGAAATCCGCAAACGATCAGCCATAAACGAGTATCTGTTTTATATGTTAGCATCAGTCAAATCCAACCAGCCAACCACTTTCCATCTGACCTCAATTTCAAAATTGACACAAAAATAAAATCTAAATACCCATCAAGTGCAGCTTGCACCAGACCTCCCTTAAAAGCGGTGAAGATCACCCGCCGTGACCATTTTATACTTTCCCCATTCGGCCTAGCTCGCTTCATGACCCCCGCTCGAATCTCACCTTCACACTCAACCTTGCTCAGAACAACACCCCAGGCAGTACTTCAACTTTGCCATACACAGAGACAAAAGACGTCTCCGAGACACCATCAACCATGAGTTTGCCCCCAAACGCTCTCCGCCAGACCTTTCACAGCCTTAAGGGCGTTCCACGGGCCCTACACACCCGAACCCCACATGCCCCCCTCGCCGCGCTCCGCCCGCTCGTGACGTACCCGGGGCCGAGCCGACAATTCGCACCGCGGTCCTGCTCCTCTCCATTTTCGAGCTACTCGACCGTTTCCAGTTCGCGGAATGATGATAAACACAAAGAAAAATTCTACTTCGGATCCAAGCCCCTCGGGACCCCGCTGGCTATGAGCTTCGAGTCGCTCGGAATTCGCCGGAACACACAGCTGCTTGTCATCTTTGTGTTGACCATCGGCGCGTTCTTGGAGGCGCTTCTCTGGGGTGAGAAGGTATGGATTTGGTGGAAGGGGGAAGAGGGAGATTCCCTGGACTAGGAGCTGTTGATGCCGGTTGAGATATGGACTTGGACATATCGGGAAGGGCGTTGTATCGGACTTCTGGCTTCTGACTTCTGTGCTTATTCGCGGGTTTCTTTACACATTCGCGAGGCGTTTGGTATTGTCTTTCTCTTTTCAATTGTTTTGGTAGCATATTCCTTTCAAGACGCACGATACCTTCCACGAGCAACGCAAGCAACTTGACTATGGAACTTGAGACTATCCGTTTCGTTGTAAAGCTGAGATATCGTATCAAAATACTGGTCTTTACTGGTTTCCTAGGAATGTTCTTGATGAGACATCCAGTAATCGGTATATCTCATATTAAATCTGTTGTTTACTAGCTGAATTCTGGAGATCTGAAAAGCTGTCCACAAAATCGCATGCAAAAATAGGTTCAGATTACTGGCTCCTCGAGTCTGGAAACAAGCCCCAGTCTGCACCTCTATATCGTGCCAGTGCCGTTTGCCAGAGTCACGGGTCGTTCAGTGTTTGCCACAGATTATCTAGGGTTCGGCTAGTCCCCAGGCTGCCATTCGCTTTTCCTGTTTCGATATTCGCGCAAAACATCGAGGCGCAACGGGAGCTCTCCAACGGCTTTAAATATGACGGGTAGCAATGCGTGAGCCTATATAGGCCCCAGATGTCAGTGTAAACTTATGAGAATGTGTGGGATTAGCCTTTTGGCTTTGAAACTTTAATTTTCTCATCGCAGTGGAAGTCCAGGCTGTACTGCTGTCGGGATGGAATAGCTCTATTATTACCTGTCATGTATGAAACCACTAATTCCTTATTCTACGGTCGGGATAGGTTCAAAATTGACGGATTTTGATTTAGCAAGCGTTATGTCATTGCTCATAACAAGGTTGTAGTTTTTCACAGGCGATAACCTCATCAAAATCAGGCAGCAACGCCTGACCTGTTACCCTTTGCACCTTGCGAGAACGCGACAAGTGCCAAGCTTCTTAACAAGGGATTCCCGGTTGTATTTTCCCCTCTCTTTGCGATCGATCTACCCCTACCTTTTCTAATTTGAACCAAATCAACATCGAAATTTATCCTTTTCGATTGCATAGACAGCGGGTTCTCTCACAAATCTCCGTTGCCTATGGCTAGATCCTCAATCAGTTGAGATAGGTTTAGCCTATAAAACTAGCTAAGAAAAAGGCAAGAAAGGACTTTTATTAGTATTTTGTTCGCCAATTTCGCCAAAAATGATTCTTAATCGAATTTTGCGATGGGATTGGCATGAAGGTGAGCGTGCTCCGCGATCGCGTCCAAAAACGGCAAAAAAGCCAAGAAGCCAAGAAAGCGTGGGTCAGCATAAGATCGCCAAGCTCAGAGTTCGCGCATCCCTTACGAACCACCTTGCGCATTGATCGCACTCAGATTTCCCACACCTCGTTCTGCCTACCTGGAGGTCATTCCCGCGCAACACCATGCCCGAAGCTTTGGGAATTGAGGAGAACGAGCTCAAAGCGCAAAATCCGCGTTTCCTGCTCCGCCAACCTCGCGCCTTACAATGGTTCGAGCACGGCCGCTTGGTCAAGCGCCATGATTGTGAAAGACAAGCTGGTCAGCACACACCTGAAAACGCGCCCACTTGCACCCGAAAGTTAACCAGTTGTTCCCGCAGGTCGCTTTGAGCTCTTCCTCGATTTGCTCTATGTCGCCATCCTATCGAACTTCGCCGACACTCTGGCCGAGGATATCTCGGGCGCAAAACTCGTCAAATACATTGTAAGCCTGCCCCGCGTCTCACGTAGTCGGTCAGCGTCGAGGTCGTCCACAACTGATCGCCTCGCCACCCACAGTTGATCCTGTCTCCATCATGGCATGTATGGAGCGACATTCGCGAATTAATGAACTCGTTCTACAACGACGACCTCCTGCAGCGTCTTCTGATCCTCTGGCTCATGGCTGTTCTGGTTGTCTATGGGAATAATGCGCCTTTGGTGGATGAGGATATAGGTGCTATGCGCGCGGCTGTCGGTTCCTACATGGTCGCGCGCGTAACGTGCAACCTCACGCATCTCGTTTTCTCTTTCGCGAGTTACCACCACCGCCGGCAACAGCGACTGTGGGCCGGCCTCTCGACACTCACTTTGTGCATCTACATCCCGCTCTTCTTCGAAAACATTTCCATCCGCGGCAAGATTGCGGCTGCGGCCGTCGCAGTCTCGGTAGAGGAAATCCTTTGGGTCTTCTGCTATTGTCCCGCGGCAAAGAAGTTGCTTCGCGTCAAGTATTCCACTGCTGTTGATGTCGGGCATGAGATTGATCGCTTTGCAGCGTTCTACATTATCGTGCTGGGCGAATTCCTGTACCTCATCATCAAGGGGTCAAACGCTGCCGTTGGCTTGAATGAGCGTCTGCTACGCGCAGTCTGGACCTTGGTCATTGCGTTCTGTCTCAATTGGCTGTATACCCACGCCGACGGGTCGATGGAAAGTACACACCCACTGCGACACAATGTCTATACTGCTTTCTCCTTTGCTATGATCCATCTGCCGCTTATTGCCAGTCTCCTGGTCGGTGGCCATGTCGCAGCTGCATCTGTTGCCGAGGAGGATTTTGAAAATCCTCAAAGGTGGCTGCTGTGTGAAGGATTAGGTGTTGGTATGATGTGTCTATACTTCTTCGCTCTGATACACTCCTCTCAGGATGAACGTGGATGCCTGGTCATGCCCAAGGTAGGTCCGATCTCGCAGCTCGTTGTTGGCCAAGATACTTACTTTTTCCCAGCATGTTCGTATCATCATGCGACCGATCACCGGTCTCATCACTATTTTACTTCCCCTTGCGCATCATCTCAATGCCACAGAGATTCTTTCCGTCATCATGGCGATGTACGTTTTCGTGTTGGTCTGGGAAACTGTCGGCTCTCTGAGAAAGGGCGCTTGCTTCTTTGAGAGATGGACAGATACCGGCTATCCTGAAAGACAATCACAGGATGTGGAAACGAAGGATGCTGGAATCTGAGAACCTTGATTGGGTCAAGTATATCCAGGTGGTCGGTGACAAATTCTTGTGCTATAATGACTTGAGGAAGATTCTCCACTACCTGAGGACGGAACTGACCATACACATGTGCATACCACAAACTCTGTCTATAACTAATCATCGATATAATATACAATACTCTAATGATTCTTTCGTATCGATTTTGGCGTTTGCACTTGCTGTGGTCACCTGTTCGCGCGGCTGGCGAGCTGCATTGATTCTCTCCTCACACCTACCATCTTTTCCTCTCCAAGTCCTGTTCGCTTTAGATATCCCGATGAGACTATCTCGTCCGTTCACTACTTCCAGGTGCCGGTAGTCATCATGGATATGAATCCCTGAGGACCATGCATATGAAAGTCACTGTGCATGACTCAGATATCTGAAATGCATCTCCTCAACGTTGACCACATCCCTTGTTCATTCAGACAAAGACCTTATTTATATCCTCCCTCCGTTGACCAAGGCTCCGTCAGCATGCGACTCTTTATGCAGTTAAACGCTATTAATGTTTCTTTGAGCTGAATGGCCCACTTATCTCCCTTCGAGTAGCTAACAGCCTTATCATTGTTTCAACAAAGCCCGAGTCAAAGTACATCGAGGCTTCGAGATAGGTTTGTGGCCGTGCTATCAGTATAAAGTCAACCCCTCGTCCCTGGATGATGGTTTGGTCAGGCCACTATCAAATCATCCTAACAAGTAAAAAACCCAGCACAGTTCTATTAAAAAAAAAGGCTTAATTGTACCATCTAAAACTCTTCGTCATTATGACTACCCACACTATGTTTAGCATTTTCGACGACGGTCGAGCCGGACTCGTCGATATGATGCTTAGGCTTTGTGACGACATGATAATGCACCCTGACGGTAACGATCGCCTGTACACTGAGAAAATCGTGAGCTACCTGCGCAAGTACTTGCAGGAACTTGAAACGATGGATCGCGGTTTGGGAAACACGGCCCACGTGAGCCCTTGCTTTAAGCCTCTGTTTGAAGCAATCGTTGATGCAATCGAGCAAGCAATTGACATTCTTAATGCATGAACAGCTTCTAACGTGGATGTCGCAGAAATTTTGGAAATGGTTGCCTGGGAGCTTGGTAGGTTCACCTTTTTCCTATGCATCTATGGCGGATGGGTACGCCGAGCGGATGGAGCTACACTTGGTTCAGTACGATGAGCGCATTCTCGTGCATCGGGAGGATAATGAGATTACGCTTGATCATAACCCGCCCGTCTTTGAGAAGTTTACTTGAAAATTCACTTTGCGGCTGAGGGATGCCAGTGTAGACAGTGCTGCCAAGTTCGATCTCAGTACATTAAGTTGTTAGGGTAAATCGTTGAATATAACAAGCTGGCTTGTCTCATTTTGTTTCGACTATCTCCCGGTCATTTCATCACGATAAATCCTCGTCTGGTTTTGGCATTCCTAAAATAAATAAAAATGAAGTTTTTCTTCCAGACTTTATCCAAGATAAAGATACAAGTAAATTTCAGGACATCATAGTCATTAAACTTTCATACGTAGTCATAAATTGCACAGATAGCTTGCCACTATTCCCAGTCCCCAACCAGGTAATATTTGCACTTCAATAATCTTGAAAAAGGATTCTCAATTTCGATTCTGACAACCAATCAAAGTCTCCGTGGCGCAATAGGCTAGCGAGTCTGACTGTTAATCAGGAGGTTGGAAGTTCGAGCCTTCCCGGGGACGTTTCTTTTTCTTTTTTGTTTTGCTGTTAAATCTGAGTGGGTGCCATGTTGTGTTTTCTTTGGTGGGTCTTGGAAAGAAAGTCTACGCCGAGGGTTTACCGAGGCCAGGGGTTAAAACAACAAACGCTGCTCCATTATGCGCCGTGTTTAAGCTATTTTTGGCAAATAAATGTTTTTTATTGTTGATGTAGGCTAATTATAATATTATTTGTTAGAAAACACGTGCCTTTGTTATAACTTCGAGTTTTGTGACGTCACAGTGGTATAGGTTTCGAGTCAAGGTCACATATGTCGAGTCAAAAATATATAAAGCCAAGCATCTCCACCACAGAGATGCACTACACCCAGTAGCAGCACTCGCCTCATTCAACAATCAAGGCCACAACCCCACAGTGCTGAGACTCGATCCTAACAAGCAATTTAACATCTGACCAAGTAACAATAGTCCCCACAAATCACCATGAACAACCAAGATACTTTTTCTTTCCAGGAAGTCCAAGGTAAGTTTGTTGACATGATACTAAATGTCAGCGAGAACCTCACAGAAGATCCATGTGGTGTAGATCATCGCTTTGCACAGGATGTTGTCAACTTTCTGCGTGAATTCAGTCAGGAGTTCGAAAATTGAATCGAAACTTCTCGCTTACACCCTATGCGCCCCTCTACTTCAATTTCAGGTGCGGAAATATCCAATACAAACTCGCGAAAGCAATCGATTTCCTCGAAACCGGTGGCCACTCTAAAATGGGCATTGCCGAAATTTAAATATGAAAGCCTTGGAGATTGGAAGATTTACGGTAGGCAAAGTACCTGATGTTGACATTTATGCGGCCCGGATGGAGAAGAATGCATCGAGTACGACGAGCGCTTTATTTCAGAGTGTATTTTGATGGATGGTGGCTGCCTGCCTCAGTTGAGTTCGATTTGATGGAGTTTTCGCCATCCTCGGCTGGGTTGTGATTGTCGCCAATGCGAGAGACTGCGCCTGAAGTAGGTTTGTACATCGCGAAAGAACTGACTTGGTGCTGCCAAAGCATTGATTGAATTTGTAGACCCTTTTTTTTACCTTGCAGTTGTACTTCTACCACATACGACCATAGGGTGTGGAAAACAGGGCTTCCCGTCCGCTCAGCCGTACTTAAGCCACACGCCGGCAGGTTAGTAGTATGGTGGGTGACCACATGCGAATCCCTGCTGTTGTATGTTTTTTGTTTCTATACGCTTCACTTTCGTCTCATGTATTTCCATCCGAACATTATCATCGAATTTATTTTGGGTCTTTGTAACTTCAGACAAATGCGATCCGCCTAGGCGGACAATCGGCTAGTCCCATCGGATCAGTGGATAGTATCAAGAGTTGAACTAGCAATGTAAACAGCAACCGTCCGTTCAAGGAGAATTTCCAGCAAGGTACCTTCCGATCGCTGTAGTCCTGTATTGCGGGTCTATATCTTTGCTGTGGACAATCATCGCCCTTCCAAGTGTGTGATTAAGGGGTGATTTCGTAGGGAATGTGGTCGATTGCTGGTTTGATGGCAGAGGCACATATCTGAACAATTTTATGACTGAATATTCCGACCTGATAAAGCTTTCAAAAGGACAAAACAGAGGGACAAACCGTAGATTTCTGTAAGGCTTTTTCTTTAACGGATAACTATATAGAGAGGGAACTTTACATCGATTTAGCTACTTAGTGAGTTCGCTCTGTTTTCACAGTATCTACCATGTCCAGGCCCCATTAAGTCTTCGAATCCTTTCTTTATATATACGGGCATTCTCCGCTTAGATTCTCCCGTTTTCTTCCTGACTAGCATTAGTCTAGTTTATCTGGTGTATTAGTATCTAGGCTCATCGCGGTGGGCTTAATACCGGGCTTTCTTCTATTGTCATATCCATTCATCTTCTTTCAGTTGTATTCGTGGTCGTAGTGCCTAGGATCTCTAAGAATTATAGTGGGTTAAGGAACCGTTCGAAAGGTCCGTCAAAGTGGTCCTCGCCGCGGCTGAATTTTCATAGGACTTTCATAAACAACGTCTTCGCGCAGAAGTCTTTTCCTTCGATACTCTCTGATCGCGAGGGAAAGGAAGCTTTTGAATGATAAGGGCTGAAGCCAGACTTAAATTAAATCTAACTAGGCCAATTATTGTTATCAAAAAGCTTAAAGGAGAAGAGACAGAAAGGACGCGAAAGGAGACGCAAGGCTGTTGTCGGCATTACCTTACGAATACTGCATGAAACCGGGTCTATGGATCCGACGGCATTGCTTATGTAACTAAATTGGACCATAAAAAGCGTGAATAGGGGTAATGGAAATACAGAGTCATTGATATCTCCAATTGGTCGGATACTATACGGAAGTTGACAGCTGTTTACGGTCACGTGATAACACGTGATATCAAACGGGCATGGACCCATTACAACTAGCTGCTCAGAAGAGCGAGTTTATCTAGGTCTAGTGAATCTCCTCTTATGAGGAATATGTCTCTTAAACGAATTCACAGAGCGGCACAGAACGTTCTTATTCGAGATCGACAAAAAATATCTCCCAGAGCGCACTAGAGTTAGAGAGCTCTTATATACAAAGGCAACACTAGATAGCAAGATTAGCAGAGCATATCTTAAAGATAAAATTACCTTTTATACCTCTACTAAGCGGGTCGTATATTACCTAGGGCTTTTCCTAAAGCAGAACCAATGTCCAACCTGCGCTCGTTCTATGTTAAATTATAATCTATTGTCCCTTCTCTGTTTAACTATTGTAGTGGGGAGACCTCCCCCTACTACATGGGTGCCATCCATGCTATGTGACATAGCTGGCAGTATACGGTGGCCGGATAGCTAGTTTTAGAATACACCTTCTTACACCTCCCCGACCTGACCCCTACATTTGGGCTTCTCGCTATTTCCTGGTTGCTATGCGTGTGTTTTGTAGTGGTTTTTCTGCTGAATTGACCCGCACGTCTCAGCGCGTGCAGCCATCGAGCGTTCACCTCTTCAATAGGCAGTCATTGTTACGGGCCGTTCGAAAGAAACAGATCCATTCGGTGCCTACAGACGAGAATCTCGAAGATGAAGAAGGAAGGAGAAAGAAAAAACCATCCGTCAGGGAAGAAGGACTTGAGTATCCAGCAATCGTGCACCAGCAAACGCGTAACTCCCTTTCACGAGATGAGGCTATCCCCGGGTTCATCCGTCACTGTCGTCCTGTGTTGATCTGAACCCTTTTGAGTACGATTCGGAACCGATTCGACAGCGTTTTATCACTGATACTCTTTAGTATATCTTGGCTCCGTCGTGATAATGCGTCTGGCCTGGCTATAAGCTTACTAAGACGGTAACAGAGAACAAAATCAAATTCTGTAAATAGATCCGCCTAACGCATTTACCATTTATTAAGGTACAGCGCTTTACTAAAGTATCAAATGTCCTTATAGTCTGTTACGATAGTGAATCAAGACACTATCTTTAGCTCGGGCCTCTATTCGTATGCGGGCTCGCGGCATTGTCGGGACACTGCTATATTCAAAGTAACCCTGAGTGGCATGTGCAAGCTTGATATTACCGATATCCAGCCTGATGCATCCTCCGAGGTAATTGAATAACAAGCCTTATACTTACATCACAACGAGGATAAGCTTTACCAACATTTGATTATATGGTTTTGCTCAGCTAGCTAATGCATATGATCTCTATCAGTGCACTCACAATTTGAATCACGAGCCTGAAACTAGCCATGGATAATGATGCCAACTTGTCATGACTTCAATTAAAGAAGCTTCAGCCATGACCAATTCGAGGATTTTGCAAATCCGATCCGAGGCAGAGTCGCAAGACTCACACAGGCAATCCAGGTATTGTCCCTTTCTGTCTTGAAAAATGTTTCTTCATCCTCTCTGCTTTAGATGGTTGACTTCGTTTTCCGGACGATTGGCTTCGGATGTTCGTCAGCATGGGCAGCCTATTCTGAACTGACTCCTGCGAAATGTGATCTCGGAACCTAGATACAAGGTCCTTTCCTTCAGGAGAGCTGGAGCTCCATGCCACCAGGAGAAAAAAGGCAGCGGCAACATAAGTGCCTATGGGGACAACAATCCAGCTTAGATAGAAGGATCTCGGTGTCGAAGATCCCTCGCTTCCATCAATTTGAACTGACAGATTTGGCATCGCCCATAACGCCTGAGATAAGTTAGCAAATTCATTTCTTCAATCAAACGAAAGCATATTCGGAATCCACTGACAGCCAGAAACCCAAGTGGTGTAAAGATGATAGTCACAATGGTGAAAACTATTACAAAAAGGTTGAGCGTTCTGGCCTGGACAGCCTCTCTTAAAGAGGCAGCGTTGAAAAGCTATAGTGTAGTCAGTCAATGGACCCATGCCAGATCAGAATCATATCAGTACTATGGGGGACTTACGCCATCTCTGAGACTCTCCACTTCAGATTTCTTCTTCTCAATACGGTCTCCCAGGCTCTCCGCCAAAATATCTAGTCTTTCTTTGACCTGGTCTGCAAGTTTCTCTATAGATTCCATGTCCACATCAGGATATTTTTCGCATGACCCTTGTCTGATACTCCAAGCCTGTTGAAGAAAGTTAAACTTCAATCCAGCAAACTCTTTCTGCGTATCGTCGATCCAATTTTGAAAAATACGTAGCATTTGCAACACGGAGAAGTACTTTTCTGAAACTCTGAACGAGGCATCAAACATGAGAGTCCGTAAAAGCTTCTCGTCACGCGTATCATGCGTCTAAGATGTATTTTGTCAGGGATAGCGCTCTTGAGGAAAAGTAGTAGGAATGCAATAAAAGGATGTATCATACCTGGATACCAACTAAGCGGTCAACTTCGTCCAATGTATCAGTCCATGTAGCGGCCCAGGTAGCATAGGCTCTCAAGATGTGAGTCAAAAAGTCGGCATAGGCCACTCCATCCTTCCCACAGTCGCCAATATCAAGCTTAATGCCGGGTTTGTTGATGTCATGACCCTCATCTCGGATCTCTTCGTCTCGCCAGGAGAGCAATCTGTAGGTTGTACAATCTTCCTCGTGGCGGACGTTGATAAAGACAGCGGAGACGCATTCCTTGAATACGAATCCATCGCCACTCTTGCGAGAAATCCTACCCACCCAGCCTTCTTCTCGAGTAAGTGGGAAAATTCTACCTTCCCGGTCACAATCAGGATCCTTTGAATCCCACTTCATACAAGCCTGCATTTTCCATACCAACATATCCGTGGGACATGACTGGAATTTCCATAATGATGGATTGTATGAAACGATGTGTTGGACACAGTATGTAGTATGGGACAGAACACGTTGCATGTGAATATGTGACTGGCTGGAGAGCTGAAGAAAGAATGCAAGAAGCTTAACGGACAGAAAGTCCGATCTCCCCCTGAAACAAGTCCTGTTATGACAAAGGTCAGTTGCTGCTACAATGGCCTACTAATACAGGGTAGAGGAAGGGAAATGATCAATGAGAAGCTGCTCCTCCTTACCATACTTCAGAAAAAGATGAACGTGTTGGCACATGGGCCTCGCTGCCAGGGCTTGGAAGACTTCTTTCAATCTATAATTTAAGGATATACATCAGCGAGGGCGGTCTTAGGGCATTTCTCTCTTTACAAGGCTCAAGCTCATCAGAGGCCACCCAGAAGCTAACTCTGTTACTCACCCCAGACAGATCAGTAGTCACAAGTACGGTGGTTTTACTTTCGATGAAATCTCCACCCCATTTAAAAATTTCTTCCGCCCCATCCACATCTCCAAAGGCTGGAGGCCAAGCTCTGAAGATCTTCTCCGAGAACTTCTTGTATCGCTCGAGCCACTGGTCTGAACCATCTCCATGATAGTATTTGCGCTTGCCCGTCGGCTGATGTTCATGTATACCATGTAAGAATATGGCTTGCAAACTGAACATATGTCCCCTGAATGCGCCTTTCAACTCTTGTAGTCTTTTCATGCACGGTGCCTTCTTTATGAACTCCCTCTGCAGCCAGTCGGGTACAGGGTCTGCAGGTCCAAGTCGAAGGGTGGTCAGTGCTGTTGGCTGGTTGCCATGTCCATTTTGGACCACGCCAACGCCAAGTCCATTGTAAGATCCGTCAACATTACGGCTAGCTTTATTGTTGGACTTCTCGATGAGTTGTTTTAGCTCAGCAGCACCTTCCACAAGCTTGTTGAGAGCACTTAAGAGATGGGGATCTCCAAGAACAGATTCGCTGGGCTCTTCCATTGGTATGTAGGACAAATTGATCGAGTAGACCGGTGGGAATTGATAGGTTCATTTGGTGAAAATTGATATGGAGGGGCTGGGGTGGCTTTCAGGTCGCCAGCTGAGGTCCGTTGCAGATCACATGGATCTCAAGTTCTCATTGGCTTGCACGACATGCGTTGTTTTTCTGCTCCCGTGTACGGTCGACTATAGGGGCCCTCATGGCAACGCAGAATTCATTCAATTTGATTGGATGACTGTCTCCTCTTTTGGACAGGTAAAAAAAACAGACAAATGAATCACAGTGACACCCCCACACATAAGCTTGTAAAACTTCCGTCTCATTGTCTACAGCCCCCCTAGGAATACGGGAGACCCCCCTTCACCGCCTTTCTCCTTTCAATACTCTCCGATATACCCTGCGTATAATTTACCATACCAAACATTGTCATGCCTCGAAAGCCGGAGCTTACTTGCGAGCAGCGTCTTTACGGTCGATTTCTCCATGAAGAGAAATATTCCTATTCCCAAATTGCTTCCAAGGTGAATTTGTGGTCTTAAGCAAGCCCGCCAAGCCTCTAATGAGCGCCCTACATCGCAGAAAGCTAAGAAATGCGGTCGGTTACCTAAGATTACCCCTGAATGTCTTGATAAGCTGATATCGTGGATTTGTCGGACTGTCGGATATCGGTATCGACTAGTACTGGCGAGGGGCCAATTGAACCATCTCAGCGATCGATTGATTGACTGAAGAACTATCTCTCGGCTCCCGTTCAGGATGCCATCTATTCAGGGTTTTAGTGTGTTACAGCGCTGCTTTACCGAGAATACCCGATTACCATACAAAACGGGTAGGAGATTGGGTATCTGCTGAATCATCCTGCTCCTGATTGTAATAACGTAATTCCCTGCCGTTCGGAACACCCGCCCGTTCGGAACACCCCATCCAAAAACGCGTCTTTCTAACCACCCACCTAATTCAACCACCTACCATGCCACCAAAACGCGCCGAATCAGCGCAGAAATCGGCTAATCAAGAGGGCAAGATCTTATTAGCCCTTAGAGATATCAAAAATGGCCGTATCAACTCTCTTCGCGCTGCAGCGAAGCTATACGAAATACCACTCACCACACTACACTCACGCGCCACTGGCCAAACCTCACGCGTCGATAAGCGCCCAACAGGCCATAAATTGACCCAATTAGAAGAGGATTCGCTTACTAGATGGATACTCTCTATGGATTCACGTGGAGCAGCGCCTAGGCCGTCTACTGTGCGAGAAATGGCTAATATTCTATTGGCTGCCCGTGGTGACGACCCTCCGGCTACAGTAGGCAAGAATTGGCCATCAAGCTTCGTCAACCGACGAGACGAGCTTCGTTCAACCTTCTCACGACGCTACGATTATAAACGCGCCCAAAACGAAGACCCAAAATCACTACGAACCTGGTTTGCGACCGTCCAACGTGTTATTGATGAGAATGGTATCCAACCGGGGGATATCTATAACTTTGATGAGACCGGCTTCGCTATGGGACTTATATCTACACAACGGGTAGTTACAAGGGCTGAATATTATGGTCGGCGAGCGCTTTTACAACCGGGTAATCGTGAATGGGTTACTGCGATCGAAGCAGTAAGCGCTGATGGCTATTCGCTACCGCCTTGCGTGATATTCAAAGGCAAAAACTTCATCGCTTCTTGGTTCGACGAACAGCTTCATCTTCCAAAAGACTGGCGTATCGAGGTCTCGCCAAACGGCTGGACAACCGATGAAATTGGCCTTCGTTGGCTACAAAAGCTCTTTATTCCAGCGACTACAGCGCGTGCGAGGGGTGGATATCGGCTATTGATTCTTGACGGCCACGGTAGCCACCTTACACCTCAATTCGACCAAATCTGCGCTGAAAACAATGTGATTCCACTTTGTATGCCTCCACACTCTTCGCATCTCTTACAACCGCTTGACGTTGGCTGTTTTGCTATACTAAAACGCGCATACGGCCGCTTCGTGAGCGATCTAGCTCGTTGGTCATATAACACTATCGACAAATTCGACTTCCTTAATGATTACCCCCAGGCGCGTACCGAGGCCTTTCAACCACATATTATTCAAAGTGCATTCGCAGCTACTGGTCTTGTTCCAATTGACCCAGAACGGGTACTTTCGAAGCTTAATATCTCACTCAAAACACCGTCACCACCGAATAGCCGGCCAACCACCAGCGATAGCCATTTTAGCCCAAAAACACCCAGGACCGTCGTTCAACTAGAAAAATCAGCTTCGTTACTCAAAGATCTATTAAGACAACGGTCAAACAGCCCTCCGAGCCCATTAAAAACGCTGGTAGATCAAATCATCAAGGGCCATTACGAACAGCTTCATTCAACAGCGTTATTATTGCATGGAAACGCTAGACTACGCGTGGGTAATGAGAAAACACGCCAGAAACGCACACGGTCAAATCGGCAAATAGTTCACGAAGGAGGCTTGACAGTTGAAGAGGGTCAACAGCTAGTTACGCAGCTAGTCAGCTAGTTGAAGCTGATCGGGTCGTTTCGCATGAGCAGGCCGATGAGGCTATTCAACTAGCTCAGCCAGCAACCAGGGCTCCACCAAGGTGTAGTGGGTGTAGGGAAATTGGCCATAAGATCAATCAATGTAAAAATCGTCAGATATAGCTAAATTGATGCGTTTTGGTTGATAAATTTTTATGCAAAAATTTCTAATGGGGGTAGGTGTTCCGAACGGGCGGGTGTTCCGAACGGCAGGGAATTACGTTATCAGTCTCTCCGATCGACAGGATTTGACAGTCGATTGAGCGCCGTGCTCTTACCTATGATAAGATTTGTGCTCTACTAGATCCTGAGATCTGCGGGCAAATCTTATGTCTTGTCTTAAAGGCTCGCGAAATGAGATTCCACCCTGTTGTTTAAAAGCCACCAATTCTTGATATCCATCATGAAATATCTCTTGCCTGGGCTCGCGCTCGTTTAGGTAACGTAATCCACTACTGAGCGGTCAACCCCATCAAAAAACGCGTCCCGTCGCGTACCCACCATTTTCAACCACCCACTATGACACCATCACGCACTCAATCAGGCCAAGAATTGGCTAATCGCGAGGGCAGGGTCCTATTAGCTATCCAGGATATTCAAACTGGAAAGGTTGAATCAACACGCGTAGCCGCATTACGATATAACGTCTCATACACAACAGTATGCGCGCGCCTTAAAGGGCGACCATCACGCGCTGATACACGTGCGAATAGTCATAAATTGACTATTTCGAAGAGGATTCGCTAGTACAGTGGATTCTCTCTATGGACTCGCGTGGTGCAGCGCCTAGGCCCTCTCATGTGAGAGATATGGCTAATATTCTACTGGCCGACCGTGGAAATACCCCCCATTAACAGTGGGACAAAACTGGGTAATCAAGTTCACTAAACGCCGAGAAGAACTACAATCACGTTTTTTCAAAACGATATGATTATCAACGTACGAAAAACGAGAACCCAGCGATCATTATTGATTGGTTGGTTTAAAACTGTTGAAAAACGATTACTGAGAACGGTATTGTGAAGGGCTACGGCCGAATTGATTCAATTGAGCGGTGCCAACATGCTGTTTATCTGAAGCTTGGAGAAGTTTAGAAATAGGGGGTGGCCAGCGGTGACTAAATATCCTGGGGAGTTGATAGATCACATCGCACAGGCTTGGCCTGGGCTATAGATCGGGACCTGGCCCGTTATATGTTGGATGCTATACACGAAATCCTATGAAGAAAACCCGCCCCGATGCGTGTCCTAGGGCAAGCAAAGCACAATTCGTCGCGGAGCAGCTAGGCCGATATTCCGTAGGAAGCCAGAGTATCCTTTTGCCGTTTAATGTTATCCACTGCCTTTGCTCGATGAGTATCTCTGAAATGACATGAGGTGAACCAGAAGCATGATTGCTACACCTTGCCTGAATACCGAGGGAACCGAAGTTTGCCCTTAGATATGAACCGTCAGGTGAAAATTCAAGGTTAGTGGTAACTCCTTCGACCCTCCAGGTCTGTCAAGTCGCAGCCATCGCAGGGGTCCCAGAGCCGCACTGTGTTATCCATGAAGCCAGACGCTAGCAGCCAGCCGTCAGGCGAGAAGGTCACCGACTGAACCGCATCCGCATGGCCCTCGAGAGCCTCCAACTCTGCGCTCCACCTTTCGTCAACTTGTGGTAGCTGACTTACCCAACTAGGAAGCACAGTTTTGAACTGTCTACGAATTATTGCCATTCTGGGTGCAAATACCAGCCCTGAGCAATATAGCTGGAGAGGCGCATTATCAACTATCTGGCGTTTTTAAGGATGAAGAGCTTCGCATCTTGCAGAAAGTCGGACAATGCGGGATAGTGGCCCCCCTATATCTATCAGTGATAATCATATATGACTGTCCTCGGAACTTACGGGTATAACCTTTTGGAGGACATTAAGAGTCCCCACCACCTCCGACACAATACTTAGAAGGCTCATTGCTTCCACCCAGTGCAGGAAATGCTCCTGGAGGAATAATAGCACTTCTTCTATCTTAGAAGATGAGGTCCTGCTTTGTTCGAGGTGGTGTATCCAGTAGCGACAGGAGTATCGCAGTTCTGGCGGTAAGTACTGGCGGATGGTTTGGGGATCGATTTCGGCTCTATGCATTCCAGGGCTACCTAGACTGCAGATATTGTTCTTCATATGACGTCGCATAGTTGTGAGACAGTATCCGGCAATATCGCCATGCTTCGTGGACTCGTGTATGATTCACAAGAAGGAGAGAAAGAGACAAAGCTTTTCAAAAATCGGAATATGCTGTTAGACTGGAGCAAGAAATTTCGAAATGACAAATGTAGAATCCTAACAAGCCGATCTCTGTTGTTAGGCACGCTTAGTGCAGACCGGCATGAATCCAATCGATTGGTAATATGGTCTGCTCTAATCCCAAGAAACAGCGAGAGTGTATTGATTGAAAGTGGGACAGCGAGAAGAATGATAAGTCCATTTGCTGGAACTCTTGCAATAGCTGCTGCTGCTCTAGCTCGTCATCGTCTTGATCATCGAGGAGCTGTGTGAGAATTGGCTGGTATGTCTTGTCCATTTTTGTTGCGTATCTGGCTTAGTCCCTTAGGAGCTCAGCGAGTCGCGTTGTGGGATTCCATTTAGAATTTTCAATGTATCGGCACACAGTGGTGGCAGAAATAAATAATGGAACGGGCATGGCAACTAGATTTTGGATGACGTCATCGCTGGGCCATCCTCAAGGAATATTTTTTGCGAGCCTGATCTTCGCAAGTCGGTCCTGGAGGAATAAATATATGTCGCGTTCCGTCGCTTTTTCAGATAATCATGATTTGCAATATTTTGAAATCCGAGGCGAATTGGCAGCCGAGGCCTGCTGGTCAACAGAATCCGAATACGAAAGGCGCCTGCCTTCTGTAAAAGAGGCAGTAATCGGATTATGTTTCGTACGTCCTTATCATGTTCAAATTCGTCCAAAGCATCAATGACTATAACAGTGGTTGGAGGTTGCTGATCGGATCCGGTAAGACAAAATTGGTTGAAGAAGCAATTTATCGCACTGCTCTGTTAGCGATTTTGAAGCAATGTCCGGGTCATTATGTAGTTCTCTCCGCACGCCAGAGGTCAGCTCAGACGAATTAAACACTAATTGCCTGGCGAGTGTGGGGAAAAGTTTTGTGGCATTTCCTCGATCGCCTTCACCCCTCTTGGAGAAAAGCTTGCCCCGGGGTGTTTAGTCTCGTGGAGCGACTTCGCCACAGTTCGAGATATTGTGGATTTCCCCGTTCCAGCCATCCCATTTAGCCAAAAAAGGCATTTTCCGAGAGGTGAAAAAGCCCATGCCTTTATATGTCGGAGGACCTCAGTCCTCGTGCCTGGAAGACATTCATCTTCATGTTGATTCATACTGCTGTAGAGCGCAACGAAATACTCTCCAGCCACCGAGTTGTTAAGCCATATGACTCACCTTCTGGCATCCATTTCCCCCACACTATCCTAGCCTTCCATACCCTAGACAGCTTCATCATCAACATAGTTAATTCCACCACCTTCCATTTCGGGAATAACGTGAAAGGGTGATGATGATGATGATGAAGTCATTTGCCCGATGTAGCTTGCTCTAAATATATGCTGCTATGCGGGAGTGCTGTCAGGCCTGCCGACAGCTTGAAGGTGGTCGCCAGCCCACTGAACGATTGTTTCCCTGGCTTGCAACGCAAGCCCCTGATTGGTCGTCCGAGAATGTATGCAAACATGACAAAATAGACAAAATAAACAAAAGAAATCCAAAAAGAACGTCGCTTCCCCTCTACCCACTCTCCTTTCCACAATCAGACTTCATTCTCTGATCTACTTCATCCCCCACCGCCTTCATCTGCGCGGCCCTCTGGGCCGTCGGCTGCCGCTCCTGCGCTCGCTTGCATCAAGGGGGTACAGTGGACCTGGCACTGCACTCCTAACGGGCACCATCCTTCTCCTTCCGTCACACTGTCCTGAGGGGTCATCCTTTTTCGTCGCCTTTTTCCGTGCCGAGAGCCAATGGGTCGACTGCTTGAAACTGGTTTAAGAGACCTGTCCGGACCATGAATTCGGCCACAATTATGCGAGCCTCTGGCCGCGTCAGGAGCTCGTCGCGTCGCAGAGCAACTCCGCGGTCGGACAGAGCGTTTCTCATCCAGTTGCGCTCATCTTGGAGTAGCGGGCATTCGAGCAAGATATGATCGACGGTCTGGTTCCCCAGATTGCAACCACATCTCGCTGACTCGCGCCGATTGATGCGAGTCAAGTAGGCAGCAAGGCCAATTCGTCCAGTACGAAGCTGCATCAGAATGGACGCTGTCGCTTTCCGCAGGTCGGACCAGTATTCCAGGGTCTTCTTCGTTGGTCGTTCGACTAAGCGTTTCGTCGGTCGACCTGTTCTCTCTATAGACCATGACCTTTCCCACTCGATTTTTGCCTCGCGGCGAATGCGGCTTTTAGCTGCGGCTGCAAGGCGAATATAACGATTGTTTGGGTTTTGTGGTCCTTCTGGTTCCTGGGCCGCCTCCTTTGCGTGTCGGTCGACACGTTCATTGCCGGCCACTCCTTGATGAGCAGGTATCCACCTGAGGTGGATTTGACGGCCATTGGCTGCGTGTTGCCTTACCAGGTGGAGGCATTCTTCCAGGTAGACCTGTCCTGATGGCATCCGTGGTTGGCGGAGCGCCTTCAATGCCCCTTGGCTGTCTGCAAAGATGACAAGCCCGTTTCTCGCCTGTGCCGCCCACGGTTCCGTGGTCTCCAAGATTAATTTGAGTGCCATTTCGATGGCACTGAGCTCGGCAGCGTATACAGTGGACGTTTCTTCGCCGCCCATTTGGCTGTGAGCGTGGTGATCCTCGAGATCAACGACTACTGCTGCTCCAATTTTTCCCTCGATCCCACTCCCGTCGGTGTAGAGAATCAAGGGTCTTTCGCTTGGGTCTTTGGATAGAATGTGGTCGTGAGTTTTCACTGCCATCTCTCTGTCCTCGATGAACACGTCTGGCGGCGCTTGCCATGGTGCCTGGACGAATGCCTTCCGACTCTCCCAGTCCCTCGCCAAAGTTCCCGGGGAGTCGTAAGGCATCCGCCCGTTTTCCAGGCTTGCGCCTCCATCGGTGTCCATCCAGACCAATCTCTCTCGTCCACCGGTCGGCGTCGTAGCATTGTTGGTGGGACAGCGAATACTGGTCCAGTCCGTAACCGTAAAGCGTTACGGTGGCGCCCATGATGGCATTTAATGCCGGTGGTATATGAGGAGCTATTTCCAAATCCTTAGTACGTGCCCGTAAATGCTGAAAGGGGTTAGTTATGATACGGCTCGTTCTGTAGCATCAGTGGAATACCTGAACTTTCCGTAATGTTTCCAAGTAAACCACGGTCTCTGTACCATACTAATGCTATCTAAAGATATACTGTTAGAGTCTAAATGAATCGCCCGGCTAGGCTTGGACTGAGTGCCATTCTAATTGACGATGCGAGGAAGACTACACTGCTTGCGAAGCAGGACTGTATATATCGAGCTGCCAGTATTCAATTCATTATCTTGTCGGTGAACCGTGCGAATACTGACTCGGCCAGCTATGTGGATTAGGAGCAAAGGGATGTAGATATACTATTCGTCGTCCTAGTCCTTGGCACCACGGACCCCAGAAACAAGGGCTCAAGGCCATAAAGTCCATGTACAGGGCATTGCTGAGACTAATGATTGACCACGAAGTATGGTGTGTGGCCGCGATATCGGGAATGGCCGAGAGAACAGAGGTGCTAAGTATAGGAGACAGCAGCCCATTCCACGTCATGACAACCACTATGATGATATTTCGGTATCGTGGGAAGCGCTCGAATTCGTCATCGACTGGATCCTCGACCGGTTCCCTGTTCTCCTCGATCTTAGGGTCGCCTATTGTCTCAAGAAGGAATTTTCGCGGATGGGTGAAAAGGTAGTGATAGGAGAAATCAATATGGAACGAACCCCTTAGAAGATACGACTGGAAAAAGTCCAATTACTGCAATAAATGAAATCTACAACTACCCACAGACATAACTCAGATAGAGGAGAATAATGAACTAGACCTGAATATTAAAATTCTTCTATTTGTGTAGACAGATCTGACCGGCTATGCGATGGGTTTATCAGTGCGGTTGCAACCTTTTGGATGCCAGTTCCGGCGGTTCAGGTGAAGAGGTGAACGGGTCCTGAACCCGGGCCAGATAGGGCGGCGAGCCGCCCTAGACAAAATCGTGGGCGCTAGGTGACCACCGACATACAAGTGCTGTTGTATGTTTTTGTGTTTTCTATTTTTTTATTGCTATCTTTAAGCATAACTTTTCTTTCCGTCTGATTTATCATAGAAGGGCTTTTATTAGATGAAATTTTGGCCATTGGGTCGTGATTTGTCTGATACACCTCTGACGTTGGGCATTGCGATAGCTGAATGAAGAATTGAGATGAAAAGTCTGCAATTAATCGGGAGAAAACATAACACATTCTCATTTCAATGGTGCTGAATTCAGGTCGGCGCTACCAAGTCGAGCCTTGAAGACAAATCTTCCCGAAATTCTCAAGTATATGACCGCGTGAACTAGAGTGTTTGATTCGTGTTGACAGGGATATCCAAGATATTCCCCGCATTTTCTGAGGGCTGGAACAGTTCAAGCCTCATCAAAGAGTTTACCGTTTACCGGTTGGCGATTCGGAAGCGTCTTCAGGAACTGCCAGCAAACTATTCGAACCATTTCATTACCGGTAAGAAAGGATGGTCGAAATCGGCACCAGTTACATTCTCACGAAGCGTTTGCATCCATTGCGCGTGATTGACTCGTCGGATTGGCACGCCCAATGCGTCACACAATATGTCGTAAAATAATGATGCATTACCACTGCCACGATATGTAACTCGATTCACCACGTTCTCTGGTCGCAAAAGTAGATTTGAAACTAGTTGAAACACTTGGTCACCACCCGCAACCGTTAGCTGACCGAGTCGCTCGCTCGCGGCCTGAAGTCGAGCGACGCTGAATGCTAACCTCCAGAAGAAATCTTCCGTATGGGCAATTCCCTCCCTTTCTGCTCCAACGATGAAGCCGGGAATGACCGTTCGAGCTTTCGAAAAAGTGGGTCGCTTGTTGTATTCATTGATCAAGAGCTCCGATATGAATATTGTCTGATCATACAGATGCATCAGTGAGCTTCCTGGCTATCTCAGCATGGCTTTCTTCCTCGGTCGGAAGACAGCCCCAAGAAACATAGACTAGATGACAAGGCCGAATCATGCTTGAGAGCCCGGAGAGAATCTCGACTGTGCTGAGAACATTCACGGCTTCAAGTTCATTGTATGTATTAATTCAATTCGCGCAGGCACCACCGTGAATGATGCCGCCATTTTCCGATTTCAGCTTGTTCCTGAACCTTTTGCCTTGTGTAGTGTTGAGTGCATTCAAGCACTAGACCTATTACTCGATCGACTCTGGGATCATTGAGAAGTGCACGCAGTATCTGACTTCCCAGAAACCCAGTAATGGAGGTTAGGAAAACTGTTTTCTTCCGAAGCACGGTAGTAGTCAATGGAATCTCCATTTGGCCTGTGTCCTAGACTAAAAACCGTGATACCATTCTGTCGTACAGTATATTCTCGATTCCAATATTCTTTACGTACTTATTTCTTAGCAAGTTAGCCAGCGATACTGGCTGTAGGGATGTAAGGTCGACGGCTGTTAAGCCAAAGAACTTTCCACGGAATAATGATGCGTATACCGAGTCTTTTGTTTCCTGCATATTCGCAATCAAGTTCGGCGAACTCTAGCAATCTCTCGCGGTACTCAAATTCGTCAGTCAGCCAATGACCAATTATCCCTAAAATAGGAAGTTGATTCTGGCTTGTCCAGACATCTAGCGACAAGGATATGGTTTTGCAAGTCAAAGTGAGCTCGCTCTTCAGCTTAGTGCGTTGTATGGAGAACTCCTGCATAATTCGATCCCGCAAGGTGTGGCGAGATGTGAAGGGAGGGTCAATCCCAGGGATATCTCGGAACATTTGCTGAAACTCTGGAGACTCGACAGTGGTGAAGGCTTTCATATCAGTCACGATCCAGCGAATAGCATTCCTTTCCAGGACCTCCTGATGGGTGAGACTCTGTCTACCACCTATGAAACTCCGAATGTCTTGTTCCTTCTTCGCTGGCTGTATACTGGAGGCCGGACAGTAAATGCCATGCTTTGCCAAGTGGGTTTTCATGTTGCTGGTTGTATTTTGCCTCTGGGAATCTGACGTTTGCCAGTCACAGCGGGTTCCCGATTTCTCGTCTACGTGCGTACAGCGAATCTCTCGATCGACCAGCCTCCTCTTGCTAGTCCTCTTGATAACCCATGGACGATCAATGGCTGTGGTCTCGAAATAACCCCAGATCCACTCAGTAGCAGGCGCTGGTCGTTTGGTGTACTGAGAGGATACATAGCTTGTGATTGAAGTTATAGCATCCGTCGAGCCCTCTTGGGATCCTAGCACTTGTGACACAGACTCGGAAGGTAGGAGCTCGCAATCTAGTGTGTTGGCGAGGACGTCCACGTCTTCTTGACTGGCTGGGAGAATAGGGGTGAGGTTGCTCGGTGGTCTGCTTGGTTTGCTCGATTGGTCGATTTGATCCTCGGGCAAAGACTCTTTATCACTTTCGTCATTCAGAACTCGGTAGTTGACGCGTTTCTGCCGGGTATGCATTTTGTGTTGGATACACTGGGCCACTGGCCCAGTGCGAGTGAATACAAATGGTTGATAATAGCTGTCTGTCGACACCGGCTCGGTGATCAGGAGAAACAGGGACTAAGAGTCATATGTGGAGTTGGTAAGTTTCTGAAAGGGCGGCTCACTGTCTTCAAAGAAGAGGTCGGGGCACGCGTCACAGCCTCTGACACGCGTCGCGTCTAAACAGAGTTGAGGGGTTGAAAGCTTACCACCTCTGGATATTCTGCCATATAACACAACAGAGGAATGAAGGCGTCGCCATAGAATAAGTAGGGCAGTACGATTGTATGTTAGCAGGAAAAGGCTAAGGTAGTAATATGCATATGCATGCGCAAGGGAATAGAAACTGCTCAAAAAGGATCCGACATGTATATTGAACTAGCAGAGTTAGTTGGTAGGACGGGAGAGTAACATATAATATATATATACAGCCGCATAGCACGGAAACAGCACAACGTCGGGCCATACAACAGAAGTGGATTGCCCTAATTACAGAGTATCTAAGCTGAGATTTACCCACCAACTTTGTAAAGTGGCCTACATCTAGGACCAGGAGCTACTCTCTTCTTGCCCAATTACCAGTGACGATATATCGCCAACGATAATGATATTTGCCGATATCGTATCGACAGTTTCTTAATTTGTCGATGTCGATTGCCGGTACGATATCGGTAGACTTGGGATTTGACGATGCCGATTGACGATATGGAAAAACAGTGTCGATATCGTATCGCCAACAGCTCTGCACCACCCCGGCCTTGATCTTGCGACTCTCAGCGATGCGATGCACAGCATGCGGCTTTCTATTCCACATAAGGATACCTGAGATGCCCACTTATGATAGGTAATGCGCTAATTTATTCGAGCAACTAAAGACTACATAATGGAAGGCTGGGGACGTGATGGATCCGATACCGAGGCTATGAAGATCGTGATTCGCGAAGATCTCACGCCGACAATGATGAAAGAAATCTTGGAAGGATCGTCAAGTGCAGAAATGAGATAATCGGAAAGAAGGAATGTGCTGAATACTTTCTATGCTAGCCAGAATACCAGGCGATACGCGTAAAAATAGTATCTCTACAAATACAACAGGGGATCTAGGGAATGGATCGACCATATTGTGGAAAAAGGCCTGTTGGGAAAGGCCAGACAGTGAGGTATTTTGGCAGATTTGGGCTTTTGTTAAAATAGCTTAAAGCCCATCAAACTCTCGAGTGAAAGGGCCAATCCGAAACCTCGTTAATCTACAAAACAAGTGTTTCATCGGGTTATCCCTGCTGAAGCAAAAGGTTACAACAGCGTACGCGCAACGTTATTCGGGATTTTGTCAAAATAACAGGTGTTGGCGATAGCGGAAGAACGAATGACACCTGTATAGTTCAGTGATGTATATTACCGTGCATTTTCACATCATCTATATATAATTTTGCCGGGTGCCCTCAGGATTACAGTCATGTGACAAGATCGGAATAGCGGAGCTTATCTCCCTGCATTCATCATCGCCTTTATGGATCTTGTTCTTCCTAATACAGCAAACCCTTTGCTATATTGGCGCATCAGATCTCGTTCGGTCTATGATATGGAGAAGCTAATGGTGCTCACGAGACGAAAAATAAATCACCGCTGTCGGTTGAGCTCGTATTCCAGTCTGTCGACCACTGCCCAACCACCACGAATAGACGGCTCCAAGTCAAACCAGAAGATACGTGTCATCTACCGACTACATCCAAGGGCGATAGTATATTGATTCTTCATATGTGCTTCTATGGGACCCATCATCCCCAGCACCTCACGAAACTCCGTCCTTCAACCATGATCTAGGGGTTGTCAATGTCGCGCAGACGTCAGACGGGCCGCGAACGTTCCAACGCATCCATCTTTCTAAGCGTCTTCTTGACCTCCTCAAAGACTGCCTTTGCCGCGATAGGGGGAAACGCATTCCCAATCTGGGTACGGACGCCCCCCTTCGAGAAACGGAACGTCCGAGGGAATGTCTGTAGACAGGCCCCCTCCCTGTTGGTGAAGGTACGCTGACCATCTGGATGGTAATTGTCCTGGCCGCCCGCCGTCGTAAAAGTCTTCGCCTGTGTATCCCACTCCAAGGGCTCCCGGTACTCAAGTCTCCAGCGTGCCAGTCGCACCTCCAAGTCGTGATCCGGGGCATCTTTTGGCAGGTCCCAAATAGCATCTCGAATTGTCCGCGGCGGAAGGAGGGATGGTGCATCACCATGCGTTGGCGCTGGAAGTTCCGGGAGGACTTCACCCGGTCTATTCAGACGCCGACGTCAGCAAAACATAAAGCACGAGCAACTAACAGAGAAGATACTTACCCAGCCGCAATCAAAACCAGCCGCTTGCGAGACTGCGGCACACCATATTCGACCAGTTTCAGTATTTCCCAACGGACAGAGTATCCAAGCTCGACGCAGTCCATAACCACGCGGTACAGATTCTGTCGGTGGCTTGGGTGCTCCAGGCCAAAGGTTTCCTCCATGGTGAGGACGCGGGGGCGCACTCTCTCCAGTGCATTGCGAATACCGTGAAGACAGGCAGAGTTCCGATCGTCATTCACCTCGTTGTTAACTGTGTGTGCGGGCGAATAAGGCTGGCATGGAGGGGATGCATGCATGACATCTACACGGAGGAAGTTGAGAGATCGCTTGAAAAAACGATGAGCATCCAGGCAAAGCACCTTCGTGCAGTTGGAAAAATTGAGCCTGTATGTCTTAATCGCGTGCTGATTCACGTCAAACGCCCACTTCAGGCTCAGTCCGGCTTGATCCGCTCCGCAAGAAGCGCCCCCGGCACCACAAAACGCATCGCCAAAGGTGTATGCACGTTCAGGCTCGCTGGTTAGGTCGATAATTGACGTACCGTTTGGGGTCACGGGAGGAGACGGTGAGAGGATATCATCGAGATTGATAATTTCCGAGGAAGAGGTCGACTCGTCAGAATCTGTAGGAGTGAGAAGATTCCCTTCGCCAAAAGGTGTTGTTGGGCCTCGCCACTGCTCACGCAAGGCTTGGTTGGTGAACCCCTTTCCGGGATCGCACTCCTTGATGGTCAGGTACTCTATCACCCAGTTGGTGTTCTTCAAGTCAGCCGGAGATCGCGGACTGACTCCGCCATTGCGGCCTGTGTGGTTTATCTTGATTCGGCAAGTAAGGTCAGCCTTGTCTCGCCAATCGCCCCGTACATTCGTGAACGCGATGTTGGTCACACCAACAACGCTCTTCGGCTTGATGTGGGCGATTATACGGGGCGCCCAAACCAGTTCTCCCGCCGTCTCCGGTATGATTTTTGGCCAAGTCTCGTCATCGAATGCCGAGGGTCGCAGGAGCCGTCGACCCGACAGACGCCATTTATCTTCGTCGTGATAGATGTTTTCAAGACGGAGAAACGAATTGTCGTTCAACACCAGGTCCATGCCGCACTTGATCTCCACGCCCGCCGGTTCGAACGAAAGACCCGTGATAGTAAGCGCGTCGACCTTGATCGATACTTTGCGCGGAGCTACTACGACCGGCTCCAACGATGTCGACCCGTTATCGCTGCCAGTCAAGTCGATTGCCCTCGGCCGAGCAAATGGGCGTTTTAAATGACCACGCGAAAACCGCCGAAGCCCGACAGTTCCTGCATCCTCCCAGTCTCCCTCATACCCAGAGCTCGTCCAGACATTTGATCTCTGCGAGCGGTCGGACAGACTGAAGGGGGAGCAATTGCGAAGTTGAAAGGGTTCTGGGCTGGAGCAAAGCCCCTGCAGGGCCCGTCTCTTCCGGGAGCCACCTTCGATCGATGGAACAACTCCACGGGGCTTCGAGTCTTGCCCGATCCGAGAGGTCGACAAGGTCAGATCAATAATTTTCCTGAGCTGTGCTGAGATGATGGAAGTGTCGCTTGGAATGAGTGTCTCATTCTCGTTCACCCGGGGAATGCTATCTTCGCTGGGCATGGGCGTCGGAGAGGCTTTGTTTTGAATCAGTAAGTTTTCGAGTAAATTATTTCGGGAAAAGATACTCACTCCGATCCAGATCCTCAATTCTATCATCATCAGAGAGGGCGAGGTCCACTAGACAGTCCGTCATGGCCGTGTACACTGTATTGGATGTGCGGATTGGCTAAGAAGAGTGGGTTAGAAGGAAGGTTGAAAAGACGAGGAGAAAGGAGAAAGGGTAAAGAGAGTCCGTGATAGGAAAGTATCTCAAAGATGTTCAGATCGATACTTGAAGAAGCAGTAAGGAGTTAAATGAGCATACGAGCATACCTTTTGATGTTAGACGGATTGATGAGAAGGTGAAGAAGGGAAGAGAATATCTGAGAGGAAACATAGGAAAAGAGTCGAAGTGAGTTGAAGTCAGGGAGGGAGGATAGCTCTTATGCGACCAGATGCCAGTCACATAGAAGCTCTCACTTCTGCCCTTGACTCCCTTTTTCATAGATGCTGCCTAAATCGGAAGACTCACTTGAGGGCATAATAGGTACGGATATAGAAGGAATTGGACCAGAGCGCCCGACAAAGCGCTGCCTTTAGAATACCTCTTCTTATCGTGATTTATGATCCTATAAATGCCCCGTGACATCGTAAAGATGGTATTTTTGAATGCTGAAAGGTTTTATGTGCACAAGGACTTCATACGTGGTTATAGATGTGTGATCACAAATCGGCACGTGACAGCCGCAGGCATGAAAGAAAGAGCCTCCCTACCTCTCTTTATTTCCCACCACACTGCAGCCGATCACACACTGGCAGTCAAACGTGAATCCCCGGACGACAGGATTTTCCTAGCCTGAATCTCCACGTTCGCTGACCAAAATCTCCACGCCTCCCCTCGGGTGTCCTACCCAAGGACAACCCATGTTGCAAACCTACCAAAATGAATTGTCCACAGTATTTCTCTGAATCCAGTCCAATGACTCACCCTCGGACATCTATTCCAGCGTCTTGGCATTCATTCTCCGCAGCTCAAGGAACGTGCCATTATGGACGTTAACCCGGAAATCATCCCCAAACTCATCAAAGCATACATCCTTCTCGCCGAAGGGCATGTCATCCTTTTCAACCTCATCGACATTGAATGTTACGACCGCGTTCTGATGTTGAATTTTTTATGTGGTTTGTGATCACAACTGTCCTATACACCTTGGGCTTTTTCCGGACTATGTGGATTTATCTTCTTGTTCTCCTTGTTGTCCCTTACGGCCATATGTTGTGGATTAAGTCTCGCACCTGAGTGCTGGCTGAAGTGATGACCCTTAGATGACAGGAGTAAGAGAAAGGAAGCTAATCCGAGTCTTGTTGGGCATGAGGTTCCCTGTGTGCACAGACTTTGGCAATCAGGAACAAAGACAAGAGCCGTAGACCAGTAAGTATTTTGTTTGCTACGTTAAATGTACCGATACCAGGGAATTTGTTGAATCCACACAAGGAGCTCATGTTGTGTTACGCATACCCGTTCACAGAGTCGCCGGAATTTGTAGAAGAGTGACTCTTCACGCCCTTTCTTTGTGCCTGAATAAACCGGTATGCTTCACATTTTGATGGAGATGGCACTGGTAAGCAGATCCTTTGACCGATACTTTTGATTGCTCTAGTTCTAGTATAAGCAAGGCGGAGCAAAATTTACACAAAAAAGTTTGAGAAAGCCATCCCAGTCATCTATGTTCAGGGAGGAAGAAAGCAGTGAAAACACCACCAAAACGCGCTTATCTGAAACAATGCTTCGTTGACATGGTCACACCAATCAACAAGGAAAAGAAAAATGCAAAAAGGCTCAAAAAGCATGGAATCGTGACATCGTCGGACAAAGGTCAAAAGCTTTATCCAGGGATAGATTTAGGCGCCATTAGGCTCGTCGTCGTCAGACTTGTAATTTCCATCTTCATCATCGCTCTCCTCTCCCCAGCCCTCTGCCTCGAGAGACCGACCGCGAATCCCGAAGCTCATGATGAATCCAATGAAGGAAACAGCTCCGAAGACACCGAATGCGAGGAGTTCGCCCTTGGGCTGGACCTTGGAAGTTAGGGAGAAGAGACCACCGGAAAGGAAGGGGCCCACGGCACGACCAGCAGCGGAGAGCGTTTGGGCGAGACCGTTGAGGGCACCGAGGACAGCATGGTTGGGGGCAGAGTTGGTGACCTGCCAATTTGCGATCAGAGGGATGATGTTGTGGGCTAGAGTCGATCGACGACTTACCAGTAGAAGCGCACTGGTCAATCCTCCGACTGAGGCAACGGTCTTGACCAGCAACACGAAGCAAAGCTCCACGGCCATGAGAGCGGACTTGCGGGTCAAGCCCTTACCAGCCTTGCTTTTGTATCCCACCAAGGGCATGAGGATGAAGGACAGGACAAACCCAAAAAGTCCTGCCCGGTATGACCACCGGTTGCCCATCTTATCGCGAAGGCGGTTGAAAATGCAGATCTGGAATATGATCGTTACTACACCAGCAAAGCCCTGCGAAAGACCTATCTCCGAGGGTGTGAGGTGACGTCCGGCAGGTGGTTTGGCCTGCGCAAATATCGGGAAGAGCGAATTGAAAGAGACATTGCAGAAAGCAAAAATGAGGTAGGTCAACAGCAGCAAGATTGTATCACGAGTGAAAATCTCATCCCAGGTGAGCTCTTCCACCTGGTCGCCCGACCGGCTAGATATCTCCGACGCAGAGTCCAGGTCACTATCATGGTCTTCGCTCTCGGCGGTGTGTCGACGAAGTGGTGGGTAAGGGACTGCCTGTGGTAGGCGCACGTAGGTCGGATGAGGCGCAAATCCAGTGAATTGCCACAGCCAGGTGAAGAGGCTGCGGACCTTCTTGCCAATTTTAGGAATCGTATCCGCGTCTTCTAGACTCTCTTCCAAGTAGATAGCAGTAAGGACGAAGTCGACCAGAAGGACAAAGGCAGAAAGCAAGTTCGGAGCAAGATAAGGATAAGTGCTCTTGTGATCCGTGAATGGATTGCGCTCAAACACAAGCAAGCCTCCCAAAAGCGGACCCGTGATGCCGCCGACACCGTACAGAACGGGGAGATAGGTGAATGCCTGCGACTGGTTGCTGCGATCGGTGATCTCGCCCAAGCAAGTCGAAACAAGACCCTGGTTGCCATTGACGACACCCATTACAGCCTGAACCAAGATAGCCTGCCAGAGCGTCTTGCAAAAGCCAAAAGCAACGAAACAAAGCGCTGTCAAAAAAGTACCGAGCAGAATGACTGGCTTACGCCCAACCCGATCCGACAACCAACCCCAAAAGTAATTGGTAGCAAACTGCGCCAATGCAAATGCTGATGCGATTGTGCCAACATACACGCCCACCTGTGACGACTCCACTTCGGGGAATGTGGACGCCATATCCGGCAGGTACGGGGAGATGGAGTTCAGCGCCGTCTGCTCGGCTAAGGCAATCATTGCCAACACTGCCATCTGCCTCTTCGGCAATGGAGAGTGTTGGCCACGGTGGTCAGGAGATTCATGGTGTGGGTTGTGTGAGACCTCGCCCGAGGACTCCGACTGTCCAGAATTGGGTCGTCCACGCGACTTCGGCGGCGGGGTATCGAAGGTCTGGTAGTGCTGCGTGGAGGAGCGGCGCTTGATCAGGGATCGATCAGTGGCCGTCATCATCGCAGCAAACGAGACAATAAAGCCAAAGAGGGTTTTCAGGGTGCGCCCAGGCAATAGAGGCGCTGCCCGCGGACGACGGACCGACGGTAGTCGCGGTTCTCCGGTCGTGTGCGAACGGTACAGGCGATGACAGTCGAGATGGGGAGTTCCAAAACTCCTAAAGGAAACAGAAGACCTCCAGACAGTAAGTCAAACGGAGTGGAGGGTGGATTCGGCGGGAGTGGGAGTTGCATGCAGAGCTCCAACCTTGGTAGTCGGAGCGAAGCTGGCCAGGCTGCGACCCCAGGATAACGTAAGCGCGGAGATCACTGACTCAGCTGCGAGTGCCCGATTCCCCAGGCCAACTTCTTTTTGGTCCTGTCAATCCCCTCATATTTCTAATCACGATCTTTCGGCCGGGCCATGAGGCAGGGATGTCCATGGTGCAGTCGGTAAGATCTACACGCCTCCGTTCCTGACAGAGACCTTGCCTGCTCGGTCCTTAGGGCGCCCCGACACGCGAGTGCTATGGCCCCGTGCTGCATGTCTGTGTAACATTTGTCCAAGGGCCTTCGTTGCTTTCGACGTCCTTTTGGCCTCTACAGATATTTTGGTTTACCTCGAAACCCCGATTTTGACGCACGGAAGTGCGATGAACACGGCCCACGCTCCTCCCTTGCTTCTGCTCTACTTCTTGCACGCGCATGCGCCAAGAAAGAAGCAAAACCGACGCCTCAAGAGTATCGATCGACGAGGCTAATTAATTCAATTGAGTTTTTTATTCTAATTGGAGGACCATTATCATTGCGCGACAGGACAAATCAATCAAGCACTCGCCTTGGCCGCAATCTCATTAAACAGAACCTCAAGACGAGCACCCTCTTCATCAGCGACAGTGCCGTACGGCTTGGCACTTCCGAACGGGTGGTAGGGGAACGGTCTGCAATTGATTAATATATGTTCCCTCACCTGGGCGACTGCGGTGCACCACTTACCCGTATTCCGGAACGAAGATAATCTCGGCCTTGGATCCGTTCCTTGAAATCTGGCTCTTAATAATCTTCTCCCACAGCCTCTCCATGCACAATCTCTCTTGTTCGAAGACGGGGTTCAGAGGCTCGGGGCACTGGGAAGCCTGCGTCGTTCCGATTCTCGCGTGGAGGTGTCCGACCTGGATAAAACAGTCAGCGGTGCGCTAAAGGGACCGAAAAGGAAAACCATAGCTTACATGGGGAACGACCGCGTCCATCAAAGCGCGATCTTCCTCGCTAATATCTAGTAGCCGCTCGCAGCCCACCATCCAGTGGGAGAAATCGGCCGTAATTTGGATTCTGTGGAACCGGTCAGTTAGTTGTTACTTTCGACATGGGTTGGAATCACTGCATACTCAGGAACAGCTTTCAGAATCTGCAGGGTAGTGTATGGTGTGAAGAGAGAACGGTTGCGGTGTGTCTCGTGGAAAACCAAGCCCGATAGGCCCAACTCCTTATCGACTTGAAGGGTTCCTCGATAGAATTTGATCGACTCTTCGACGTCCCAGGTGTCCCTGCCTCGGCGTTAGCATCGTTCATTCCTAGCAGCCTTGATCATGGTGCCTTACTGTCCAGACTGGAAATTGATCGCTATGGGACGTAGCTGCGCGGTCGACTGCAGGATGTCTCGGTAGTTCTGCAGGTGGTTCTCTGATTTCAGGCCGACGGGTCGAGGCCCGACGTACATGAACCAGTGTGAATGCGCTCTGGATGACATTGATTAGCCCTCAATCTTTTTTGAGCTTGGTTCTGATTCGATGCTCACAAAACACTGATCTCCAACTCCGCCTTGTCGGCAATTTCCCTCAGACGTTTGAAATCGGGGTCTGGCTTGAGCTGGTGAATATCGATTTGAACTCCATCTGCGCAGCCATCGTCAGTCTCATCTTCTCCCTCGACGGTTGCCACGAATTGCATTGGTTCGAGATAACAACGTACGATAGCCATGCTTCTTCAGCTCCGGAAACCACTTTGCCCAGTTGTCCAAGTTGGGACCAGCTTCGACTCCCCAAGCAGTGCGGTGGCGGGTGATTTTCATTTTGTGGGGTATCTCTCGATCCCTGAAGTTCAATGCCGTTTGGTGACCGGCAGTAAAATGAGAGCTCAAAATTATTTATATTCTCGTCGTACCTCCAACCTCCACTTCTACACATGATCGGCCTGCCTCCGAGACGAGGAATAATTCCCGCGTCGCCAAGTGGACCCGGTAATTGAAATTGCCGCTATGATTGGTTCCCCCGCGATCCCGAGGATCTGCCCACGCGGCGCTTTTTAACATTTTGGGCGATTATGCTTTTTTTTTGTCGCCGAACTTTACTTTGTCTGATGCGAGAGCTCCGCAACCGTCGCGATCTGCTGTCGCGAGATGAGGAGATGAGGGTTGGCGGGTATTGCGAGCTTTTGGACATCCCACTATCGTTGAAGGGCACGATTACCCCGCCACTTTTCACTGTGTTGTGACGTAGTTTTGTTGATGATGTGCTGCGGTTTTGTGGGGGCTAGGATGTAGTAACTCCCAGTATTGGATGAGTGCTTCAGAGCGGCCCGCGATACGCGATCTACAAAATTTTTTGCAAAGACCCATAGCACAAAATGACTTGGAAGAAACGGAGTGGTACTCATGAAAATATCAATCATCACATTTCCTCTCTCGTAAAAGTAGGATACGAATTTCCAAAACCTTAATCTCAATTCATATACACTCAGCACAATACGAGATGCTTATCTCCTTTGGCTAAGCAAAATCACTCATAGCCCGCTTAGAAACCGCCATTAGGGTGAATGATCACTTTTGTATACCCATCCTCGCGCTTGTCAAACTTGTCATAGGCCGTTTCCGCATCCGCAAGGGCAATTTCGTGTGAGATAACAAAGCTAGGCTTCGCCTTGCCGGCGATGATCATGTCTCGGAGGTATCGGTTATAGGCCTTGACGTTGCACTGGCCGGTTCCGAGGGACAGGCCCTATCCAACAATAATTAGAATCACGTTCACAGATCGAATCGAATCGAAGATTCAAGGCTTACCTTCTCAAAAAGCTTTCCGAAGCTCAAGCTAATCATTCCGTTCGCAGAAGCAGCGTCCGACGCACCGGGGTCACTAGATAAGAACCGTCAGAACGGTCAAGAAATAGGAAAGTGATCCAAGGACACAAACCTAGGCACGTAAAGGCCAGGAATACCCATGCCACCACAAGCACGAGTAACCCGAATCATATTCTCCAGAACAATATTCGGTTTCTCAGACGAGCCATTTGGGTCAACAGCCTGGTATCCGACAGCGTCAACAGAGCGATCTACCATGTCGCCATTATGCGCGATGATCTGGTCCACCGCATCGCCCTTGGTGAAATCGATTGGGATACAGCCAATCTTCTTTGCGGCCTCCAATCGCTCGGGCACACGGTCAACGACGTAGATGTTCGAGCCGCCGCGCAGAGCGGCCGAGTACGCGGCCATGAGGCCTACGGGGCCGGCGCCGAAGACTGCGATGCTTTCGCCGGATTGGAAGCCAGAAATTTCGACACCGTGCCAGCCTGTGTTTGTGAGTGGTTGTCCTATCAGGGGGCTCAAGGAGTCTTCGTACCGGTGGGGAAAATGTCTGCGGTGTGTTAGAATGTACTCTTGGGTAGACGAGTGAGAGCTGCAACTTACCAGCCAGAAGAATGAAATCAGACTCGTGCTCTTTGCCCGGGGGAGCTTCAGCGCATTGAAGTCGGCGTAGGGGATGCGAATATACTGCGCCTGGCCACCGCGGTAGGGTCCCATGGCGACATATCCTGGAGAAAGTCAGTAATGCATCGATAAGTCGCGCGATTCCACTCCTTACCGTACGCGCCACCCGCGAAGCCTGGGTTGACACCAGTGCAGAAGGCGGTTTTTCCTTCCTCGCAGTTGCGACACCTGCCGTCTGCCACATTGAAGGGCATGACGACGCGGTCACCCTTCTTCAACAATGTGACACCCTCTCCGAGCTCCTCGACAATTCCCATATTCTCATGACCTGTCCTAGTCAGCAAGAAAGCTTCTTCAAAGCAAAGGCGACAATCATACCGAATGTGATTCCGGGCTCCGCAGCCGTGCGACCTTCATACATGCTGCGAGGTAATAAGTCTCTGCTGAATGCCGTCGCGCTCCCATCCCCGTCGCTACTTACTGCAAGTCCGATCCGCAGATGGCAGCCTGTCCCAGTCAGCTTCCGTCGCATTCAGGCGACCATTGTGCCACTAAACTCACCGTGGTAACCTTGACAATAATGTCATCCGGATGTTCCAACTTCGGCTTCTCCACCTCCTCAACCCGGACCTTGTACGGCCCCAGATAGTTCAATGCCTGCATAGTAGTAGCGCTTGACATAGTAACGGTGTGCGGCGAATGCGATTGCGGATACGACCGGGCCTGGGCGGGAATCCCGGAGTATTTGAATTTATTTTTGAGCTCTGGCAGGGATCGGTACGGCCGTCGCACTCGCGCTCGGAATCATTTCTCCTGTTGTATTTGCTTTGTTGTCGCCAATCATATGGGCGGACGGAGTTGCGCCGTGTTCCCCGCACGGCGAGTGAGGAGACCCCGCAAGCGGGGATTCTTGCCTGTTTTGGCGGGGCAGTCGCCGCACTTGCTGTTTACAGAACGTGGGGCACGCGTTCTCTCGCTCCCCCAGGTTACTTTCTTTTTATTTGATTGTTGTATGCCTCGGTCGCGATTGGGATTTCTTGGGGATTACCCCTGCTCTTACACGGGTTCAGAATCTCTGCCCTCTACAAAATCAGCTAACAAATCAGTATCATATTGTGCGTTAAGCTAACCGCGAGATGCAATTTCACAGAGACAAGATACTCGACGGTTCTCTTTCTCATCTACAGCAAATCGACGCAAAGAACTGGAAGCCACGACTGTGCCTCAATCATCGCCCAAAACCCAGCAACTCCTCCCGGCTCTCACCTAAATCGCCACAGCTGCCATCTCGTCATGACCAACCCAAGTCCCGGGCATATATTTGCCCTCGGAAAAAGTGTTACTCCCATCATTAATGAGGTCCCGCTTACTCGGTGCTGGCTGCACATATTCCAACCTTTCGCAGATCCCCTGTGTCGCATGCTGAGCCTTCAGGACAGTCCCTTTGATCAGCGCGATTCACACAGAGATCATGCTCTACGAGCTTTGTTTTAGGGCTCGGACACGCAGTTCCGAAATCATGAGGACGGCCTCGTCATCCTGATCTCCTGTGCGAGCTAGTGGACGAATATATTTGCCCTGTTATCCGATATCCTGATTGCACAAGAATGGCTTGTTGCTGACGTCCCCTATGATTCCATCTCTACACATCAACTCTTCTACAAGGAATTTCGAATTGGAAACACTCTTGAAAAGCATCGAGAAAAGCTCTTGTGCCTATTTTAATGGCTGACATCAATGCTTGATCAAGACACATCAGAACACTTTTCCACAATTTCATGCATCCTGCAAGCTCATCGGAATCCCATCATATAAAGCAAGCGAATCTCCATATCCACAATCTGGACTGTTCACCACTGATCCGGGTCGGCATCGGCAAAGGTAGTACCGGCCGCAATCTCATCATACCAGATTTGGCGAGTTCCCTGGGTACCCTTCATACCACCATCGTCATGCCAGCCGTTGGCATAAAGACCAACCCGGAACTGGAATGCCCGGTCATCTTCGATAGTTGTATTGATATCATCCTGCTCCAGAACCTTATTACCATCAAGCCACATCTTATAATAGCCCGTTCCATCCGTCTTCCAACTAGCCTGGATTACAATCTTGTGCCAGACACCCGCCGAAACTGTCGCAAGGTTCGAGAAGGTCTGGGTCTTCTGCGCGCAGATCGTACCCTGCTTGACGCGGGAATAGAGCTGATTACCGACCAGCCAGACCATGCTGGATGGCATGTAGTCATCGCAGCCGGTATCAGAGAAATCGGCGATGAATTGCGCGATGTTGTAGGATTGCGCGGGGGAGAATTGCCAATTCTCCTGCAGACGGAATGCGAAGCCGTAGAAGCCTGTGTCACCGCGCTTGTAGACGTTGTTCTTCACCACCTCGGAGTGGTACCGGCCGCTGTAGCTGGAGTCGTAGGTCTGGGTCATCTTCAAGGCTGTCGAACCTTGGTCAACAACGTTGGTTACTTGAACTACCGTACCCTTGTGCTCGTGGTTGATCGAGTCCCAGCCCGAGGTTGTGCCAGTATTGCTGAAGATTTGAGTCGCCTGGGCGGAAAGGCCAAAGATGAGGATGGCCGTAGCCCAAGAAAGCTTCAATATCATCGCAGCGGCGGCTGTGATTATTGCTGGTCTGGAGGGAGATTGAATTTCTGTTGATGACGAGAAAGAAATGAGTCGTTGCTGAAGAGCAACAGGATGCCTTTAAGTTGTCCGAACAGCAATAAATCTCTCGACTAGGTGATAACTGACGTGAGATGTCGCGGTTACCGTATCTGGTAACTGGTGTCGTTGAGCCTGCGACAGCCGTTCCTGCAGCGATGTGGGGCCAAAGACCCCTAACTGAAAATTCCACAAATCAGTCGTTTGAGGTGTGACAAACATTATCGTAATAGTGGGGATTTCGTAGTAGTTTAAATGGGTTGTGCAATTTGTGTGCGAAAGTGTAACGCTAATGCGACTAACAGCCAGGGTGACATTCAAAGTGTAGTGTCGTGGTCGGCATCACTTTCCCTACGCCCGTAAGAGGGGTGGGTCATCAGGTGACCTCCGGGGCTGGCGTCCTGGGAAATTAGCTGGGAGCAAAGCTCTAAAATTGGACGCCTGGGCGATATTTGGGGCCACCATGCACAGATGACAACATGATGTGGACATCTGCTTATGCGAATCAGCATATCAACGTTAATTGCTTGAATCGTGAGATCTAAACCTACTGCGAGAATAGAAGTGACGGCGCTAATTAGCCCCGCAGACTCAGTATCTATCCCACTGCTGCAGAGAAATGAATGCCAAGAAGTGGAACTGAGTAAATAGTCTAGAGTTTTGGCAAGCCTCCAGGAAACCGGTGACCTTAGACGTCACCGTGCAACTGTAGAGTAAACTACCACTGCTGCTCGTGAGTCAGCTTGGCCAAGAAGGCGAGAAAAATGAGCTTGTAAACTTGTGGTGCGGCCCTGTATTGATCTTGAGCTTCCGGGAAACGCAGTCAAACCTACACCATAAGTCCAAACCCAACTGCAGGCTAAAAATTAGGCCCATAGCCCAAATTCAGGCCAGTATCACTAGAAAGTGTCATTCTTGAGACGCCACAAGACATCCGACTAAGCCGGCGTGGTCGAATGATTGTTGTGATGCTCTATGCTCGAACAGATATATGTCTCACCGCTGAATCGCAAACTTCAAAAAATAGATCATAATGTTCTAGAATCAAGGTCAGGAATGCGGAATCTTGGCGGGAACCAATTGACTTGGCTGCTGATGCCGTTCTGGGGAGGACTTGGATTCCGGAGCCCGCATACCACTTCCCAACCCGGCGATTCGGCATTCCTCGGCAGCCACCATCCGGCACGCGGGATGGGAAAAGAGCGGTCTTCAATAAAGAGGTGGTTGGGGCGATGAAGTGGCTCGATGATTTCGATTCCTTGACACTTAGCCTGATGGATTCCATTTCATTTCCGAACCCAGACATTTTTGACAGCGCCGATCACCACGAACATGTGCGAGTTATGTGCCGTGCTCAGAGGCAATTTGGCTTTCGGAGGTTTTTACTCATAGCCTATTCTGACACTTCTGAGGCCCAGGCGTATTACCAGGCCTATATTGACGATTATGAATGAGCTCAACCAGAAAATGGGCTCGGATGAACATATTATGGTCTCATATTGTGGTAACATAAGACGGAAAAGCATTACTTCTCCGGGCTCCTAATTCATATTACCCAATCCGTCTGTCAAAATTACCTGGGGCTTCCGGATGCGGTAAGAATGATGGCCTAGCTTCATCCCATGAAGCATCCACCCCTAGTATACCTCTAGGGTAGCACGACGAAGACGGTAAACCATACTGACAGCAACCGAACAACCTATTCCGGCACAGTGGGCTGATCTGCGAACATCGAAAAACGAAATCTATATCTACCCTAGACATCCTTCCTCGATCTCAGGCTGGTTGTAGAAAAGATCCTCTCAGCAGATCACCTTCCTCCAAACCCACAAGCCACAATGCAGTTCACCAGCACCGCCGCACTTGCCTGTGCCCTCTTCTCCTCCATTGGCTTTGCCGCCCCCTCTGAACACTGGGCAACTACAGCCACCATCCAGCTCGCCAACGACCAGTCGGGCGCAAATGCCAATGTCGCCGTTCCCGTTGATGGCGTGAAGCGCTCCGTTCAAGAGCTATGGGGTCACACCTCTGTGGCCCACAACGGCCTCGTCTTCGCCTCAAGCGCCCAGCTCACTGCTTTCCAGCAGACGACTGTCTGCAAGATCATCCAGGAGCCTCGCATTCATGTTACTCTCGATGCTGAGAAGACCTGGGTCTCCTTTGGTGGAGGTGTTGTCGATCTTTGCGCCGCCTATGTTGTTTGTGAGTGCGAAAGAATGTGAAAATAACGATGTATGCGCATATTTGAGTGAGGGAAGAAGAATAATTGGGTTGAGACTTTATGTGGTGACTGATTTCATATGTATATCGAATTTATTTGTATTACGAGTAAAAGTAATCAACATAATATATACGCTTCCACTAGATTACTGAATCAATTTTCTGAACACAGTTGCGAACTTAATCAGTTTTGAAGGGAGTAGAATGAAGCCATCTAAAAGCCCTGATCTTCTATGTACAGCTGCGACAAATCATCCCATTGCCTCCAGGTACAGATCCGATCTGTAGATATCTAATCAGGAAAACCTCTAGACTGTGGCCTCCATCTCGGGCTTCTTCTTGAATTGGACCATCTGGAGAAGTTCTCGCCAGAAGCCAGGGGGATCCTCCGGTAATGTGGCCTCGTAGGCATCGATGAGCGGCCTTTCCCAAACCAGATCAACCTCATTCGGCTTGAGAGTTTTGGTTCTGTGTCCCAGTTTCCATCCAATGTAGAGACACGGCGCAACAAGTTGCATGGTATAGTTCTGGAAGAACGTCTCGACGTTCCAAGGGTCAAACGCCGTGTAACCATAGAAAAGCAAGACAAGTACCATAGCCACCGCACCGAAGTACGCACAGTACGGCTGGAAGTAACCGAAGTATGGGAAATTCCGGCGATCGATGCCTTGGGCTTTGCAGGCGCGGTAAAACTGAATGAAAGTAATGCAGATGACGAGGTAGTCGATGAGTGCACCTGCCGTCACCAGGCTCACTAGCCAAGTCAGGACTTGAGATGAGTTGTTCGAGAGCTGCAAGAATGACAAGAAGGGGAAGCAGATGACGACGAGGAATGCGTAGATGGGTACACCGCGACGTGTTTTGGCAAGGATCTTCGGTGCACGGCCTTCAAGGGCGAGTCCATAAAGCGATCGGGTTGCGCAGTATGTGACTGTATTTCCGGCCGAGAAAACAGAGGTAATGAGGAGAGCGTTGACGATGTCGGGGAGGACTTTGATTCCCATGTTGTGCATCGCGATCACGTAGGGAGAGCTACCGCCGCCTTTCTTCGAACTTTCGCCCGCCAGGATTGCCTGGATGGTCGGGTCATCCCAGGCGACGACGGTACCGACACAAAGAGCTCCAAGAACGAAGAAGACGATGAAGCGCCAGTACACAGTCTTGTATGCTGTCTTGATGATGATACGTGGGTGCATCGCCTCAGCCGCTGTCATCGAGATATACTCTGGTCCGACGACGCAGAATGCAGCAGACCATAAGGCTGCAAGGAAGCCCTGAAAGCGACCGAGGTCTCCGGAGTTCCGGAATTCGGCGAATGCACTGGGCTTTTGCCAGTGTCGGAACCCGTATGCGTCGTGTTGAGGATTGCCGCCCACCATTGTGATAAAGGTGAAGAAAAATAGCATGAATATGAGGATGACCTTGCCGGATGAAAGCCAAAACTCGGCCTCGCCGTATGCGGTAACAACCAGCACATTCAGTAGACTATGAAATGTTTAGTTCTGTCTTGTTAATGCAGGGTAGATGGTGGGTTGGTGGTTCTGAAACCTCTTGGGAATCATCACCAGGAAAGCCATACGCATAGAGAACGATAACGACAGCACAGACGGCCGCGACCGGGATGTCGTCTCTCCAGTAACCCAAGATCAGGTTTATTGCCGTGATCTCAAAAGGAATCATCAATGCCTCGTAGAAGAAGAAGTTCCATCCGACCATGAAGCCCACGGAATCGTCTACCCATTTCCCTGCCAGACGAATGAATCCACCTGACACGGGGTGGAGGACCGTCATTTCAGCCAGCGAGTTGTTTATACAGGCAAGGAAGACACAGTAGAGACTGTATGCGATGAACAGACTGGCCGCTCCACCGGATCCCAGGCCATTACCGATACTGACGAAAAGAGCGGTTCCGATGGAGCCCCCGATTGCAATCAGCTGCACCTGTCGGTTGTTCAGCCTGCGGTGTAGACCTTGCACATTGATAGTCTGCCCATGCTCCACGTTTGCCTCAGCAGGAAGTTTGAGATCTTCCATCTCGTCCTTTGCCCCCATCTTGGCTTATGAATAGACTCGGTACGAAATAGGGCTGTTCAGCAAGTCGAAATATCGGGAAGCGCGCTGCATGGGGCAAAGATCGAGAATTTGTGTTTCTGAAGGTGGTAAATCCTTCGAAGTGGATCAACAGAAACGTGGGAACATGCCGAAATTATATTTCTCGCGATTCTGTATGGCGTGCCACAAAACGCCGGGAGAGCGTCGCTCGGATCCTTCCTCACTTTGCGCGGATCCCCTTGTGACCGACCAATAAAGCAATAGGCGTTATCAGGTTGCAGCCCGTCCCAGCGTCTCCTCATCCCATCAAATCAAAGAATATAAGATGAGATCCAAAAGCGACCCAGCTTGATTGGCTGATGTAGAAAACAGATGGGTCGCCCCCGCGTGCCCAGCATCGGCCTTGACCGCATTCTCTTCTCAGCCTTCCTCGGGACAGCCGATCGTCTATAGAAGACCAATGGCCGACCGTCGTGATCAGCACAGACCCCTCAATGGAAGCCTCGGCCGCTTTCCGCGGTTTCTTGCTTTGAGGGATATTCGGCTTTGGAACCCGATCCCTGAAGTTGTCTCAAACATCGCCGTTGCTCTTACCCATGTCGGCCCTGTCAACTTCTCAGAGTCGATATCTCGCGTCGGGCCTTTTGGTCCCCCCGCTATTCGAGGATCGTTGTTTCTCCACGCGTCAGTTCCCCAGGATTTGGCCATGTGGTGTCAACCTTGTCGGCACGCCTTCTCGAGGCTGACCACCGGCCTTGCCGAACTATATCGGGTGAGGCTTATCTTTAGTCCAACTGCGAGTCTCGAAGTACCCAGGCTGTTCTCAGGGGTAATGCAGGAGATTAGAATGGGGCGTGAGCATCTTGATTGGTGGGGTTTAGTTGACTCAGAAATTGGCATAAAAGAGGAAGGAGAAAAGAGAGGCGACGGCGGAGTTGCCAGTACGAAGGGTTATAGCGGCCAGAGCTCACTTTCCAATTTCGGTAGGACTTGGTGCCTGAGTTAAGTCATCGAAACAGTTGCCGGAACAGTCTTCTGAATGGTCAGCTGGACAGTCACATGAAAGGTCACCTACCCTGTAATACCACCATTCTTGATTTTGCGAGGTTGGTGAAGATTCTAAAAGTGTTATGGACATGAAATTCTTTTGTAGTTTCAGTCATTTTTTCCCTGTTGCTGCTGGATCATTCATTAATCAAAAACAGACCATCAACATGAGCTAAGATAGAAAAGTGAGCTCTATCCGTTACAACCCTCCATATACCAGTATCTACCATCGCGGCGCTATTCCCATTTAGATCACGTGACTTCACCCCTTGGCACAGTGCCCACTCCGCACTATCGGGGCATACCGCGCCTTAGGACTTCAAAATGGGGTCTCTGTGACAGGCGGGATCAAAAATAGAGCTTAGATGTGCCACGTAAATTGTCACAGATGGAGTTCGGACTCGCCGGTTCGTTTAATGGATGATGCGTGGATGGCCTGCTGGAAGTCCGGCAGAAGATATCACTGCGCGACGACGTAAATAGTATATTCGATTGGGGCCAAGGATCCGCTATACTCCACTGGGTGCCCGATTGGTGGCGCCGCTAGTGCGTCGATTAGCCTACGATAAGAGCGACTGGACAGTCGACCGGGAAGTGGAGCGAGCGAAAAGAATTATGAATCCAATGATCTGTATAGGTGAGGAAAAGTCGACAGCATAGGTAGCGCTTCGTAGATCGATTATCCTTCTGCAATCCGAGAAAGCGACGAGCTCCCGATGTAACTATTGAGTCGCCTTTTCGATATCCGCAGCCCACAGGGCAGCACCGACGGTATTCGTGAACGAGAATGCAATCGATGCGAAGGGGACCATCTCAAGAGCGAACGCCGAGATGCCGAGGCTGGGGAAGTGTCAGTACTATCCAATGAAAAGCCAAATGGAAGTATCTTCCATGGAGAAGAAGGTACTCACCCTGTATACGCTCCCCGGTTCTTCTTCACCCACTCCTCCCGCTGACGAGCATCCCAGCCCTTGAGCTGGAAATAACGTGCATGCAGCTCCGGACCAACACGCTTACCCTGCACAGCAATGTACAGCAGAGTTCCAACGACCGGAATAAGATTCAGGGGTAGAAAGATCAGCGACCGCAACAGAGCCTGAGGCTTCAGCCGTGCAAAAGGCCGGGTAAAGACCTTTCCAAGTCTGGCAACGGCATCCCGACCGCTGGACCGCGGTTTAACCTGTCGACCCTGGGCAACGAGAGGCTCCTGCTCGCGGGCGATGAGAGTTCCATCAAAGGTATCGATGAGCGCATCCTCGACGAAAAAGGAGCGAGAAACAAGATTGGTGATTGTGGAGCTCTCGCTCAGCATGAGAAGGGCTGCGGAGATGGCAGCCAACGGTCCGCTGGTGAATGCCATGACGGCCATCTGAGGCACGTAGGTGAAGAAGAACATGGCCGTCGTCACGCCCATGCCTAGACTGATTGTTCGGCCAGCACGGGACATAAATGGACCCCAGAGGCCCTTGTGGGTTGCGAAGTAGAAGATTCCCTGCAATTTGTTAGATCGCTTTGCACTTGTCTGCTCTGTCGAGGACGAACCTTGAAAGGGTACAGATATGCACCCGACATGAGGACATCTTGAGAGGCTTCGCGGACGCTGTTCGCTTCAGCGATAACGGCGTCCTTGAGATGGTCCGGCATGAGGGGCGTCCGGGTGCGAGCCTGTGTGCTGCGCTGAAAGTGCAAGGCTGATGTGGGCGAAGCACGTCAAGTTAGCTGAGTCCGGGACAGATGACGTCATGAACGTGGTCGGGTATTTCAGAATCCAGGTGAACCCAGGGTGCTCTCAAGCTGAGCGCAGGGGGGTGGGGCGATTACACGGGAAATCACCAGAATCCAGGTGAGCCCAGGGTGCTCTCAAGCTGAGCGCAGGGGGTGGGGCGATTACATGGGAAATCACATGACACCCTGCGGTCAGCTCTGGACCCCCCTGCGTTCACCTGTATTCACCTCACTTCCTGCCTGAAATTCATGCCTTGCAGCCTAAGGCAGAAGTACCATTGCGCCGTCGCGGTTCTCTGGCGGTCACTAAATGTCACCTGCCTCTCTCAAGCTCCTCGGGGCTCAACTTGGAGGGCGTGGAACTCTTTTGATCCTTGAACCAGGATTGATAGAGCTCATCATCAAGAGCCAAAGCAGTGAGTGCATGCGCGGGCTGAGAAACTCGTCTTGACCAAATCTTATCGCGCGCAATCGCTGACCAAGTATGATAGAAAATGCTTCGATAGCTAGGCGCAGCCATACAGTCTCGAAAAGGATGCACGCCATTCAAGGAGCGACACATGAAAGTATGTTATCACTGGGTGTCATGTCACTGACGTACTCATCGAGACTTAGTACGATGAAACGCAACCATCATGCGGTCTATGCACACGACGTGGAATAGAGTGCATATATTCTTCAGCTTCACCGAAGTCGCCCAAAAAGAACACAATACGCTCCCATAGCAGCAGTGGCAGCATTCATAAACCGCCTACCGTCATACCGGCACCACAGCCGTGGGCTTTACGAGATGAAGCTTTTACATCACTACCTCCTGATCACTAGCCATACATTGACAAGAGACTCCCGCGTTCAATACTTCTGGCAATTCTCAGTTCCTCATGTTGCAACCTCCCACGGATACGTCATGGACATGGTTTTAGCCATCGCAGCTCTGCACCTCGCTTCATGGGCAACCGATGCGACTGAGTCTCAGAACTGGCTGCGTCCCGCCTTACAATATAATACGCAGGCTCTTCCAACTATTCGCAAGGGCCTGGTAAATTAACCGTGGATATGAATGATGCGAATATTGTCTGCTCAATATGCAATTTGATTTTCATCACCGGGTACCAGACCATTTCTTACGAGGAAGGTCGTCGCGACCCCCTTGATGATTTCCTGGAAGCACGAGTTATGTCAAAAATGAGTCGATATCTGGAGAGAGAAGCTGGAGCACCTCAAAATGTTTTACTTGATACCGGGTTGAACGGGGGTCATACTGCGGTTTACCAAGAGGAAAGGTTTGGGGCCGCAGCCTCGAGATTCTTTGATCACAACCCAGCTGATTTTGAAATAGCTACGACCCAAGACTTGTCGACCTACACAGGTATGCGGAAATTTTTTTCTTGATCTACTCAGCCTCAATCTGACGAAAATAGATGCATCGTGGACAAACTCGGCGAATTCAGCTGCCTGATACGCTTTGAAAACCCCGACTCCGAAACCGTCGTTAAGAATGCACACCAACTTCTGAAAGAAGCTATTCAACCCTAGTCGACGAATACTGGATGCATGAAGTGGCCTCTCGATGTCAGCGACGCCTTTGCTGATTTGCTCAAGCAGGACGATTGGCTGGGTCGCATACTTCTAATGTTTCATGGTCTCGGAATCCATCTCAGCTCGAGGTGGTGGTTCATTGGGGATTCAGGGAGACGCCTAGTCTTGTCTGTTTTACCTCACAAGAATGATGTAGCCTCGCAGTGGAAATGGCTGATATCGTGGATTGACGAGGCTGCCAATACATAGACCTGAATTTCAAACGCTTAATTGCACTTCGCATGATTAATATGGTCGATTGCACGTTTAGGTCTGAGCTACGACAGCCATGCAAGCCTATCGAGCTTCGCGTCTCTGTTTCACCATAGTCTTCGAGCAATTCTTCTTTTAATTGAGAAGTTGTTGTGTGATATCTTGTCGGAGCCAACAACACCCTCTGCGAAGATGTCTCGGTGAAGTGGACACTCGCGACAACGAAAACAAGAACGGTAGCGAATCTGCTCTATACGGCGACTAGATACAGACTATGGTTATTGTATAAAGCCGAACTGCAGATTTGACCCGTGGATTTTCTCATCAGCTCAGGTCAACTGTTTCAGCTTTTTGTCGTCTTTCGGAATTCATCTCACAATGCTCGACAGCTCGAACTGCGAGTCCGTTTCGCCAGGATGCCCAGTCACCGCGACAACCTACGGCTACAGACCCAATTTAGGCGCGAACATCTTTTTCGCCGTGATATTCGGACTGTGCAGGCTATGCAATTTGGGAATTGGAATCAAGCTTCGACAAGTGATGTTCACAATCGCTCTATCTGAGGGCTGTCTGCTAGAATTTATCGTGTACATCGGTCATATTCAAATACATAATAACTCGTAGAACAAAAGCAATTTCCGAATACAAATCACCTGTCTCATTCTCAGTCCTCAATTTGTCGCAGCTGGTATCTACTGGTCCCTGAAGCATATTTTATTGTTTATTGGACGGCAAATATCGCGTCTCCGACCCCGTCTTTATCCCTGGATCTTTGTCGGATGTGATGTCGGCTCGATTATTCTCCAAGCGGCTGGTGGCGGTGTATCGGAGTCTGTGAAGCAGTCAATAAAATCACTTCTTGATTTTGGGAATAATATTATGATTGCCGGTATTGTATTCCAGGTTTTCACCATGGGAATTTGCGGATTGCTTGCTTTGGACTTTGGTTTTCGATTCAGGAGCACCGCGTTTCGTGAGGCTGATGCGGAAAAGCTTTGAAGGAAAGACGTTCGTAAATTTCACCTCTTCTGTGCTTCTGAGGTTGTTGATTATGTGACTGTTCCTTTCCGGCGCATTTATCGGTGATTCTCTTCTGCTACCTGTTCAATCAAACGAAGCTAACTTCTGATTAGTATTCCTAAAATGACGGATGACTGGGGAAACTCGTTGATGCGCAATGAGCCAGAGTTCTTAGTCTTGGATGGAACGTAAGTTCATGCGAACCATGATATATTTGTGGATATAAGCTAATCTCTCGATTCTGCTAGAATGGTGACTATCACCGTCGTTGTCTCACGGTTCTTCACCCTTACTTTACCTGCCCCTTTGTCCACAAATGACCACCCGAAAATGATACACGAGCACGATATACGCGAAATTAATACTGATGATCAGTGAATTGGAAGCTATTGGGGTGTGCCTTTTGGACATTTTGCTGCCGTTTTGAGTGTCAAAATATTTATTTCCCATCGATTTGTGTTAGACCAGGGTTTAGAAGACATGTCATTCTCCCTCACAAGATGCTGGTCCAACCTTATTGGGCTATTCCACATTCTCATAGAAATAAGCATCTTCATATCTAAAACTGTCACCGCAATCCATCTGCCGGTAAGAATTCCGAGTTCCGAATAGACTAGACTCGATTAGCTGATAAATCAATCGCTCGCCTAGCAAATGGGAATCATCTAGGCATCATCAAGTAGCCCAACCCGCAAAGCAACATTTCTCTCCATCCAACATTATCAACAGATGCCTAGTCTGCTTATTTGCAATCTCCCAAGCATAAGCTGAGTTTGCACGGCCTGGTCTTTCAATGCCCCGCAAAGATACCGTCTTGGCATCTGCGCGAAAGGCTAGCCCGACGCCCACAGCAGCGCTAACTCGCTCATCAGCTCAACGCCCCGCCAGGCTCGGCCGGACTTAGCGGGCAACAATGGGAGCGAGAACCCCGATTGGAGATGATCCGATACAAATCAGGCGATGCTGTCAGCCCGCTCTCGAGAACAGACCTATTTAAGACCCTGAGGGGGGCCGTTCGAGACTCGTCAAAATCATTCCTGTCCGAAACACTCTCTCCCGCAGCCATCAAACCATTAAAATGTTGAATGGTACCGCCTCCGGTCTGCTAGGCCCTGTCCTGGCCCTCAATGCATGGACTCTCGCAATGGAAGTCTGGATGTACGCTGTCAATATCCCTATATACAGCCGGTTGAAAATCGAAAATACCATCACTAAGAGCCAGCTTGATGCTCAGGTTCCGGCCTCTGCACGTTGGAAGAGGGATAATTATAATCATTTGATGGAGCAGCCAACGCAGTTTTATGCCATTGCGCTTACGCTGGCGGTCGCGCGTGGGGGCCAAAATGATGGGCTTGATACGCTTCTTGCGTGGACGTACACCGGAACTCGCATCTTGCATAGCCTGGTCCATGCAACGAAAAACAAAATGATGCTGAGATTTAGTTTGTTTGTGATTTCTTCAGGCGTATTGGCGATTATGACTGCCCGGGCGACGATGTTGATTCTTGAGTGATTGCCGAGGGTAATCGAGGCGGCTTTTGGTTGGTCGCGATGAGGTGGGAAGGGTGTGGGCTATCTCGACAGCGGAAAGTCTGAGGTGGCTTTGGCAATGAATGATTTGGAGAAGGAGAATGCTGATAATTAATACTACAATTGTATATACATGTGTGATGGAAGTGCTGCGGGCGAAGAGAGACAAAACAAACAGGCATGTGACCGCGGCATGACAGCCCCTAAAGTCTGTCCGTCTCTCCTCAACCGGAAACCTGTATATTCTTTTTCATCCAAAACCCTCGGGGTTCAAAAGTCCAACTCTTCTTCCAAATTATGTCTTCTGTTCCCACTTCAATGTATGTGTGCGATGGTTTGGCTTTTCCATGTTCATTTTCACACCAAACCCGTGAAGGAAAGATCCCAAAATTGGGCCCAAAGGGATATGTGCTAGGAGTTTCTGGGTGTCACGGCAGATCTTGCGCGGAAACCGGCGATTTGAAGATAGACCGACACCGGGACGCAGGCGACAACCGGCATCTTCCGTTTCAGAAACGCAGCCCGCGCTCTTTCATGAGATATGAAGGTACAAGCTCCAAATTCTGCTTGACGGGAGAGTACTAGCATGGATTGAAGTAGGATCAGCTTCGGGTACAATTTGCTACTTGACCTTGCTCCCGATGGGGGATCTAGAGTTGGGAGACACTGCAATTGCTTGACCCAATTCAGGAAGGCACAAGCAGCCTCAATTTACGGAACTTAACAAAATTCTCCAGCAAGTTTGAGGGTGTGCAATCGTGAGATAGTCTCTGCTAATGTGAGTAGGACAGCGTCCTCCATAGCCGGAGTATACGGCTCACTGTCAACTGGTTATATGAGGGTGTCATTGACCGTTGAGACCTTGCTTGAGCTACTCAAGCACAATTCAAGTTGTCAGAAAGGCTCGGTTGGCAAGCTATATCCGCATTCCAGTTCGGAAACAACCAGATATGTACAAGCACGAACAACCAAGGCAGACAGCTCATTTCTGGCAGGCCATAGTCGCACCATCGTTCATCGAAGCGACATTGTACCAGGGCTACCCTGGTGCAGCAGAACATAAGCACAATTTTTAGCAGCTTTTTCGAGTTCTGCTGTACTATACTCTACTAGTGGTAACATCTTTGTAATCTACCAGTTTTCTCTTTCAATCGTACTCAGCCCATCATACCTCTCGCCTATTACCAGCGCCTCTTTCCACCATCTTCTTGCCATCAACCGGCATCTTTAAATCTTTCTATATCTCGCCCTCTCTCCAACTTCCTAGCTTTTTCGATTTAAATCTTCCTCTTTAACCCAATCACCTCTTCCTCTTTATTTCGATCGCCAGTTCGACTCGACTACAACTTCTTTGACTCTCTAACTCTCGCTATTGTTCCGGCTTCTCAGTCCTCCATCCAATCTTCGGCTTGATCAGCTCTTCGGTACTCACTACATCTTGCTCCTTCTCTCCGGATACGACCTCTCTCTTTCTACCATCCTCGCCATCATCCCTTCGACCATCTCCTTGCTATCAGCGCTACACTCTATCTCTAATCTGACTTACCACCTTTGCCAAAATGGCTGATTTGACTACCTCCAAGACCTGCCGGAAGTGCGGAAGTCTGGAGCTACCTCCAGTCCATTGAGACGATGCTCTCGTTGCAAAGCAGTCCGGTACTGCTCACGCTATTGCCAAGTCACCGATTGGTAGTCCCATAAGCAAAACTGTGTTCCCGACGATACTGCCACTAAGAAGCGCAAATCTACTGATACCGCCAAGACGCACAAGTCGACCGAAACCACCGCTAGAAAGTGCGAAACATGCGGCAAGCCGTACACCCTATCCAACCCGCTCGAACGATGCTCCAAGTGCCATTTCACCATTTACTGCTCTAATGAGTGCGAGAATCAGAATGAAAAGCACCACGAGAAAGTCTGCCAGGTCTCCCAGGTCTTCAGGAATTGTCCAGACTCGGTTGTATTCTAAAGATACGGCCTATACCCAGCTCCCTTACAAGTGCGGATCAAAACCCTACCACGGGTTCTGCTAAAGCGGCAGATGTGGTTGCATGGAAGATCTAAGAAAGACGTCTTTAAGATGCTAATCTATGCGTACCATGTGGAGCTATGCGTGGAGCACCAACTTGGCTGTATCCCCCAAAAGGACATTATCTCGGAGGGGCCACCGACAATGGCGAATCTGTTTTCCGGTGTTCCTGGACAAAGTTGACAAGGAAATCGAGCTATTTTCTCCGTGGTGGTCCCGTGGGAAGCTAGAGGAGTGTGTCCAGTTTGGCCTACAGCCGAAGCTCGAAGTCAAGCAGTGGTGGTACCTCGACAACCTAGAGGAAGTGAGCAACCAGTACGAAGATGTGGCCATGCCACTGCAGCTGATGATGTTTGATGAGCTTGCCTATTACTTGCAGTTTGGTGACCTGAAAATTTACTGCGGGATTCCACAGTGAGCGACTTGAGATTCTGATCGTCGAGGGCTACATTACGAATTGCCCAGATTTCAGAAAAGTTTCTTCGGGGCTATGGATCCTGGCCGTTAGAAGGAACTGTCTGTTAGGGAATCCTTGTCCTGGAGCTTACGAAAGATCCGAGGGCATTAAGTCCCAGGGGCCCTAGACAATATCAAAACTCGTTCCATTCTGAGTTTTTAGGTTTCCGCGTAGCCTTATCAAAAGTCTGAGTGTTTTAAGATATGAGGAACTGAATAGAGCTTTCTTAGTAGTTCCAGGTGGCTAACAAAGACCCTCGTAGTAGCATTTGCAAATGTTGATCGAATATACAGTAGTCAGCAATACGATGATGCTGTGATTTGACATATACTAACAGATACTCTAGGGTATCCACAACAGGGAAGCAAATACCCACAAGGCACCGACAGATCCACCAAGCGTTAACATGACAAGCGCCGGCTCACTTAACCCACTGTGTTTTATCTAATATGAGCCCTCCTGGTGCGAAAGTATTGATCCTAGTATATCTCTTTGAATGGCAAGGAATTTGGATATGCCCGCCGCACCGAACCCCGGTGCATTAGTATCCCGAGAAAAAGATACTCTTTGTATTTATTATAGTCCTCAATTGATGGACGACTGCAACGCGACTTCTTAGGGAGTTCACTAAGATTTGTGGTGAATCTTGCAGTCTCGTGTGAGGCTCTAGTGACCCCAATTGTTGGTAAGGTATTCCCAACGTAATGCGCCATTTCTGTTCTTTGAGTATCCACCACATATCGATCAGTTGGTTGAAGCTGGACCAGAAACTCAGAAGCAGCAGCCTGATATGGAATTTCTTCCCCAACCGATTGTATCTGTGAAATTTTGCTGTTAGAAAATTCTAGGCGAGTTGCTATCTCCGCCAGTTTATACATCCTCTCCGATGCGAACCCTTGCCGTTCGGCCGTACGTTTTCTGCCATTTCGATATGGTGCAAGTGATGTCAATGTGGGGAAATCACGCATGACTGCGAGAAATAACTGCTGGTAGCCAAGCTTTGGGTTCAAGTTTGAGCTTCCCCGAGAGTACACGAAATCGCAGTCCCCGACTTGCAATCGGCACATTCCCGGTCGCTGATTAAGCCCTGAGTAGCTGCACATAAACTCATCTGCCATTGAACGTTTTGGTGGCATAGGAAGTAGTTGCTTGAGAGCCATAGCACATGCCTCAAAGTAGAAGAAATCTCTCGTGAATGTATATAAGGAAAGAATTCTCCCTTGGGTTTGAAGGATCTTCTCTAAGACTACTATTCGGGATTCTTCTGAAGGAAGATGAGGAAAGATTTTCTTTTGCTCCATCATCTCTTCAATCCTCTCACGATCGTGGTCCGAAATCGATGGCATACATGTCTCGAGTAGGGAGACAGTGTCCGGGTCAAGAAATGAATCAGAATAACCACTCAATATGGTGTTCCACTTTGAATACATGAGATTTAGGTACTCAATAATTTCCTGGATACCGTTAGCCCGAGTTAAGAGCCTGGAGAGTTGAGATTCTTACCTCCTGACATCGAATTGATAACCACCTTCCCAGGTACGAAATTTTGAGAAACTTCCATAAGCCTCTAAAAACTAGAAGCTTATTGAGTGCCCTTCGTACGTGCCTAAAGTCCTTTTCTAGGCGATTCATTTCACGTTGGGCAGACTTGCTAAGTCTTCCGCGCCACTTGAGCTCCGCATACACATCTCCGAGTTCCTGGTACATGCGGATATTCTGGTAGATGTCACCATCACAGAACGGCTGAGCGTTTGGGTGCTCTTCACGAATAATAACCTGGAACTCCCGGGGAAGACCTACTTCATGAGAGAAGAATAGCGAAAAGATGAATGCAATACCTACTTTCGGAATAGAGATCTGCTATCCACAATTTATCCCAGAGAAATCTGTCGGCGGCGAGTACACGGTGTTTTCCATGAAAAACGGTAAGCTTAATATCATCTGGAAGGTCGAGAGTTTGAATCTCGCTATCATCCCGGTTAGGGAGAATGTTGTCGCAAACGAGAGCTTTGATAAAGTTATCCGGATTGAGGCGAATGCAGCCTTCGGACTGAAATTTCTCCACGAGAACCTGGATGTGTTCCTCTCTGGTCGTGCGGGCGCTGACGCCAGTAACATCTAGATTGTTTAACCTAACCTTGGCCCTCCCTCTGTAGAACCTCTGGGAGGCTGTCCAGCTGTCCGAGCTAGACATGAAGTTGGGCAGTGCGAATTTTTGCAGTCAGTAATATTCATAAGTAATAATTTCGTCCAGGCACCATGGCAAGCGCCGCCAGAAGTGTTCATCGAGGACAGAGAGATGGCAGTGAAAACTCACGACCACATTCTATCCAAAGACCCAAGCGAAAGACCCTTGATTCTCTACACCGGCGGGAGTGGGATCGAGGGAAAAATTGGAGCAGCAGTAGTCGTTGATCTCGAGGATCACCACGCTCACAGCCAAATGGGCGGCGAAGAAACGTCCACTGTATACGCTGCCGAGCTCAGTGCCATCGAAATGGCACTCAAATTAATCTTGGAGACCACGGAACCGTGGGCGGCACAGGCGAGAAACGGGCTTGTCATCTTTGCAGACAGCCAAGGGGCATTGAAGGCGCTCCGCCAACCACGGATGCCATCAGGACAGGTCTACCTGGAAGAATGCCTCCACCTGGTAAGGCAACTCGCAGCCAATGGCCGTCAAATCCACCTCAGGTGGATACCTGCTCATCAAGGAGTGGCCGGCAATGAACGTGTCGACCGACACGCAAAGGAGGCGGCCCAGGAACCAGAAGGACCACAAAACCCAAACAATCGTTATATTCGCCTTGCAGCCGCAGCTAAAAGCCGCATTCGCCGCGAGGCAAAAATCGAGTGGGAAAGGTCATGGCCTATAGAGAGAACAGGTCGACCGACGAAACGCTTAGTCGAACGACCAACGAAGAAGACCCTGGAATACTGGTCCGACCTGCGGAAAGCGACAGCGTCCATTCTGATGCAGCTTCGTACTGGACGAATTGGCCTTGCTGCCTGCCTACTTGACTCGCATCAATCGGCGCGAGTCAGCGAGATGTGGTTGCAATCTGGGGAACCAGACCGTCGATCATATCTTGCTTGAATGCCCGCTACTCCAAGGTGAGCGCAACTGGATGAGAAACGCTCTGTCCGACCGCGGAGTTGCTCTGCGACGCGACGAGCTCCTGACGCGGCCAGAGGCTCGCATAATTGTGGCCGAATTCATAGTCCGGACAGGTCTCTTAAACCAGTTTCAAGCAGTCGACCCATTGGCTCTCGGCACGGAAAAAGGCGACGAAAAAGGATGACCCCTCAGGACAGTGTGACGGAAGGAGAAGGATGGTGCCCGTTAGGAGTGCAGTGCCAGGTCCACTGTATTCCCTTGATGCAAGCGAGCGCAGGAGCGGTTGAGGGACGTTGTAAAATGCATCTAGTATGATACGGTATCTAGCGAAGTAATATTACACTGGTCTCGTGATAATCCCGTCGACTTCCATGGAACCCCAGAGTGGGAGGCTGGTTCGGGCCGACAGTCCTTCCGATGGCGGGGCCAGAACTGACATCCTGACACGCGATTCGTGTCACTCCAGGTCGTTCAACCCCACACGTTCCTTCTGAGTGCCCTTTATTTCCATGAATCAAGGGTTCCACCGCATCATTCCGTGGCTCCAACTATGGATCACAGATAGGGATCAGCTACGGTTCGGTTACAAACGAGTTTCATCTTCCATGGGGTATTCTATGAGAGTCTTTGTGTAGCGTCGATCATGCTGACCTTTATGCAGATCTTGACGACAAGTTATCCCCTGTGCCTGGGGCTGCGTTCGACTCATACGTAGATCAGCATGAAGATCAATGTCTTCCGGGCACGCGAACTGATCTCCTCTCCCAGATCAGCGAATGGGCTTTGTCACCACAGGGCAGATGCATTTTCTGGTTGAATGGTATAGCGGGAACAGGAAAATCGACCATCTCTCGAACCATGGCAAAATCATTCAGCCTATCACAATCACTTGGAGCAAGCTTTTTCTTCAAGAGAGGCGAAGGGGATCGAGGGAATGCAAGGAAACTTTTCCCGACAATCGCAAGGCAACTGGCCATCAGCATTCCTGAGATCACCCCAGTCCTCCAGGAAACAGTCCGCGAGAACCCAGGTATCTTAACAAAGACAATGCGGGAGCAATTCGAAAAACTCCTACTTCAGCCACTCCACAGCCTCGAGCGATCTAAAATCCCTACCCAGGCCATGGTGATAGTGATTGACGCATTGGATGAATGCGAGGGAGATGGTGACATTCGGCTAATACTCCAACTTCTCTCCCAGCTACAAAATCTAGCGGCTGCGCGTCTACGAGTTTTTTTAACCAGCAGACCTGATCTACCGATTCGCCTGGGGTTTTTAAAGATTGCAGACGATGACCATAGGGACTTTATTCTCCATAACATACCCCGTGAAGTGATCAAGCATGACATAGCGCTATTCTTTGATCACCGATTAACAGAGATCAGATCAGAACGCATCCTAACATCAGACTGGCCCGGCGACGAAGGTCTCCAAAAGCTAGTGGCATTATCTGTTCCGTTATTTATTTTTGCTGCCACTATTTGTCGGATATTTGAAGAGCCTGACTGGGACCCGATAGACAGTCTCACTGAGATCTTAACACGACAGAATGACCAATCTAAGCTGGATAGGACGTATCTTCCGGTTCTTGATCGTCTTCTCGGCAGACAACACGGGAAATACAAAGAAAAACTGGTTTCCGAGTTCCAGCAAGTAATCGGAGCCATCGTGACATTACAGAGTCCACTCTCGGTACCATCACTTGCAAAGCTTCTGGACCTGCCGGAGCGGCTTGTTCGCCTTCGACTAGACCCACTACACTCCTTGCTAAGAGTGCCAGATAATGAAACGGTACCTGTGCGGCTCTTTCACCTATCATTTCGAGACTTTCTTCTTGATCCAGACACCCGGAAAAAAACCCCTTCAGGGATAAATGAGACAGAGATGCACTCTACGTTGGCTAAACAATGCCTCTTGATGTGTCAAAGTCTACGGAAAAATATCTGTGGACTATCAAGTGAAGGAACCGAACGTACAGAGATTGATCACCAGACTGTCGATAGTAACCTTCCTCCGGAGCTACAGTACGCCTGTCGATACTGGGCATACCATCTAGTGGAATGCGCGAACTCGAACAATATGAAATTTAGTGCTCTGATGTTTCTCCAGAGGCATTTCCTTCATTGGGTGGAAGCAATGAGTCTCATCGGACTTACATCGGAAATACTCGGCATTCTTGATCGGCTGCAAGCGGCCATATCGGTAAGTTGCGTAGAGAGGTCATGTGGTTCGCACTGACAGCTCTAGGGCAATGCCTCTTCTTCATATTCGGATTTTCTTCACGATGCAAAGCGATTTATTCTGAAAAACTACCAGATTATTGATCTAGCGCCACTTCAAGTTTATTGTGCGGGCCTTATATTTGCACCCCAGACATCAATAATCCGTGCACAGTTCAAACGGGACATTCCAACTTGGATATGCCAGCTACCACGAGTTGAGGAAAGATGGGGCGCGCTCACCCAGACGCTCGAAGGCCATTCGAGTGCGGTTCTGTCGGTGGCCTTCTCGCCCGACGGCCAGCTGCTGGCATCCGGCTCTCGAGATAAGACAGTGCGGCTCTGGGACCCCGCAACGGGCGCGCTCACCCAGACGCTCGAAGGCCGTTCGGATACGGTTTACTCGGTGGCCTTCTCACCTGACGGCCGGCTGATGGCCTCCGGCAGTAGAGATAAGACAGTGCGGCTCTGGGACCCGGCGACGGGCGCGCTCACTCAAACTTGGAACGCTGGAAGAATGGTTACTACAGTGGAATTTTCCCATAACGGCTTATATCTCCACACAGACTTCGGTGTGCTCGTGCTTGACATTCAACCCAGGCGTGACGTTCCTATACCTCATCCCCCTCATGCGAATCAAGATATCTCTATTAAGCAGAATCAATGGATCAATCTGAGTGGTCAGAAGGTTCTCTGGCTTCCTGTTGAGTCTCGGCCCAACTGTTTCAAGGTCAATGGTAACACAATTGCCCTGGGGCATGTATCAGGGCGGATTTCCTTTATCGGATTTTGTATATAGATGCAACTGATTTCGAATACCTCTTCTTCCTCTATTTCTTATCTCTTTACAAAAGAAGAGTCTGGGAGAAGAGGGGAACTTCTATATCTCTATCCTACACATGGAATATTCTATAAAGCTCTAGTCATTTAATAGATCGTCCAGGAACCAGTTGTGGGGGTGGCGGCAGATCATCAACGAACCAAGCCTAGCCAGCTCTCTTTGACCGTCAAAGATCCACTCTGGGGTTCCATGGAAGTCGACGGGATTCTCATAAGACTAGTGTATTATTACTTCGCTAAATACCTTATTATACCAGGTGCATTTTACAACGTCCCTCAACGAAAGGTGGCCAGGGCAATGACTGATCTACGCTAAGGTCTTGGCGGTGGGGCCAGAAGAGAGAGTGTGAGTGTGTACCGGTCAAGGCGATTTCGAGAATGACTGTACACGCTAAATCGATTCTGAATTTGATTTATAGCGACTGAGCAGAGTGCGCGATAAGACTTCTTATGAAGGTAAAGACCAACTCAGCGCGATCCTGCTGGAATACTTGCCTTGGCTGAAATCTAAATTGCGAAAATCATTCTGAAGATTTAGTTTTAATTGCTCCACGGCTTCTCAGACTGATAGAGTTTGCGTTGCAATACACATGGTCAAGCGCGTCAAAAGGCCCAATGCCCAGATCACTCTAAAAGCTCTAAAACGCGCAATCTGTAGATTAACAAGGCCGGGGGAAGCCTCCCTCATTTTGCAAATTTTTATACTATCGACAACTCCAAAAGCTCGTGCATGGATTGAAATTTGGCTATTTGATCAGGTACACCGGGACCGACGGGAGACGTTCTTGAACGGCGGTCGCATGCTATACTTGAAGTATTAAAAAGAAAAAAGAAAAAGAAAAAAAATCAAATAAATGTTCATAAAAAGAGTGGTGTCCCGATCGATATCCAACTGTGAAAAAGCGAGTGACGGTATAAGTTCTTCAAGTCGTCCATTGGGGTGATTCATGATATTCCTCCCATCTTGCGTGAGAGCATAAAGCAAAATATCGACAGAATATCAATCAGAAAACGACCAAGCGGTCACCTTCCAGAACCTTTTAGACTTACGGTACAGGTGCTATGAGTCCAGGTGGAAGAGATCGGGCCTTGGCAGTCGCCAGCGCAGGCGGGAGGAATGGAATAGCAACCGCCAAAGTAATCGCGATGGAGGTCACTATCCGTGCAGCAAACATGATCACCAATAGTAAATTTGGCAATAGATATTTTTGAGCCCGTTGAATGGTGTGACGAAGGCGAATCTTCTTGGGGTCTTGATATAAATATCGGATTGGATTGAGGGAATGCGAAGTGGAAAGTTGAAGGCACTGAGGAGAGAATTGCTGACCAAGGTATCGCCAGCGTAATAACAAGCATCTCACAACGCTATCTAGATCTTGTTGTAACCCCACAACGGGTCACCTTCTGTGAGCCTGACTAAGCTCAGGCATCACATTCCCGGTGATCGAGCATCCAGAATCCAGGTGAGCCCAGGGTGCTCTCAAGCTGAGCGCAGGGGGGTGGGGCAAATCACATGACACTTGGCGGTGCTGAGCGCAGGGGGCTCCATTAATTACCTATATAGGACCAATACGTTTTGGTATCACAACAGTAAAATTGGGGTGTCCGCCATACATACAGATCAACTGATATAACGACTAGTATTCAGAGGAATCAACAACGAGGAAGTGTGTATTAAGTACAGAAATTAACTACTAATTAGTTACTAACTAATTCCTAATATATAGGAAGCCTTGCTCGTCGACATGCAGAGCAGCAACAAATCGAACAACGACGGCAAAGGGTACCTAAAGAAGATCGCATTCTTTATGACTTCTCTTCGTCAGGTCATCCAATTCGATCTACTAGTGCTGCGTGGGGCAGATCTCCAGTAAATCGTCCCCGGGGAAGTAGATCACGCAGTCGTTCGAGGTTAGTATATGCAACCTTCTTTTTTAACTGGTTACTAACTAGTTTAAGCACCCCTCGATCCTCCACTCCACAAAGCGATCTTCGTCGTACTGCCTCAATTAATCTTTATAGTCAAGGCCAGGATGACAGTAATATACGTCAATCCGAGCTTGATTATCAGTATGAGATGCCTGAGCTAGAACGGAAGAGGGTCGAAATTGAGAAAGCGAAGATGGAGAATGAGATAATGAGATCAGAGCTTGAGCTACTACATAAGCAGTTAGAGAGCTAGTTAATAACTAGATAAAGCGCGGCATATTCAAATATTGAATTCACTATATTAAATACTAAATTTGTATCATATAATGTATTTATTATATATTGAATTATGACTATTTTGTTGAAGTGTCAGGTAATGTAAGGTGACAGAACATGTAAAAGCTGAGCGCAGGGGGGTGGGGCGATTACACGGGAAATCACATGACACCCTGCGGTCAGCTCTGGACCCCCCGGCGTTCACCTGTATTCACTCGAGCATCGGCTTCGTACCCGATGGCCCCACTCACCCAGCATGGATCGGGAATCTCGGGTAACCGGCATTCCTCGGGTGCCACTGTGGCACAAAGCACAAAGATTGTTTACGGGGGTCGGTCTGTGGGGGATGTGCCCAGATGACTAGCCGAGCTGTTCCGCTTTTGGTGCCAAGCCTCTGATCAGCTCGCTTCGGTCGCCAGCGGTTGCTGTCGGCGCTGCATCACGTTTAAAAAAAAAAAAAAAAAAAAAAAAAGCCAGTTCAAAGCCATTCAAAGCCATTCAAAGCCACAAGGTTCCGTGTATACTATGAAAATCGGGATATGTGGCTTTGCTAATATGGCTGCCCCGTTCTCTTTTCCGAGCCCTGAATTCACAATGTTGAAATCATGCCAAGGTGCGGCATCGTGTCTGTGGCCCCTTCGGTTGGCAGCCCTGGAAATACCAACAAGCCCTTGAGATCTAGACGTGTGTAACTTCTTGGTAGCTAATATGATCGGTCGCCTTGGCCTCGAACTATCACATACATAGTATGTGTTGATGGTAGAAAATGGTGGGTTTTTGATTGGCCCACGCCAATGACTTTCCTAACCCAAAGAGGGCAAAGACAAGAGAAGTGGAGATATCGATCTGCAGCCATATTCTTCCAGGATAAATCTTCAATCCTGCAATTATTTTTTAAATTGGTTTCATCGAGAATGCTTTCCCGAGTTCTTCAAATTCAATCCTCCATCTCATTCACCCTACACTTCTGCGTTTCCAATACCCTTCTATCTTCACCGCGAAATGGCAACTAGCCAAGAGGAAGCTCTGTTAAAACCACAGCCGAACGATAAGTCATTCGAGAGCTTCGAGACAACTAGCAATGAGACAAATGAGTTCTCCTGGAAAGATGATCGCGACCCTGAGAACCCTTACAATTGGCCAGCTACCAAGAAATGAACCCTGACATGCCTCGCTGCCTTCGCAACATTCCTTACAATGATGGATGGAACGATGATTACTGTCGCGCATTTCGAGATTTCGGAAATTTTCAATATCGACGAGACATCATTTCCACACTCCTACTGGCAGGTGACAACTTGGGCCACCGGGGGACCATGCCCAGCTTTATTCATCCTCCCGCTCGCCGAAGATTTTGGGACGAGGCCCGTCTTCCTCTCGACATACTTGGTTTTCATATGCTTCCTTGTTCCCCAAGCTGTCGCCCAGAAGTTTGCAACTTTGGTAGTGACCCGATTTTTTGCCGGTGGCTGCGTCGCCATTCTGGCGAAAACCCCAGCTGGGGTAATGGGTAATCTTTGGGACACTGAGTTGTCGCGATCAGTCCCTGTCAGCCTATATATTCTTGGATATATGGCTGGAAGCAGCATGGGCCGGTTATGGGAGCCGCAATTTACCAACCTCTCAGGTGGAGATGGATTGGTTATATGCAGCTTATATGGTTTGGAGCGCTGTTTCCGATCTACTACTTCTTTTTCTATGAGTCGCGTGGAAGTGCAGTACATGCCCGACGTGCGAAGATGTCACACAAACTGGTTTTGTCCAAGGCGCCATCGTCATTGGCGAAATTATCGGATGGGCTTTGAACTTCGTATCTCGGAAGCTATATTTCGGCTCCGCATCGCGAAATGACGAACTTCCTGGGACTCCGATACCAGAGGCAAGACCTTACATGGCAGTGCTAGGAGTGTTGAGATTGGATACGATGAAGCACTGAATATTGAATAAGGGCCTGCTAGACAAATCGACCTTGATGAAATTGACAGAACTTGAACTTGTCTGTGTCTAACTGTCTACATGCGATTCTGGGGGTATTTATCCTTGAACGGGCGCCAAGCCCCTGACAGTAGTAAACCCCTATTATTGGTCTCAATCGGAATTCTTCCATGAAGATCCCCTGAATTTAGAATATAATGTCGCACAAGAGCGTTTGAAGTTCATATCAAGCTCAGTGCCCCGGGTTTCCCTGAACAGGCATGCCGACAGAGGTTGGGAATGAGGCATCAATTCGGTGCCTTATCCTGGAACCTCAACAGATTACCTCTGTACTGGGGTTAGAAACGAAGTCTGGTTATTTTTTGGTAAGTTACCGAGTGATTATATATTTCGCAGGTGTGTTCGTATATACCTCCTGTCCATCTTTTTGTTAGACGAAAAATACTTAAACAAAAACATAATTCCATTATTTATCGGGTTCAATTAGGACCAAATTATTCATCTAGGTCTACAATATTTTTTAACTAATTTTAAAAAAATATTTGCTTATAAAACCTAGAGAAACCACAGTCGGAAGTCTTGACTCTCGGGACAGCGATATGGCTTCCACTCCTGCGGATATCCAACGGATATCCGCAAATTATCCACAGAATATCCGCACTAGTAGTTTATCTAGCCAATCATCAGGACACTAACCACAAACACATATTCAAGTCGTGAGTTTGTGCTCTGTTTGTGACACACCTGAAATTCTTCTCCAGCCCCATATGTAAGCTTTCCTCTCTACTCTTCCAAGTCTCTCCCAATCTCTACTTCAACAGACAACTTATAGTCTATTGAAATATGTCCCAACTGTGACGGATGACCCTGGGAATAGCCTCGTCTCGTGGAAGGATGCCTGAGGTATAATATTGGGTCGTTTGCACAACGCGTTTGCTGGGGACTTAACCCCTCTTTTTCTGGCGGACTTTCTTTCTTTCTCCTTCCTTCTTCATCTTCGAGATTCTCGTAAGTAGGAACCGAATGAATGTGTTTCCTTCGAACGGCCCGCAACAGTGGACAGGTCCACCATATATGTGGCAAATACACATAGGCAGGTGGACCTAGCCTATCAGAGTGATGATATGTTCTATTCGGGACTGTTGCATGAGAGCCCCGTGCGTCGGGCCCACGATATTCCGTGCTGGACATCTCACACAAATATCGCCTGGCCTGCCCCTCCCTCGAAAAGAACATCGCCGTTTCGAGGGAGAGCCGGGCTCTCTCCGCGACGGCTTCTTCCCGCCCACCGCGGAACCCCCCTCATGTATATACCACGTATGCTCCCGCATAGCTATTTTCCTCCTAGAATATACGGAGTGCCACGGGCCCGCCTGCAGCCCTCACGGCGCCGTAGCCCTCCGTCAACGAGGTCTACATCGCCAGTGTTCAGACCGCAGGTGCCCCGTGCGGGCCAAAATATCTCATCCGTCTCTATCTGTGCCAGTGTAGCAATGGTTGGAATAGAAGATATTTTACACCCCTTTAATGACTGCAATCGAGTCTTCTACTTCTGCCTCCATGGTAATCAGCTTCACACATGCCCCAAAACCACCTGCTGCCTTTCATGCGGCTGATAATTTGTGCTTTCAGAGCTTATACGTCTTTCAGTTGAATTGAATGCTAAGTTCTGATGAGATGTAAGAGCCGCAAAAGATCTAGACACAGGCTGGTTGCTGAAGTGATCTATAAAATAGCCATATCTAAGATCGAGGAAGGTGAGGACACTTTCCAGGTAAGGTGATCCTCTTGGCATTTGTGGCAATGTTGATTCCCCAGATAAGGGTGTAATACCTGCTGGTTTTCTCCCTAAAGGTTGGTCAGTATTAATGGCACTAGGGGCGTTGAAGAAGAGACTTGCTGTCAAGTACGTACTTTCGCTTTCGGAACATCCAATTGAAAGTTCCCTTCGATCGATTGGCCATCGAACTCAGAACGACATCGATGAATATGGGCCATTCTTCCTGAATTTTAGGAAGGTTCCGGTTGTTTCTTGCGGAGAAATCGTCGAATTCACCCAGACGATTATAGATGGCTTCGTATGTGTCACAGAACTTCTCCCATACCTTTGGGTCGTTCATGTATTCAAAGACCATGCCCATTGACTTGGCGCTTTGAAGCTGCTCGTCTGGATTCTTCTTTCGCCATTTTCTCAAGGATACAGCCTGTTTTCCTCCGAACATCTTGTTATTTTTTCTTTAGTCAGCCATAGTTCTCTCTGAAGCGGGGGTGATCAAGGACGTACAGCGCCTTTCATTCCATTGGCCCTGGCTTTGAAGATCGTCAACCTATCAAGATGGCCTTGGCTGCCTAGTTCTCGCAGAAGGACAATAAAAAATGACACTTTTATTCTGTCCCCATTTTTGTTCGTTATATCCCACTCTTCTCTTTCAAAGATCCATTTGACTGCATCGCTGCATGCCCACTTGGGCTGTGGGCTGCTTGGCTTTGGGAGTTGTTGAACAATTTCACCTTTGTTAAGCCAATGAGTGAAAAAGTCGCCAATGAGTTGGCCTTCGAAGACATGCTCGGCTGTATCTATTAGCATAGTTTTGAACCATAACCGTGGTGATACATCACATACTCTGATAATCCGATCGTTCACGTCCACCGGGAATGTTATCCTCGTCGTAATTGTCCAAAGCTGCCACACTCCAGTCGCTGCACAGGGACGATGTATTTCCCCACCATCTCGAAATGGGATCCCACATTCCATTTTCGATTCCGGCCCATGGCTTCCTGGCATCTTTAGGGAATTGAGGATATACTCCAAGGTCACCGGCGGCGTCCGTGTTTCCGCACATGGTGACTTCTTTTTTACCTCTGCCCGCCTCCCCCGGGAGGGCACGACTCTCAAGTTCACGGAGGGTAGTTTCATCCTCGGAATCGTGTTCATCTTCCAAGAATGAATCAGAACTCCTCTTAGAAGGGCCGAAGTTAATGCGGCTTCCGCCATACGGCCACTGCCTGTTCAAAGTGCTCGTCTGGCAGGAATCACAATCGTCGTAATACGGGATATCCTCGTAGGACCACTTCCAGTCCATGCTAACGCAACCACAACAGCGCCTTTTCTTGACCGGGTCTTTCGTGTCAGTGCAAGTGCCACAGTCCTCACAACCAATTGCACCGTCAGTTGCGCCCCCGATCTTCTCCGCCTCTTTGCCGAGCATCTCATTTGGAGTCGCCGGTCGAGATTTCAATGGTCCGTAATTAACTCCAGGGAATGCGTCATATTCACCGTTTTGACCGATATCGCCACGGGTCACAATGCCTATTTCTTGGATCTCTCCAGGGGCCATGGATGAGCTGTTGACATTTTCATCCAAGGCGCGACGCATAGTACTAGACTCAGTCCCGCTGACATAGTTCGGATAGCAGACGCCTCCAGCCCCAGGTGCTTGCTGTTATTTCACGAAGAGAAGTAAGCCCAGGGTATGAAGAATTGATCCACAAATATAGAATCTTACCATGTCGTCTCCAAGTTGAGTAGAGTCCTCGTTCCATGAGGCTGCCTCCAGTGCCTTTCTGTTAAATAAAAGTGGTTAGGAATTTTTTTTTTTAAAAAAAAAAATGAAATTGGGGAGCAGGCCCGTTTTGAACTCACGATGATTGAGCTTCCTGGAATACAGTAGTCCTATGATGGTAATTAGAATTCAATGACCGTAAATGAACTGGTACAGTGTTCACTTACGCAACTGTGAAATCGGTACAAGACTCGTCTGAATCGACGTCTGCAGGGTAGAATGAGAATTCTGCAAAAGTGTTGTACATCAATCCCATCTATGAAAGAGTAGTTAGTCACGACAGGCAAAGGATATAACATGATAGCCAGTAAAGAGGTACACACATCTCCAACTGCGGTCGACTCAAGTGTACGATGATTTTTCCCATGGACATCAAGGTTGACATTCACACCAAACTTCACGAAGGTTCCAACAGCCAGCTTACCGCCGTTTCCTTCACTGAACCAGACGTGATTGTCCTTTCCAACAGAAATTTCATTCGGTGCAAATGAGCCAGAGTCGGGCTTCATGTCATCTGGATAGTCAATAGGCCAAAAGGCAGTGACATTGGAGAAATCTTGGGTGACCCGGGTCTCGAGGTGGCCAATAAAGCTTGTAGCACTGTTGCTGAAGTCGGTGCTATTGGATCCGTTGAAAGAGGCAAGCTCGTAGCTGACATCAAGGTAAGGACTGAACGAGACGAAGCTGTTGTCGCCAGCGCTGATGGTGGCCCCTTTCAGGTTGAAGGATCGTTTCGCACCATGAAGGGGGTACCCTTATCTGCCCTGGAGAAATCAACCTCACTAAAGCCATCAATCCCATATGTCAGATCGCTTTTGCCAGCGGCCTTGACGAAGCCGTTGGCCTCCTGGACAGTAAGCTCGTTGTAGTACTCGGCAACCAATGAGAAGCCAATATACATTTTGGCATCGATTTCACCAGTGACATAGGCCGCGAAGGATTCGCCCCATTCTTGTCCCTCCACTTCACAGTCCGTGGCAGTTTGGTACCAAATAAGCTCGCTGAGATCGTGCTTGACTGGGATTGCATTGAGGTTTTCGTACTCAAAGTGAGTGTTGGAGGTCCCGTAATTCTGTTGCCAGTCCATGTTGTCGGATGAATAGTACTTTTTGACCAAGGCCCGGGCTTCCTTCTCGCCGTCGTTGTCGTCGACGCCGGGAGAGTCCACTATTCTGTCCCAATAGCCTTTCACATTAGAGTAATCCAAGCGAACACTCGTTTTATTGGTGACATCACGCCGACTCAAGCCCATGTTGTAGTCAAATTTGAAGTCGTACACCTGGGAAGTAGGGTTCCGCTTCTTGATCTTGGCGGACACAGCCTGATCTGTTTAAAATTATTAGCGAAGACCGTGATAAAATTTCTAGAGATTGTAGATGTACTCTGGGAAGGTTCAAGAGAAATCGCTCGCGCGAACGTATTGGGAGCGCACTAGAAGATCGGGTGTTAGACGTCTACGTTAAATCAGAGACTGGGAGCGGAAGACATACGTTGTCAGGCATCTCGACAATGGTGCCCTCGACGCCTTCATACATCACTTGGAAACATCCATTGATATCATCGCTGAGACAAACGACACGAGCCGTGTGGATGTGATCTAGAGGAGCGTCCTTGACATTCAAAGGACAATCAAGGAAGTGGAAAGGCTCCGGCTCGTTGTCTCGCCTTCGAAGCCTCGAGAGAGCATGAGACTCGCCAGCGAGAAGAAGAAATCCAAAGCCGCCTCCGTTGGGGCTCATGGAGTCAGCGCCTCCAAAGGTCGAGATACCATAGACAGGCTTCGTTGTGTTTGGTGGGCGAATGTCGGAGGGGAAGATGCGATCCATACTCACGAGATCAAACTCGGATCCCGTAGTGCCCAGAGAATCCGAATCAGACACTGCTCTCAGGGCGCTCAAATGATTGTCATCAAGATCGATAGCCCAGATCATCAGGCCAGAGAGACCAAGCTTATTAGCATAGTCTATCTTGATCTGGAACGTGGTCTCGTCATCAAAAGAGACCCAGCTGTCGTCATCATATACCATATACCTGACAGCAGCATCCTTGTCAAGGTAGGCAGTCCCTCCAGTATCCTTCCGAATTTGCGAGATTTCCCTGTACGAGAGAATTCCCTCGGTGGCAGTGCATGGGCCTTTAGCACCAGCAGTGGTAAACTCACACCCTGGCTTCCAGCATGCACTGTCGCTAAGCTTAAAGGTTCGGCCATAGAACCCCAGGCCAAGGACAATACTGGAAGGATCGACATCGACTCGCCAGAACAGATCAAGTGCTTCATCGATCCCAGTTAAGTTCGTGTGAGCGAGGACGTGATTGCCGACTGGATTGTGTCCATCCCATACTCCGTGAAGGTCGTATGCCATCAGATTAATCCAGTCGACATTATCAGTCATCGTCTTAAGATCATAGTGACGAAGGTACCAGTAGGATGTTGGAGATGTGAAGGTGACAAGGTAGTCACGGCCACTGGCAGAGATTGCATCTTTGAGCTCCTTTAGGAGTAGTACGTAGTTTGCTCCGTCCGCATCTGACCCACCACGGTCACCGGCCCCAGGATACTCCCAGTCGAAATCAACACCGTCGTACCCATACTCAGAGAGAAATCCAAGCAGGTTATCAATAAACTTTTTTCGGTTGGCTTGGTTGGAAACCATCGTCGGGAAAATACTCTGCCAAGTTCCGGGGTCATTGAAGGTCCATCCTCCAAGAGCAATCATGATCTTGAGCTTGGGGTTCCGCTGCTTCAGATCACCGACAACCTTATATAGATCGGGAGAAACGCCATCCATATTGGTGACCTTGAACTCGTGACTGACATAGCCAAACGAAATAATCAGGTGACTAAGCAATTGAACAGGAATTTCACCAGGCTCCATAGTTCCGCAGCTATGGTCCATGTTCCAAGCCTCCCAGTAGCCGACGACACGTTTTTGGACATCGGACTTCTCGACTGATGGCTTCGGCTGGTCACAATGGGATTGACAGCCCTTACCGCAGAATTCACTGGTCGTTCCGCAGAATCCAAACTCGGAGCAGCAAACATTCAGAGGACAGCCTTGACCAGGGAGCTCTGCATACATTCCACAAGCAGCAGTTGCGTTGCAGTTGGACGTGCAGCCCACACCACAGTATTTCGGGCCGTATCCGCAGTTGCCACTTTCACCACAGCAGGCGCCGTTGATGCATTTCTTGTCCTTGGAGCATGTGTATGGGTCGTCGGCGGAAGATGTGAGATCAAGATGGTCAAGGCCTAGCAAGTCGGCATTGGCGGAGGAAATCGAGGTAAATAGGAAATTTAAAGAAAGTAGGAAAAAAATGAGAGAATTGCGTGGCCGTTCCGGCGAGGCCATGGTGTATAGCTTCGCTGTTAAGGCTAAACGGTTCAAACGAATGAATATGATCTGAAAATTTAATTCATGTCAATTTGGTAAGTGCTAGGGGTTTAATACAGATATCTGCCGGCTAGAGAATTGTTCCAATCTGCAGTGGAAACAGCCATGGATGTCCCGTTCAGGGCGGAGCATCCACATCACTGAAAATTTCGGGGCACATTCCAAACGATGCCACTATGCTCCATCATATCGTGTATAGGTCTGTTCTCCACAGGGGGCCGGAAAGACACACCTCTTGCACCCTCATCAAGGCGTCTGCGCTGTGGACGATGGCTGGAGCGATGTGCCGATGTGACAATGATTGCATTAGCTCAGGGACAAGTGTGCGATACTTGCCTGGGAAAGTGGACAGTATGCAGGGGCAGTGGAGAAGGTGGATTGCTGTTGCCCAAGGTGGATTCGGGGTCTTCGACATGAACGGTTCCCTAAACATGGGGGCCAATTTTGCCGCGATGTTTGCAACACGATAAAACAAAGGGGTCTTTGACTGGCTGTTCTTTTATATTTGAATTGTCGAACCTTCGACGTCGCTGTGTGCTAAAAATAGGTTCTGATCAATTGGTTCACTACTGACTCTGATTGTACATAGCCGTGCTGCGGGATTTTTAAATATACACCAGATTCCGCAAACTGCTGTTCAAGCAAAATGCCAAGCCGCCAAGAAATAGTGGATAAAAAATGGCAATCATCTTTCGGGAAGGGATATGCTTGTTCTGACCCACCACTTCGGTCTCGACATTAGCCCCCTCAGGGTTCCCGGCCCACGGAAGCAAACTTCCGCTTCCCTAGGGTGTAGTGAATATTGAGAGAAATTAATTCCATGTAGATCTCTGAGGGATTTTACCCAACCGAAATGGACTTGAAGGGATATCAACGATATAGATAGACATGATCAATTTTGATTTTTGAGAAAATTCTCTTTTGTTCACTGTAAGTCTCATCCGGAGACTCGAGAGGACATTGACATCACTATGAAGGGTCTTGCGTACTTCGCAGTGATTTCCTGTGTGGAGGCTTCACACTTTGCACACCAATCTCTCCACCATCGAGCCACCGGTAGACCCAACTGCAAGACATACACTGTGCAGGACGGGGATACTTGTGCCAGTATTGGTAAGGAAAATGGTGTCACATGGGCACAACTGCTCTCATGGAACTCCGACATCAATAGCCAGTGCTCGTATGTTACCTTGAACTGATATTGCTTTGATGGTAGAATGCAGCTCATAGGATTATTTCTAGGAACCTCGGTGATCTCACCGGGAATCAAATCTGCGTCAGCAATCCCTCGGGAAACTATGTCATTCCCGCATCCATTTCTTCGGCGTCCAGCAGTGCAACCGGCTCACAGAGTATTGTCACCACCACGGCGTAAGTACTCTTTGCAGGTAATGGCCAGGTGATAACTCGATCATACTCATTGAAAAAATTCCAGCCCTGTTCCTTCGCCAACTGTTTCCGGTACGAATACCAAGTGCGCCAAATACTATCAGATTGGAAAGGACGAGACATGCAACACTGTGGTAGAGAAGACCGGTATTTCCAGATCTGACTTGTCAGCCTCAATATCGTCACTACATGTTGAAGCAGTTAACTGACCATGATACAGCCTGTTTCTGAACCCCGAACTCAACACACAGTGTACAAACCTCCAAAAGAAGGTCTACTATTGTGTGCAGGCGGTTGGAGACATCTCAACGTACTCCGGTCATCCAGGAAGCACATCAGATAACTTCAGCAAAGTATCCATGACCTCCGTTCCTTCATCCGTTCCCAGACCGGACTACTCCGGTGCTTTGAAGAACAACTCGCACCCCGTTGTTCAGCTTGCCACTGATACGAGAAAGGACTGTTATGAGTAAGTGCAACGTCTAATCTTACAAAGCCTTCGCTCATCTTGTATAGCTATATGTGGCTGGACAACACCACAGATAACGCGCTCGCAGATTGTTGGACAATGGCCATGACAAATGAAATTTCCGCGGAGGTTGGTCTTCGTCTCTCCCGATTGAGAACCTCGCTTCTGGAATGCAAGCTGACTCTCGAAGGACTTTATTTTATGGAACCCTTCGCTCGAAAAGAAGTCATCGCATAGCAGTTCGTTAATCCCGCTGGCAGCCTCAACTGGCAGCACCGGCTCGAGCTCGAGCATTGCTTCAAACCCATACAACTACCCTTGTACACTTCGAGCCAGCTCGTCCTACTGCGTGCAGCTCTCCAATCCTTCCAGTACCGCGACAAGCGGGTCGCCAACCCCTTCGTCAGTTGCTGCATCGGCCACTCAGACTCCTTCGAAGTCTACGAGGAGTGAGTCCATGAATCTCAACTGGTTTCGCATCTGCTAACTCATATTTTCCAGGTGCTTAACTGAGTCGAAGGTGCTCTCTGACGAGGCAAGAGTGAAAGCAATTACAAGAGTGTAGACTGCAATTTAGTTTGTCTCGATTGTTTCTCCTCGTGGGCAGCATTCCCACAACATATATCTACTACTAGCCAGCTTTCTTCCGTCTCCATATCATACATTTTCGAAGAAGTTGTCAGCTCTGCCGGCATCGTCAGAAATCAGAATAGAAACGTTGAGATCAGTATTCAGGAGGGTAATATCCCTCCTTGCAGATGTTTAGCTCTCTCAGGAGGTCACCGTCCACATTCGGACGTTCGAAATTGGGCTCAAACACATCCTTCATGACACCAATGCCAAGTGGAAGTTGAAGAGGGTAATCCTTTTCAATGGGGTTTTCTCCCCCATTGTAAAGGAAATCCTGTACCTCATTTTCAATCCATTTCCCCCTTCCGGGTTCGTGTTTCGACATCCGAATTGGAAATCCGATTGCGATCTTCGGTTTCGAGGTGGCATCTCGGCCTCCCCACAGCGTGTTCTCGGATACCATTTGCCGTATTTCTTCCAGCATGAGATACCAGCCTCCAGCATGATGAAATTGGAGCATACTGAATTCGATCGAGCGAACGGATTTCGGTAGAGCTTTGAGGAAGGAGATGCAATTATCCCGTGAGATAACAAAGCCGGCGAGTTCAAAGTGCCGCAGATTCGACCATTTTTCCACCGGGACAATGCTCTCTAATGGGATCAGTGGGTATTTATCCTTCTCATAGAGCGCTTCTGAGAATGTTGTATGTAGCCTGAACTCCTCTATTTCTTTTGCTTCACTAAGTGCGCGGCGGAGACGTCCATTGAGCAAGGATCGCCAGCACGCTTGAAGCCCTGTCTGAGATTCTTCACCGACAAGCAGGGTGATATCCAGACGGCGAAAGCCCGGGTTTTTCAGCACGGTAGCGAAATGATCGTACTCCTGACAAGGCTCGTCAAAGATTGTGCAGTTGATCCCCGTGGGCAGAAAGTGAGAAGTCAATACTAGTTCAGAAACAGCGTTGGGTTCGTTGGCGAGAACGCGCATCGCTATGCGGAACCCGCGGTAACGTTCTTTGAGTTCGGGGTATTCATTCCACGCATACGCATTAGCAGGCTCCGAATTAATTCTCGAATACAGCCAGCCACGTGGAATAGGATAATTGAAACCCTTCGGGAAAGCGCGGATCATAGGGGTCCGGTACAACGGGGCGAAGAGATGGCCGTGAGCCGCAGGAGTGATGGTGACTCTCCTCAGAGAAGGAAACTGCTTGACGCCATACAAGAATGCTTGTAAGTCACTGTTATCGGCGATAACATCCTTCTGCTGATTCAGTAAATGCTGGTAATGTCCCCAGCATTCACTCAGCGGAGGCTGGGCCAAGATCTGTTCTCTGCGCTCGAGATGGTCGGGCCTGTCCACGTCGCGATTTTTTCGCGACTTTAGAATATCGATGTTTTTCTCGCAGGCCTCTTTGAACCAGTTCGGACATCCGTTCTCCTCCTCGTCTTCATGTCGCTCGAGCAACTCCTCTTGGTAAAACTCAGAGTAATGCTCGGCCCACTCTCTGTTGTTATCGGGCTCATCCTCGTCCGAGAGCAATTCGTGGCCCTCGTGGGTTTCCGGTGTTCGCGGTGGGCCCCTTGTCAAGCACGCCTCATCCCAGATGATCTCAGTCACCTGGTGGCGGAGCTTGTCGTGTGATGCAACCTTGCAAAAGACCTCTATGTTGAGTGGGTTGGCGGATAAGAAAACACGGTCGAGGCGAAGAAACACAGCGTTGTTGAATTGACTACATGCCAAGCGAAAAGACTTGATGTCGGTGTGGGATAGATGTGACGATATGTAGCCCCATAGCTCAGGGGGGAGCTCGGGGAGACTGGTATAAGCCATGATGTGATAATGTAGAGTTGTTCATGGAACTCCATCGTGATATAGTGGGGGGTAGGTACATTTAATACCAAGCCACTGGCAAAACCCTCCCCCCGTCCTGACCGCCCACGTTCACCCAGCTGTGCGGCCTTTGTTGTGCGATCGTGCCCCGCAACAGTCTGGACCCCACCCACCAAAATCCATGGATCCGTGCTTTCTTGTAGCCCCCACTTAGCCCCCACTCCTGCCGCCTTCGGATATGTGGGTGCACTTCACCGTAAGGCCAATTTCATGCTATTCGCACTATATAAGAGAGTTCACCCAATGGACATCAATTGATCTATGTTACTCCCAGCCTATACCCTATTACATGAACGTCAGCCCTCTCGAATTACTGGGCCTTTGATTGGCTGACTAGCTTGTCCGTGTGCGTGCTCCTGTCCCCTGAGGTGCGTGTGCGAGTCCTCCGCGCGAGCTTTGAACTCGAGCGAATACGTCCTCTTATCTATATCATTATTGCTTCTTTTCAGGGCCCGTGTAGGAATAGTGGCGGCGCCCTTTAGCACGATGTGTCGGTGACCGTGACTGGGATCGCGTTCGCGTCCTTTCGATTCCTATGTGTCTCTGTTGTAGCCCCAGATATTTTTCACTTACTATCCTCCGCCGAGGCTCAGACAGTTCAGTACCTCGAGATGGATCTTTTTACATATAACGCAACATACCAGATCTGGATCTGCATCGACTGCGGTTATACCGTATAACCTCGTCAATTCGACACTCATCTCTGCCGCCATCACCGACGCCATCTAGCCGCTAGAACCGCGGAGCTTCGTTAGGCGGCACTGGCCGAGATACTAAAACGGCCCTTATGCCCTGAAACGAGGAACGAGTCTAAGGGGGTATTTCGGCCATGACTACATATGAGGGACGTGATTTTCTGCCACGCAAGCTGGCCTGCTAAACTTGCACTTTCGCTTGCCTCTAAATCGCCTATTCTAGGGCGCTTCTCGTTAGTTGCCGACTGTGTTTCCTTATTAGCCTCTTTCTCCTGTTTCTTACCTTTATAATTAGCCTTTAACGACTTCCCATGTTGCTCTCTTACGTTGATCTTAGACTATACTAACCTCTGTATTTATTATCCATATATACACTTCTGATGCCTCTTTTTTGGCAATATAGTGCTTACGCCTACCTAGCTACTTTGCTTTCTATGAATTTTTGTTTTGATTTACTGCTATATATTCTAGCCGAACTGAAGCGAACCACCCATGAGCAGCGGAATTTATAGAATTAGATAACCTATATATTTTTGTACTAAACCACCACTCTGTCTTCTTTTTAAGCAGCCCGCACTTCGGAAGGCATTCGTCCAGGCACCATGGCAAGCGCCGCCAGAAGTATTCATCGAGGACAGAGAGACGGCAGTGAAAACTCACGACCACAGTCTATCCAAAGACCCAAGCGAAAGACCCTTGATTCTCTACACCGACGGGAGTGGGATCGAGGGAAAAATTGGAGCAGCAGTAGTCGTTGATCTCGAGGATCACCACGCTCACAGCCAAATGGGCGGCGAAGAAACGTCCACTGTATACGCTGCCGAGCTCAGTGCCATCGAAATGGCACTCAAATTAATCTTGGAGACCACGGAACCGTGGGCGGCACAGGCGAGAAACGGGCTTGTCATCTTTGCAGACAGCCAAGGGGCATTGAAGGCGCTCCGCCAACCACGGATGCCATCAGGACAGGTCTACCTGGAAGAATGCCTCCACCTGGTAAGGCAACTCGCAGCCAATGGCCGTCAAATCCACCTCAGGTGGATACCTGCTCATCAAGGAGTGGCCGGCAATGAACGTGTCGACCGACACGCAAAGGAGGCGGCCCAGGAACCAGAAGGACCACAAAACCCAAACAATCGTTATATTCGCCTTGCAGCCGCAGCTAAAAGCCGCATTCGCCGCGAGGCAAAAATCGAGTGGGAAAGGTCATGGTCTATAGAGAGAACAGGTCGACCGACGAAACGCATAGTCGAACGACCAACGAAGAAGACCCTGGAATACTGGTCCGACCTGCGGAAAGCGACAGCGTCCATTCTGATGCAGCTTCGTACTGGACGAATTGGCCTTGCTGCCTACTTGACTCGCATCAATCGGCGCGAGTCAGCGAGATGTGGTTGCAATCTGGGGAACCAGACCGTCGATCATATCTTGCTTGAATGTCCGCTACTCCAAGATGAGCGCAACTGGATGAGAAACGCTCTGTCCGACCGCGGAGTTGCTCTGCTCTGCGACGAGCTCCTGACGCGGCCAGAGGCTCGCATAATTGTGGCCGAATTCATGGTCCGGACAGGTCTCTTAAACCAGTTTCAAGCAGTCGACCCATTGGCTCTCGGCACGGAACAAGGCGACGAAAAAGGATGACCCCTCAGGACAGTGTGACGGAAGGAGAAGGATGGTGCCCGTTAGGAGTGCAGTGCCAGGTCCACTGTACTCCCTTGATGCAAGCGAGCGCAGGAGCGGCAGCCGACGGCCCAGAGGGCCGCCCAGATGAAGGCGGTGGGGGATGAAGTAGATCAGAGAATGAAGTCTGATTGTGGAAAGGAGAGTGGGTAGAGGGGAAGCGACGTTCTTTTTGGATTTCTTTTGTTTATTTTGTCTATTTTGTCATGTTTGCATACATTCTCGGGCGACCAATCAGGGGCTTGCGTTGCAAGCCATGGAAACGATCGTTCAGCGGGCTGGCGACCACCTTCAAGCTGTCGGCAGGCCTGACAGCACTCCCGCATAGCAGCATATATTTAGAGCAAGCTACATCGGGCAAATGAATTCATCATCATCATCATCATCATCAGCAGCAGCGGCCCGCACTCAGGCAAACTATTTATATTTCGAAGACGGATCCTGGCCTATCTTTCCGCTTAAGATGTCTATCACTAGGCTGCGGCAAAGCCAAAAGATAACCGCGGCTAGCCAAAGCCAAAGCCGCAAATTGCGGGTTTGGTTAGGACCTCCTCCTAACCGCAGGGAGTGCGGGCGGCTGTGGTTAGCAAAGTGCTAACCGCACGAGAGCCGCGGTTAACCATCGGGGCTGCAAATACTGCAAACATGGCCAAATGGGGTTAAACTGGTG